ACATAATAGTGTGTATTCCAGCGTGCAGACTGGGCGTCTGTGCCAGAGTGAGTCTTATTACGTCTTACAGTGTGTTGCATTAATGCATGAGTAAGGCTTGGTTCAAACCAATCAGCGCGCTCTATTGTGCAACTTCATTAATATTCATTACTGTCACAGTGTAGACGGCAAAGACGCCACGTTGTGTTGGCAAAACAAGCGTGAAGTGTTGCTTTTATAGTTTGCTGCAGTTAAGTTTCGTTTTCATTTTCTCTCTGTGAGAGCTCAGACTCACGTGTGGATTAACAGTGTACGCGACGCGCGACAACAATAACTTACGTGTCTAAGGAGGAACATTGTTTACCTGAGAGCTGTTCTCATCTACAAACGCTGAGATCCAGATTGTAGTCTCCTCTAAATAAAGACGCGGCTCTAGTTGCTGTGAATTGTCCTGTCTCTACAGATTTGGTAAGTGAGCGGCCAGTGCTCTTTGTTTATTCAGTTCGTATTTTATTCGTATCAAACAAACTATTGCACTGAGTGTTGCTGGTGATTGTCCTGTCTCTACAGATTTGGTAAGTGAGCGACCAGTGCTCTTTGTTTATTCAGTTCGTATTTTATTCGTATCAAACAAACTATTGCACTGAGTGCAATAGTTAGCACTAACAGTTACAACCAAACTATAACCTCGTGTTGGATTTTGTGACCGGAATAACACACGCGGCTTTCTGACGCTACCTGCCGTGTGTATCTAAGTTTCCGGGAAATGCTGAGTTTTTTTTCTCTCATTCGCCGTGCGGTATCAAACATTGCATGAAAAATACACGCTTAGAGCAGCGCCTTGAATCAAATATCACGTTTGTCGGGAGGGACATTAATGAATTCCCTGAATGAAAGAGCCAAACTGCAGTTAAAGTCCACCATTTAATAATTTGGCAAATAATTCGACTACAGATGTCCATGTAAACACAGTCACATTGTCCGCTGTGGGTGTGTGTTTTGACTCAGAAATTCAGCGCGCCCAAATAGACACTCCCATACCATGCCGCTTTTCTTTCTCCGACACTCCCCCCTAAACAGAGCTGGACACGCCCACTTTTCTGACTTTTTCCAAAGTAGAGGTGTGAAAACACACTGCTGAAACGAGGGGGTTTCATGGCCCTTTAAACATTTTACAGCAGAGTTTTTAATAATCATTTAAAAAAAAAACTTAATAGTTTGTTTTGTTGTCATGACAAACATGTACAGATGAATTTTTTGTGTGTGTACCGTACTGTACTGTAAAATATCTGTAAATTAACAACTTTAAGGGTTTCTGTTGATTTACTGTTGCGTTTTGCACTATGGAACCTTGATCTCTGCTCTGTCGACTTTTGATGTTAAAAATTCAACTCTACACTTTAACAAAGAGATTTTTTTGAAATTTTTAGAAGTTTGAAATGATATAAAGTATAAGAAATAATATATAGAAAAATTAGTCTGTAAAATTACTATTTATTAAAAGGTTTTTGTACCGTAATATACAACAGCCAAAATATCACTTTAAATTTTATCAATTTTAATCACTTTCAGGGTTAAAAGTTGTTAAAAGAAGTATCAAGGTCCAGCCTGATCTCACGAGAAATCGTAAGTATTTTACGTTTTGCCAGTTTAGTGGCTAATTCGTACAAATTCGTACGAGTTCAGTCGTACGAAATGGTACGGTTTTAAAAAGGAGGCGTGGCACCTAACCCCACCCCTAACCCCAACCATCATTGGGGGATAAGCAAATCGTACTAAATTGTACAAATTAGATTGTACGAATTCATACGAATTAGCCACTAAATGAAAAAGTTATGAATTGCCGTGAGATTGTGTTGCAAGGTCCCATGAAAAAGAAGCAAAGAAGCAACATTCGCACATTCAGACTTTCCACTAATAATATAAATTTCATGAAAGCAATATTTGCAAACTCTAAATAGCCAGTGACTATCAAAGTATAACATTGTTTACAGTCAAATAAACAGTGTTAATTTTTCAAGTCACACTTGCATGCTAATTCTGATCGAATATTCAAAGTAAAATGGTAAACAATATAGACACTTCAAAATGAACAAATGTGAAAATATAAAACCAACTTTACCTCTATCTCCACTCATACTGTCAGCATTGAACTCTACCTCTATCTCCACTCATACTGTCAGCATTGAACTCTACCTCTATCTCCACTCATACTGTCAGCATTGAACTCTACCTCTATCTCCACTCATACTGTCAGCATTGAACTCATCCTGATTAAGTACAAACAGCAACACCAAGAACTGACAAAACAGATAAATCATAAGAGCTTTAAAAGGATGCAGAGAATATTTAGAAAGCGACGTCAACTAGGGCAAATCACCTAGGAAAGAATCTTCTGGCATGCCTGATCCATCCCTGGCAATCTTCTTCCTTTTTCAGCCACTTCGCTATTTCTGTCTGGGCCAATGTTTACATCATACAAACCTATTCAGCAGTTGTCTCCTTTTGTAATGAAATTGAAAAAGTAGGGGAACGCGGGGCATAAAGTAACGTGGGGTTAAATGTAACACAGAGTTTTAAGGTATTTGCTCAGGGTTAACCATGGCATACTTCCGAGGTTTTTACCACAGTGTCTACAGATGTCTTCCTGCCCATTACTGAAAAAGTTTTGCGAAATTTGGATGAGAAACACAGGAGAAACCAGTTTTTTATTATAGTTAACATTTTGTTATTTTAAAAAATCTGTAAAAGTATGAGAGTGAAATGTTATATTGTTGTGATCACCGTCTTCTAGGCTAAAAGATGAAACCATTTTTAAAGATGTAAGAAACCCACAGTGACTATCCTGTTTTGAAGAAAACACGACACAGCGCAGTTAGTTGTAACAGGGTGTTACAATTAGGCCACACACTGTTGGACACCATTTAAACTAACACAATACTTTTTACCTTTGAGTGTAATGTTGAGAAGTTTTTAAATAAAATTATTTTTAATAGAATTTTCTTTTTTTTTTTTTTGATAGACAAAAAATATTTTATTGCTAATACTACAAATAAGTGCATTGTATAATAATGGATAATAATCCAAATAAATCCAAATGTTTATCCAATAAATAAATAAACATACTGTGCTTTGTAGATTAAAAAATAAATTGAGCTAGGTACAGAAAAATTACAGCTGCTATTTAAAGTAAACTGGATTTAAATTTATTGTGTGTAGTCTGCCTTTTTTAAGCATGTGTTAAAACTAACCCCCTGTCTGTTACAACTTGCCCTGCAGGTGGGGTAAATAGTAACATTTTTACTCCTGGTACTTTTGGCAACACTGCACAGAAACCATAGGTCCGGCAATTATACTTTCAGTGCTCATTTGTAGGAGAGGCTTATGTTTTGTTGGTAAAAAACAAATGGTTTGTCTAACCGCATTACTTTGTTTTTTATTTGACCAAAACCAAGTGTTACTTTGTGCCCCACTCTCCCCTAACACCTGTGTAGATGTTCATCTACAATGAGAATCAGCTGTGGCTGGTTAAACTGAATTTTTAGATTTAAAATATGTTTTAATAAAATATTGCTGTTGAATTTTGCTGTCTTATTCAGTTTTGCATTATGTTATTGTTTTGAACACATAAGTTTAACATTATGTAAGCATGTGCAAAATGTTCTGTGCGTACAAAGATTTTTGTCAGCTGTTGTGTCTGAGCGGGAAAAGAATGAAATTTGAGAGATGTAGTCATTAAATGCATTTTGTGTCAAAACAATGATAATTGATCCTTAGTGTAGCCCATATAGACTTCTGTTGTGCTCACTGTGAGAAGTGTTTTGCAAAAGTAACCTAAGTAAATGTGTCCTAGCGTCTGTTAAAAAAAACTGTAAAGTAAATGCTATATTTAAAGACAAAAAGTTATTGTATCCTAAATGTGTACAAGCTTCAAGTAAATATTATAATTATTCTTTTTTTTTTTAAATGTTAGAGTCATTTTATAGAAAGTAACCAGCTTTTGTTGCTGTTAAAATGGTGTCCAAGTCATTTTTGACACGCAAGTCAAGGTTGATGGCATGCAGAAGTGGAGAAATATCTCAATTTGCATTGCTTCTGTTTGTTTGTTTTTTTATTCTTTCAAGTGGTCCATGTTAGTGTTAAGGAACAGTGAATCAGGGCATTTCGATCATTTTAGAGTTTTTACCGCTCCCGCACTGCAAAAATGTTTATATTTCCTTAAACTCACCCTAGGTCCTCAAATAAGATGAGAAGAAGTATGAAAAGAAAATTCATGCGTGTGGAATAAACACAAGTGAATCAATTTGCAATCAATATGTGAAAAAAAAACGCAGTTGACAATGACTCACCTGGGCAACTAACAGGGGTAACCCTTACAATTTACATAGGTTTGGGCCAAGAGAGTGCAAAAGCAAGGAGTAACAGACACACATTAAACGGGGTCAGACAAATGCAAATACAGGGCGGGGACTGTAAAACTATAGATGACAATGGTTACAGGTTTTCAGCTTTTCTTTATCATATTTTTCTTTGTCTTCAACAGAATAAAGAAGTTTAGAATCGCATGAGAGAGTATAAATAGTGTAGTGAGTTACTTTTCATTTTGGGTATCCTCAAAAATGTTGTTTAATTTGTACAACAAAAAAAATAACAGAAGTGGTTATGGCTTGAAGCAGTTTGGAAAATTCCATTGTTCTGTTTTATTGAACTGTGTCTAATGTTGCTGTGGACTATTACAAAGTGTCATGGTGAACTTAACATAATTAATTATATAATGTCGTACTTTTATTTTGTCCATCAGGCACCGAGAGCATGTCAGTGAATTCAGCATGTTTCTCATGAGATCAGGCTAAAAATACTTACGTTTTCTCGTGTGATCAGGCTGGCTTTACCACAGTGTCAACGTTGAACATTTGCTTGGTTTAGACCAGAGGAAGCACAACCACAGGATGAGCTAATAATGTTTAAAGGAGGAGCTACTGTATAACTATATAGAGAAATGAAAGACAGACAGAAACAGAAAATGGCTAAAGAGTGTCATGTGTATTTACTGGGGCTGATCATTCTCTGTCCACTTCCCACAGGTAAAAACAAATATTTTAGTGATTTTCAAGATGTTACATTAAATTGCTCTAAGTAACAGAGTCTGACAGGAAACTTATTATTTCTGGCAATCATAGTGTGGTCTCATATTGAGCCCCATTTCTTATTTTAATAGACTGATATTCCTTAATGTAAGATTACGATTACTCAAATGTTTTGTGATTCATTCAGGTACCAATGGAGCAGAAGACATTGTGTTCTTCAGATCTGGTGAAAATGTCAATCTGCCCTGTAATAATGCTCTTTCTGACTGCACATCAACTACATGGTACTATAACAGAGATTTAAACACAATTGAACTGGTTGGTTTAGGGAAACTGAAGAACAACATAGAGAGACGTGAGAGACTGAGTGTGGGCTCTGACTGCTCTCTGAACATCAAGAACGCCACAAAAGAAGATTATGGATCTTACAGCTGCCAACAATATGTGAAAGGAGAACAACAAGGAATTGATGCGCTTGTTTATCTGACTGTTCTACATGGTAATCTTAATAGTAATTTTAAAAAACCTTATTCTTCCTTCAAACTGGCGTGTAATATGAGTGAAATCTTGCTTTGTTTCAGTCTCTTCATCACTCTCTCAGGCTGAGATGAGAGCAGGCAGATCTGTGACTCTCAAATGTGAACTGGAGTATTCTGGAGTCTCTTGTGATAGTTTGTTCCGTACTGAAGGATATCAGCTGGTGTGGGTGAATCAGGCTGAAAGGAATCTGGTGACAGACAACAGATATAAGATATTCTCCTCAAGTCCCTGTATGATCAGTCTGACTACAACACTCCTGAATGAAGATCACAACAGAGAGTGGAGATGTCAGCTTACTCAGAACAATCAACTGAAGACCTCAGCCTCCTTTACTGTCAAGTACTCAGGTAAAAAAATATGTATTTTTTAACCTAATTTATTAATACCTATTTATTGATTATTTACATATACAACATGACACATCTGCTCGTTATAGTTTACAGCTCCTTTATTGTTTTTATATGTCACATGGGCCTGATATTGTTTGGTCTTTTTAGCTTCAGTTGTATTTACAGCCACTGCAGTAAATAAGTGGAGTATTTCTCATCTGTGGAGGTCAGGCATCACTAGAAGAGGGCCTCAAGATTATTCAAAGCAAAAAATATTTAAAAGAAAATACAAAATAAGCTGAAATGTCTTCAATAAAATATAAGATTAATTTGGCGTATAGCTTCATTTTGTTTCTTTGGAAAAAACAGTTCACTATGAGGAGAACTAATATCAAAATTGTGATTTCTAGACTAGCTAATGTACATTGATTAATAATAAAATTTTGGGTATTTATAAATGTAATATATTTCTAGCTAAGCTAAGAATTAAGAAACATAAACATAAGTCATAGTTTTGTTTTTTAGTAAACCTTTACTTCCCAAAATTCAAAAACAAAGTTTTATGTAATTAAATGTAGCTGAGTAAAAAGCTATTTTGAAGGGGTGAAATCTTCACCTGCTCAGAGACACAACTTTAATTTCATGAACAAAGTGAACTTCATCAGTTCACTAATTGCACTAAAAAATTAATGTATAAATTAGACTGATCCAATCAAATCTGTTCTCAAATAAACAACTCAGAGATTTAAATGATCGGTTAAGAGTGAATCTCAATTCATTGAATTTACAAACTGATCTGAAAGCTGAATATACTTTTAATGCATTTAAAAACTGAATATACTTTTAAATCAATGTAAAATATGTCACGTTTGCCCCTGTAGAATGAGGTATTAAACTTGTTTGATTACAATTAGTTGGTGTCACTTTTTAAAGTAAAATCACTTCTTTTTATATGTGTCTGCACACATTTAAACATTTTAACTAAACATTTTTGCTACACAGAGAGCAGCTCACACGCCCAAACCACAGCATCAGCACCAACACAACAAGGTATTATCATGTTTTTATCTTCCTATTAGTTCCACAAATTGATCATTGCAAATGGGGTGGCGGTTGGCGGGTGAGGGGGAATGGCCTGTGTAGTTTGGTTGTGGGTTGTGCGGTACCCAGCAAAACTGAAGGGGGGAGGGGGTGCTTGGGTTTAGGAGGGGGTTGTGCAGGCGACCGGCGAAAGTGGAGGGTCGGGGGGAGGTGGGTGTGGGTTCACTTGCCGTCGCAGGGGCCCTAAATTGCCCGGGGCCTGTGCACTCTGCCCCCCTTTTCCCTACTGGCGACACCCCTGTGTCAAAATGCAAATACTTTACATTTCATTTTTGACATCATTGACCTGAACCGAAGATATTATTCACAGAAGCAGAAATTAAATTCTGTATGACTTTTGGATCATTAATCAGAGGTATGAAATGTCTGTTTATGCTAATAATTTTATACTATTGCATGTTCAATGTTGGTGAATTTGCAATTTTTATTGGATTTCTTTGATTTTATTAAAAAGGTCATTTAAACTTTACCATATTGACTTTCTCTCTCTCATCCATCCACATGTTTCCTTTAGTGATTGTGACTATTATTGAGATTATGGTGTTTGCTGCTCCTACTGTGATTCTTCTTCAGATCATCTTTGCAAGACGAGCTGGTGAGTTTTGAGCGTCTCACATAATCTAATGATTCATGATGATCTCTAACAATCTACAATAAAAATGCATTTGTGAGGTCAGTTAATTTTTGGTGTTAGTCATTATTATTTGTATTCCATATTTTATAGGAAGGAAGAACTTACATCCAGAGGAAGATAGAGATGCCTGCAATATTAGATGTAAATCTAATTAAAGGGATAGTTCACCAAAAAATTTTTTTAATTTACTTAGTTAACTCTCCCCATGTGGTTACAAACCATTATGAGTTTCTTTCAAAATAGAACAATAAGAAGATATTTTGAAAAATGTTAGAAACTGCTGCCCATTCACATCCATAGTAGGAATAACAAAGAGGTCAGTGTTACAGGTTTCCAACACTATTCAAAATAACTTTTTGAACATTTTTTACTTTAAGGAAAGAAATTCTAACAGGTTTGCAACATGTACAAGGGTGAGTAAAGGATGACAGAATTATCAGAAATATCCCTAAAGTTTATTGTGCAAATTTAGCATAATTTCATGTAATTTCCCAGTGCTATATTGTAAATACTGCTTTCAAGTAAGAACTGTTTGTGTGTACTGTACTGTGCACTATAAAAAAATATCTGATACTTAATAAATGTGAGTGTTTTATGTTGATTTACTCTTGTGGTTTGCAGTATGGGACCTTGATTTCTACTCTGTTGACTGTTGATGTTGAAAATTCAGTTCTACACTTTAACAAAAAGACTTTATTGACACTTTAGAAGTTTGAAATAGAGAAATTAGTCTGTAAAATAGCGGAAAATTACAGATTATTACAAGGTTTTTGTACCGTATTATACAACAGAGAACCCAGGCATTATATCACTTTAAACTATTAAAATTGTTAATAAATGTCACTTTGTTAAACCTTTCAAGGCTAAATGTTGTTGTCCCATGAAATTCAACAGCATAAATAAACGGGAAAATAAAAACGTGAGTCACAAAATACAGAAAACTGCTAATTAACAGATATTTATTATAGTGTAGTAATTGTTACTCCCCCCGAGATAAAACAAAGGCTCAAGTCGTTCTTGATTTTAACTGACATTTATTCGGACACGAGTCTGTAGTATGTCTTGTACATTCTAGCCTTGCACTACTTTATGTCCCAATAATGGTGTCAGATCTACGAAAAGAAATACATAAACTTAAATTAACCCTTTAAAGGTGATGTTGCACAAAACAACATACATACAACCGAAAGATAAAGTGCACATTCAACATGTAAAGAAATACACTTAATTGGCTAATTATACATTAACATACGGACACATAATCATACATGTTCACATACTTTAACACTACACGACACATACCTCATTGGCCTCTTTAACTCAAAAAGGATTGCAATTGAAAGGTTGCAGTTTCTCTAAAACAAACTTCTTTGTACTTCTGAATCCTTAAAAAACGTGTTATTAGCACAGCACCTTGTGGTTGTACTTGTAGTGCATCGGAAGAATATCTTGATTGCAACAATGAAATAATTCCCAAGCTAAACATAACAAGAAATCGGTTCCACCCTCCCTTTTTATAGTTTTAGTTAAATAACTTTAAATGAATTAACATGCATTAAAAACAAATATACATTACTTATCTATTCTAATGATTACTCTGAACATTTTAACTATGTATTGCATTTTTAATGTAAAGTGTATGTTTATAGAGTGTAATATATAAGAATTGCTTCTGACGACAGCTACAGTAATAATTGTATTACATGCAATAAATTTTCTACCTCTTCTGAAATAAAGTAAATTTTACGTAAGTTTAATACTAGCCAGCATTTATAAGAGCAGGGGAGGTATAACACATGATACTGAGTTATTAATCAGTATGAATATGCATTTTATAATGAGTAAGTCATTAGAATTATAGTCCACAAGGTGATTTTGCTAAATATATATATATATATATATATATATATATATATATATATATATATATATATATATATATATATATATATATATATATATATATATATATATATACAAATAGCAAAAACATTTTATGACAAAATCACAAGAGACAGAAATTGTAATATTTGGCTGAATTAGAAGCAAAGAAGCAACTTTATTTTTTCATCCTGGCTGCTAAAATTAATTTAAACAATTGTTCATTGCATTTCAATTATTCTCCTTTTATATCATCATTGCAGTGAATGACTGATTTACATCACATATTTAGTAACAGTGTGATGTCTATATTAATTTAACGTTTCCCAGTGTTGAACTCATATGAGCAGACAGTGAGCGGGTCGCTGTTTTTACCATCCAGATAAACTCCTGGCACCAGACTAACACAGCAAGGCTGCTTAGAGCTGTAGTTTTTCTGCACCAGCCGAGTCATGTTGTCAGCATTATAGAACAACACCTGCTTTCTCTCACAGTCCAGATACAAGCCGATTTTCTGAGGTTTTTCTCGAATGCTTAATGGAGAGTCTTTTCCATCACATGACAGAACGTAGCCTTTATGGTGTTTAAGATGGAGCAGGATGTCACTCTGCTGTTTGTCAGTGCCCATCTTGATTCCCACGGTCCAGTCTGGCTTTTCTCCGACCTCTACCTCCCAGTAGTGCTGACCAGACTGAAAGTTCTCCACTGAAACTGTACCAGGGTTGAAGTCTTTATACAGACCAGTCGCTCTGTCAGCTTGCCGGATTCTGGTGCCCCCTGGAGACACTTTTAAATATGACTCTCCAGGATTTTTCAGGGTTAAACTCTCAGGAACTAAAACATAAAAGAAACAATAAGGTGACAGAAGTATTTGCTATTGCAGTTCAGATATAGTTTATACAGGTTATATGTAATGATATTTCTCAAACAACAGGATTATGGTTCGTTCTAAACCTATATGAACATACAAATCTCTAAGCTACTAATGCTATTTTAAAGGTTAAAGAGTGAAAATGTCTAACTAAAGTCAAAAATATAAGCTCTTAAAAATAATAGGAAATACTGTGAAAATGCCCCTACTCTGTTAAGCATAAAAAAATGAAAAAGAAGAACAAAATCACTTTGTTGATGTTTCACAGTATTAAATTAAACCTGGTGTCTGATTTATATTTATTTTTATTCATCAATACATAAATTGAGAAAGTTTGTTTAGGGATATGTCACTAAACATTACAAGATATTTTTCCAATTCTTCACCTCGTTTGATGGATCCCAGCATCTGCTTCCACACAAAGAACTGCAGGTGAGTTTCATGAGGACCAAGAAAGAGGGAGTCAGGAAGAACTGTGAGATCTTTCACTCTTGACATATACCTGAAACACACAGTCAAATCTACATCAGAAACTTCAGTTCTGCAGACAACTGAACACAGACTGATTTCACTAAGGGTTAAAAAACAGCACAGCATGAGACTCACTGGGTATTTGATGGCTTCACACCAGCTTTTTGCTTCATGTTATTTGTCATCGGAAATCCTTTTTCATTCCACCACTGCAGAAAAACACACACAATAACCTTTATACCTTATTTATTATGTATCTATTGATAATATAGATAATATATCTTGTGAGTCTTAAAAAAACAAATATCAAGTGTTGTAACCTGTAGAAAGTGATCAGGTTGATCAATCTCCAAAGCTGACTGCAGAATAATCTCCTTCTCTTTGTTCTCCATGAACCTTTGATTTATCACAGACTGATTAGTCTGCAAGGCTTCTGTAACTTTCTTCTCCTCCTCCTCCAACAGTTTTTTCACCTCATCCTCTATTTTTCGTAAGAGCTGGTGCATTTCTTCAAAATGATCAGAGATCTGGGCTGATAAGGTTTTGGATTTATCCTAAAAAAGAAAAAAACATTCAGGTTGTGGCTGTGCATTACTGGTATTCCTGATCTAGCTGTTTTTTTCAGTAACAATTAAAATATGTGATTAATTAGGTGATTTTTTTCCCTTGTATGTGTGTGATTAAGATGTGATTAACCTCCGGGTGATCCGGTTTCCTCCACAGTCCAAAGATGCAGTATAGGGAATTTGAATAAACTAAATTGGCCGTAGTGTGGGTGTGAATGTGAGAGTAGATGGATGTTTCCCAGTACTGGATTACAGCTAGAAGGGCATCCGCTGTATAAAATATGTGCTGGATATGTTGACGGTTCATTCCACTGTGGCGACCCCTGATAAATAAAGACTAAGTCGAAGGAAAGTGAATGAATGAAAATTTGTGATGTTTATTTTTGGAGTCAGTTTCTTGAAAAAACTTTTTAAAAATTTTGAAGAACAGTTGCATCGCCCTCATATTTTTGACTTTACGTGCCCAAAACCATAATGTCACAAAAGATACATGACAGACAAACAGATTTAAAACCGGGACACACTAAGCAAACGGTTGGCCATTGGGCAGCATCGGGCCATCAGTTACTGTCTGTCAGGATAGATTGTTCGGTCTGTTTCACATGTCATCTCTCATCTGAGGTGACAAAACCAAGCAAATGGCACAAGTCAAGAAGAACATAAATAAGCCAGCTCTCATTTTCTCAAATTTCTTAAATATTTGCAACCGATGTGGATTATCAGATTATCAAACATATTTGCACAAGCAAATACATCTGTGGTTTGAGAGCATTGTGAAAATGCTGTAAACGCTGTTTATGGTTTTAATGTGTGCAGCAACACTTGTGGAATGACAATTCAGGATACTGCCACCTGTGGGTTTGACATGATACATCCTTTTATGCAGACACTGGATAGATGTTCTACTTTCAGTTTGCTGTCATGTTGTCTTGTTGTCTTCATGCACAGTTTTTTTTGGTCCAGATAAGACCAGACGCAGCCAACATGAGGCAACAACACAGTCAGTTTTTATTGCTGCTAGTTCTTTGACGTTGGCTTAGTTTGTCCCGAGCTTTTCACCCTCAAAATTTAAATCTAATCAAAGACAATTTGATTTCAGCTATGACAACTGTCAAACCAAGAACCAGAAGGGCTGAATCCGATGACATGATCAGCATGACAACTTCAAATCACCATGGGGAAATATTAAAACCAGCCTGATCTCACAAAGAAACGTAAGTATTCTATGTTTTGTCAGTTTATTTGTCAGGCTAATTCAAACGAATTTGTATGAATTAAGTCATCCAGAAATGTACCATTTTTAAAAAGGAGGCATAGCACCCTGTTCTCGACCATCATTGGGGGATGAGCAAATCCCTTTAAATTGTCTGAATGAGATCGTACGAACTCATACAAATTAGTCACTAAATCAAATAGTTAAGATTTGCTGTCAGATCATGTCGAACTGTTTCTTTAATTAATTAATGCTACATATTGTTTGTGTTTGCTGGGAGGTATTGTTTCAAAATGGGGTTACAGAATGTGTCACAGATGGATGGCATCCAATTCCATATGACTCTTGTACATGTTTGACACATATTGATTTTCATTCCAATAGTATCTGGATGCAGCCTTTATGATGCAGGCTTAGATTGCATCACTCACCGATGCAATGTCAGACACAATGCACTCAAATGGAGCTAGTGACGTCACTGTGAGGGGTAGGGTTAGGGGTGGGGTTAGGTGAGCCCATTAAAAAGCATTGGATGCAGCTCAGATTGCACTGCACCAGGTCTGCTGTCAGTCAGTCTAATATTATATCATCTGACATCTTACAGTGTGACATGGGGATCATGTTCATGCAGTCTAGCTACAATCATAAACAATTTTTAAAAATCATACAGTGTGAGCCGGACTTTAGTCAAACAAGAGCTGAGTAAATGAAACAAATTAATTTACAATTTAGACATTTGAAACATGCTCATTGAACTAAAGTATTCAAGTCAGTGTATGCATTAATTGTGTTTTTAATGTACTTTAAAATAAAATAATACATTGGCCAAGACTTGTGCTATCATGAAAGTCAGTGTTTTCCAACTTATTTAGATGTTATGATACCTCAGTTTTGGTGATCTCTGTGGTCTGTTGTTGTATCATGTAATCCAGTTGTCCATTTTCTTTGGCAAGAAAACCCAAAGCAGTCTTTAGCTTCCCCTACAGATAAATAAACACTTAATACATGGTTTTAAAGAAGTTTCTGTGAGCCTGAGATTAAAAATTATGACTGAAATGATTTAAATAAAAACCTAATTATGCCTAAATAACATCCAACAAACAGCTTTGTAAATAAAGAATTGAAAGCAAGAACATACTCTTATTATTTAGTTACTCATACGTCATTGATAATGTTTTACCTTGTTTATCTCTGCAGCTTCTTTCACTGGTTTAAAGACGTGTCCTTTATGTTTGTCTCCATCCCTGCAGATGACACACACCAGCTTCTGATCAGTCTCACAGAACAGTTTGAGCTTCTCGTCGTGTTCAGAACACATCAGCATCTTCTCCATATCTGCAAGCTTCAATGTTTGCGTTCCTTCTTGAGGTGTGGATCTGTCTGATTTCTGCTCTGCAAGGTGCCCACGTACTGTCGAGGTCATGTTTCTCAGTAAACGGCTGGATTTCAGGTCTTTTTCGTTGTAAGGTTTTTGGCATTCTGGACAGGCACTTGGTCCCAGGCTGGCCTGCATATGGCCAGTAATGCATTGACGACAAAACGAATGCTCACAAGAGAGAGTCACCGGATCCGTAAAATCACTCAGACACACGGAGCACTTGATCTCCAAAGACAAAGGGGAATGCATTTTAGCTTTCCTTCTGGTCAAGACCGTGTTTTGAGCTTTGAACTGAATGTTTTCTCTCTTTAAAATCAGCTCCTTTCTGTCAAATTCTGCTTTCTCTTCCTTGTTTTTGAACAGAATATCAAATGTATTTAAATTTGAGTTGCATAACAAGGTGTTGTTCCTCCCACAGGTTGTATAACAAGGGAAGTAATCAAACTGGAATGTCAAACCTTATACCTTTGTTTACAGAATACATATTGTGTACTGTGCTGGTGCAAATACTTTTCAATCAAAGCATGTGTTGAGCAGATAGACAGGTCCATTGTTAAATCTGTCAATAGTGCTTTCCATATAACCTTTAACGGATGAACAAATACTTTACTTTTATTTTACCCCACAAAAGAACTGTTTAAAGAGATAGTTCACCCAAAACTGAAAATCCTTTACTTACACTTCACTTGTCATGAACTTGTTTGATTTTCTTTCCTCTGTTGAACACAAAAGAACATAGTTTGAAGAAAGCTGGAAACCTGTAGCCATTTGTTTGTTCCATTAATGTCAATGGTTACATTATTGCAGCTTCAAAATATCTTCTTTTAGGTTCAGCAGAAAAAAACTCTTAAAAATTTGAGACCATTTGAGAGCAAATAAAGACTAAATAAGTTTTACATTTTTAGTGATCTGTACCTTTAAGACAACATTATAGTTGTAAATACCAATTAAATACAATCTCAAATTACATTTGGCCTTTTAATGCATAAATACACAAATTAAAATCAAACCAAATACCAAAACAATACATAAGTTATTCCAAAAATATATTTTTAATGTGTCTAAAAGTTATCACTGTGCCTAACTCAGAGCTTATGTTTCCAATAAAAATAGCTTAGTAACAATAGTGACTTATATTAATTGTAATAGTAACAATAGTTTGTGTTTCCATCCAAAAATGGCAATTTAAATTTATGCGCAAAACTGAAATTTCACATAAAACATTTGTGAATAAGGCACCGCCTTGGATTTTGGAGGCATTAGTTTGTGTTGAACCATCCCAGTTCCTATATATTTAGTTCCTGTTTCATTTTTACATTACATTTACTATACACTCACCAGCCACTTTATTAGGTAAACCTATTCAACTGCTTGTTAAAGCAAATTTCTAATCAGAAAATCACATGGTAGCAACTCAAAGCATTTAGGCATGTAGACATGGTCAAGACAATCTGCTGCAGTTTAAACTGAGCATCAGAATGGGGAAGAAAGGTGATTTAAGTGACTTTGAACGTAGCCAGAGAATGGTCTGAATAGTGCAAAGAAGAGGAAATTTCCAGCGAGCAGCAGTTCAGTGCAAATGACTTGTTGATACCAGAGGTCAGAGGGGAATGGCCAGACTGGCACAGGGTCACCAAAATTGGACAATAGAAATATGGAAAGACGTTGTCTGGTCTGATGAGTCTTGATTTCTGCTGCAACATTTGGATGATAGGGTCAGAATTACTATCAACAATATGAAAGTATGGATCCATCCTGCCTTGTATCAACAGTCAGGCTGCTGGTGGTGGTGCAATGGTGTGGGGGATATTTTCTTGCCACACTTAGGGCCCATTAGTTTAAATTGAACATCATGTCAATGCCACAGCCTACCTAAGTATCGTTGTTGACCATGTCGAAGGTTTAAGGCAGTAAAGTGGGTCCAAGCCAGTACTAGTAAGCTGTACCTAATAAAGTGAGTGTATATCAGCAATGCAATTACTTCAATTTTCATGACAGTTAGTCGTACCATCTTGTAAGTTGTTGTCAGTAAGTTGTTGTCTTGTAAGTTTTTATTTTCAGTCTAGAAGTATGTGAAGCATCTTGTTCCCTGATGTGAAAGGGTGTGATCTGACACAAAAAGGCCTAAATAAACACTACACCGCCATTGTTTCATCAGCAAAGTGTATACTTAATAGTCTGACATACTAGTCTGACTACAGCAGGTGAATCATGGCTTCAGCTCTGTCTCTTTACCTCATGTGTCCGGTGTGTCTGAGTGACTTCAAAGTTCCAGTAAGTTTGCCCTGTGAACATGTTCTCTGTCGGCAGTGTGCTTCCAGGTATTTAGAATCCAGCAAAGGACCTCATAAATGCCCAGAATGCAGACAAAACTTCACCAGGACGGATCTTAAAGGTATTCGAGTTCTGAGAAATGTTGTGGACGCCATACAAGAACAGCGTAAGAAAAAGCAATTGATTCAACCGAACGCAGAGGAAATGCTGTGTTCTGAGCACAAGGAGCCGCTTAAACTTTTCTGTGTCAATGACCAGAGATTAGTTTGCCTCATCTGCAAAGAGGGAATGAAACACAGCGGACACAGTTTCAAACCTGTAAAGGAAGCTAAGGAGATGAGTGAGGTTGAAACAACATATTTGAATTTAACAGCTAATTTCATATGAATTACTGTGACATGAATATGTGTGGAATAACAGATATTTTTGTTGTTGTTATTATAATTTAGAAAATGGTGAACAAAGCATTGAGTTTTATTTTAGATGACAACAAGCAAATGGGTGACATGATCCTGAATCAGACGCTTGAAATCACAAAATCCAAGGTGGGTTAAAAGACATTTTGAAAACTTTTTAAACTACAGTTTACACATTAAATACATTAATAAAAATGGTTATTTAACATTAGTTTTTGAAGATATCGTTGTTCATTGTTACCTAATATGAACAAGCGCAACTTTAGATTTTAATGTTGCATTAGTAAATATTAAACTACAATTAATAAATCGTTTTTCTGGTGTCTTGAGAAAGCAGAGTTTGAAAGTTTGAGGTAGTTTCAAAGTTTAAATCATTGAAGCAGTTTTAAGGAGTTTAGATATAGATAACTACAGATAACTACAGATATGTCAGCATGTTTCTAGTATGGATTAGCATGTTTTTTGCTAGGTAGTTGATAGGGTGTTCTGAGTGGTTGCTACAGTGTTGCTAGGTGGTGGCTAGGGTGTTCTGAAAGGTTGCAAAGGCATTGCTAAGGTGTTCTGAGTGGTGGCTTAAGTGTTGCTAGGCAGTTGCTATGGTGTTCTGAGTCTTTGCTAGGCAGTTGCTAGGGTGTCCCAGGTAGTTGTTAAGATGTTTTCAGGTGGTTGCTAGGGTATTCTGAATGGTTGCTAGGCTGTCGCCGGGAGGTTGTTAGGGTGTTCTAGGTGGTTGCTAAGGCATTGTTTGGCAGTTGCTAAGGTGTTCTGAGTAGTTGCTAGGCAGTTGTACAGTCCTATGTGGTTTCTAAGGCATTGCTATGTAGTTGCTAGGGTGTTTAGGTGTTTCTAAGGTGTTTTGAGTTGTTGTTAAGGTGTGGCTAGGCTGTTGTTATGGTGTTCGGGGTGAATGCTAAGGCATTTCTAGGTAGTTTTCATGGTGTTCTAAGTGGTTGCTAAGATGTTTCTAGGCGTTTACTGGGGTGTTATGAGGGGTTGCTATGGCATTGCTAGGCAGTTACTAGGGTGTTCCAGGTTATTGTTAAAGTGTTGCTAGGTGGTTGCTAGGGTATTTTAAATGGTTGCTAAGGCATTGCTATGTGGTTGCCAAGGGGTTGCTACAATGTTCTGAGTGGTTGCTAATGTGTTGCTAGGCGGTTGCTAAGGTGTTTTGAGTGGTTACTAGGTGGTTGCTAATGCATTGCTAGGCAGTTGCTATGGTGTTCTATGTGGTTGCTAAGGCATTGCTAGGTAGTTGCAAAGGTGTTCTGAGTGGTTGCTAGGTGGTTGCTAGACAGTTGCTAAGGTGTTCTGAGTGGTTGCTAGGCAGTTGCTAACATTAATTAGCATGGTTCTAGTATGAATTAGCATTATGCTAGCATGTTTTAGTTCAAATTAGCATGTTGCTAGTATGTTTCTAGTATGGATTAGTATACTGCTAGTTTGATTTGGTTTGTTCTTAGTGTTTCCAATGTAAAGTCAATGGCAGCTTTTTTACAATAGAAGTCAGTTGCTAGAGTGCCGTAAGTGGTTGCTAGGGTGTGGCTAGTAACTTGAAAGGTCATCTGTGATTGGCAGATTGGTAGTCTAAATGAAATGAGCAGAAAGAATAATAAGTTAATGTAGTATAACAGTATTGTCTTTCTCAAGCCATCATAATGAAAGCTTGTTGTATATTGTGACTGAAAAAATGTATTATCGTTATTTTGGCTGCTTCACTTTTTTGTTCTCAAAGTCAAATGTGAATCTACAGGAAAGGGCCAAACATCTTGAGACCCTTATGCATGCTCAGTTTAAGAAAATGCATGACTTCTTGTTGAAAAAGGAGGAGGATGCAATGAGACAGATCCAGAAAGCAGCAAACAGTGCTGAGGAATCAATGAAGCATAATGGGTCGTTGTTGTCAAAGTTGCAAATAAAAGGAAACAGCCAGGTGTCCATATTGGAGTCAGGACTAAAGATAAACCAGCCAGAGAGGTTTTTAGAGGTAACGTTGTTCTGTAGCACATTCCAGAAACATGTTTAGACTCAGCATGGTGGATTTCATAACACCTCAAATCTGTTTCTATTATTTTCAGTGGTGGAGTAAAGACGGGTTTCCTTTGGTTAATGAAATCAGCGAGAGCAAAAACATCAAGTTTGCCATTCCAACCAAGTAAGATAGAAAATGCTTTTTAGCTGATATTTTGGACACTTTTACACAGCCATTTCTTAATATTACTGCATTACAACACAACAAAACTCCATACATGCTTAAAAATATTTTTTATCGACAGATTTGAACCGTTTTAAATGAAATTATAGTCTATCAAATACATAAGCTAATCATGTAATACCATTACTAATACATATTAGGTGTCTGCATAATATTATTATTTTTTAATACATTTTAAGGGTTTGTTGGTTGTTCCTTGGTGAGCTCTTTCAAGCAAATGAAAAAAAGACGCTTTTCCACTTTGCACAGCTTGGCTGACTTCAGTTCTTGCTATAATTCTCTTGTGACATTACTGTTGTAATGAAATATAAACACACAATAGTCCAGGAGTTTGCACCTTATACAGTAAGCAGTGGACAAGCCCCCAAAAGTAAGCACCATATCGTACTAAACCGAACCGTACCATACGGTGGAAAAGCACCTTAAGACACTATTATAAGATGGCCATAAGAGCTCAAACATAAAAGCTTTATCTATTTGACTACACATGTGCATATTAAATAACCAATAAAACGCAGCAACTGACTCCAGCAACTGACTAAACACAAAGAAGTCAGGTTCGTCAGTTTTTGGGGTGCTCCGACACACTTCCACTGCAATCTGCACTATTTGTAGCATATTTCTGTATTTGCATATGTTGTGAGAATTTGCATGTGCGTGTGTTTTTTAATTTGTTAGTGTTTTCTTAACATGCAAGGTGTTTGAGCTCTCAGCCATTGTGCTATTGAAGGGATTGTTCACCCAAAAATGAAAACTCTGTCATCATTTACTCACCCTTTACCTGTTTCAAACCTTTATAGGTTTCTTCTGTTAAACACAAAAGAAGATATTTAGAAAAATGTTGATAACAGACCACTATCATTCATTTTCTTTTTGGCTTAGTCCCTTTATCAATCTGGGTTCCCCACACTGGAATAAAACGCCAACTTATCCAGCACATGTTTTACACAGTGGATGCCCTTCCAGACGCAACCCTTCTCAGGAGAATGTTTTTCTTACTATGAAAGTAAATTGTTAAAGATTTTCAGTATTTTTTTAAAAAAACTTTTTTGTGTTCAACTAAAGAAAGAAACTCAAAGCTCTAGAAGCGCTTAAGAGAGTGAGTAAATAGTGAGTTCATTTTCATTTGTGGGTGAACTATCCCTTTAAATAACATTATTCCTGTTAACTATACAAAGGCAACTAAAAAATTACAAATCCATCAGCAAAACAAACATTTGTTCAGACTCATTAAAAATGCATAAATAAGTGGTCTCAATAATTAAGGTTAAGAGTGTGTATTTCGAAGAAGAAGAAAAAGAGGTTTGTAAAGATTAAGAAGCTCATTGAAGCGGTGCTTTATAAACAGCCTTCACTAAGATCAATGGCCCAGTTCAGTGTTGCCATCTAGGAAAAAAATAATTAGTGCAAATAAGAATTCTAAATTTACATGCAAACATATTCAAAATACGTATGGTAATAAAGTATAGGGGAACAGATACATTAAATGCTTACTTTTCTTGTGACAAAATGTATGTCATGAGCGCTGTATGCAAACACGTGTATAAAACTGAAGCATGCTTTGGGTTTATTGCACATGCATTGTGCATGTTGAACTTTGCACTATTTAATATGTCCACAAGGTGTCAACACTGAGCTGGCCTGCTGTTATACTGTCAACTAAGGTACAGGAGCCAGAACAGTTTACTAAAAGTGTCTGAAAACTTTATTAAAATGTTCTTTTTATTGTTGAAAAAAAAGAGAGAGAGAAAAGACTCATGTTCCAGACACTGAGCAAATATCTTTTTGTGCTCTAATGTTAATTTTCATGAGAATGTTGCAAGTTCATAGTGCAGTCCTAGCTCAATTTCATGTGTGCAATGTTGCTGTAAACATTTTAACGGTTGTTTTCTATAGATTTAAGTCGAAACATGATGGCGTTCGAGTGATTTGTGACCATTTTACCCTTGGGCCTTATGAAACTGACCTTCCGCTCATGGTTTGGCGAGACATGCTGGGTCCTGTTAAACGAGGTGAGTTGAGCTTTCATGAACATCTCTAATAAAGAAACACATTTTTATACTGTGTTTCTGCCATTAATCTTATTATAACCACTATATTTTATCAGTGGTTATAATGTTTTACTCCAAGGCCCCCAAATACATTATTTAAAGATACCCTTAAATGTTTCTTTATATGCATCCTTATATGTTAAAAGCTTGTTTAATGTCAAAGCTGCTATATTTGTACTATGTTATGTTATTATGTATTAGCACATTAAAATAATTAAAATGATTAAATTCCTTAATTTTCGTAAGCGAATAGTTTCATGTTTTTTATTACCAAGGAAGTTAAATTACTTTCTCAGTTGTTCTGTAAATAGATTAGTTTTAGTTTTAGTATATTTTGTGGTTTGGTTTGGTTTATTTATACTTATTTATTTAAAAATACTTTTTAAATTGCTTATCAAATAAAATATTTTAGAGCTTGGTGTTATTTAAAAAATATAAAGTACCTGTAATTAAATTGATTAGGATTATTGAGATTTTAAGCACAATTTCATTACACTATACACGATAGTTTTCATGATTTCTCTTTTAAAATGTCTGCATATATGCAGATTTTTATGCAGATATAATAAACCAAAAGGACATTACATGCAGCTTACATCACATGTTTTAGCTTTAGCTTAATTTAAGCTTATTTTAGGGCCCCTCGTTGAGAACCCCCCCACTAGGTCACCAGATTTTTTCTTTATTTAAGCTTCATTGGTTTGGAGAATGATTGTTTTAATATTGTATTGATTATTGCTTTAATGACTGTCTTACTCTTCATTTGTCTTTAGACCTATCAGATTCATCTACAATGGACAAAGACCTAAAACTTGCTTTCAAAAAGGAGAATCATCTGCAGCCTCAAGGCGAAGATTACTTTGCCAGATTCCAGAAATTTCACAACGGTTACAGGGAGAATTATGTGGAGAGCATTCAGCCGGGTCAGGTGTACTGGGAGGTCGATATCGAAGCTGAACCAGGATGGGAACGAGGACTTACTGTTAGATATTACCCAAAAGAGAAGAACACATCCCTCTGGCAGACATTATTTAACAAAGGTTTTGAGAACATTTCTCTTTCTGTAAAAAATGGTCGACTGTATGCTGTAAGAGGTGATAAAGAAACCCTAATCGCCAACCAGACTAAACCCCGCAGAGTCGGGGTTTACGTGGACAGTGTGAAACACCAGGTTGTGTTTTGCAATGCAGACAGTATTTCTCTCATTCACACAGTGTGGTGTGGAGATCAATAGTTCTTCATTATAAATCAAGGATATTTACATCTGCTTTGAATTATGAGGGGCATTCATGAATCATTTATAGTAAAAAAATATATATATATTTTTTTTTTATCATCCTGTTAATTGTTGTACATGGTAAATAAAATATTGTGCTCTATATGATTTTTTTTTCTGATTTATCTAATCAAATGAATGAAATGTTTTAAATGAATAAGTATAATTTGAAGTAGTTTCTATGTTTTGAATCTTTGAATATTTGGTAATCATAAAGCATATAGCAAGATTATGAATGGGTGTTTTGTCAGCTGATTTGAATGTTAAATCCAATTCGAATGTTATCATTCAATTGAATGGGCGTTACTGGTGGTTATCAGCTGAAAGATATGGGCCAGTAGGGGCCTTCTGCGCCTACACTGTAAAAAAAGTGATTAGTTACTTAAAGCCAGTAATCAATTGCACTAAAGGCAATAAGCTGACTTAACAAAAATAATGTTAAGAAAAAAATAAAGTAAACCCGTTGTAACTTAAAACTTAACTTGACTTGATTTTTATAATTTTGCTAATTGTACTCATTTTTTTAAAGCAACTAATCCCTTATTACAGAGTCAGACTTTTTAGGATGTCTGTTTTCAAAAAATTACTGTAATTATTCCAATATTACATATTTGGTTCTTTATTGGGTCTATAAATTCTACACTTATTGCCTGTTTTGAATTTAGAAGACACACTGGGGTCTGGAAAAGCTGATGTATTTTACTGTATGTCATTTTGCAAGATACAGAAAAGCTGAAAAAAAGGTGTATTGGAAAAAGTGATTAGTTTACCTTTTATTTAAAAATAAGTGAGTACAATTAGCATAATTATAAAAAAAAATGGCGAGGCAGTGGTGCAGTAGGTAGTGTCGTTGCCTCATAGCAAGAAGATCGCTGGGTCGCTGGTTCGAACCTCAGCTCGGTTGCTGTTTCTGTGTGGAGTTTGCATGTTCTCCCTGCCTTCGCGTGGGTTTCCTCCGGGTGCTCCGCGTTCCCCCACAGTCCAAAGACGTGGTACAGGTGAATTGGGTAGGCTAAATTATTCATAGTGTGTGAATGTGTGTGTGGATATTTCCCAGAGATGGGTTGCGGCTGGAAGGGCATCCGCTGCGTAAAAACTTGCTGGATAAGTTAGCGGTTCATTCCTCTGTGGCAACCCCAGATTAATAAAGGGACTAAGCTGACAAGAAAATGAATGAATGGATAAAAAAATAAGTTGATTTAACAGTTTCAAGTTACAATGGGTTTACTAACATTATTTTTGTAAAGTCAACTTGTTGCTTTTAAGGCAATTGGTTTACTCGCTTTAAGTAACTAATCACTTTTTAAAGTGTACTAGTAGGCTCAGAAGGCTGTTATAATTTATCCACATGGTTAATCAGCTATTGATCACATATGACTGTGACCAGGAGTTAACAAGAATTATTTATATTATTTTGTCCAACAAAAAATGAAATGGTATGTGATATTTGTTTGTTTTTACAGTGACTGAGAGTAAGGCCCAATTCCAATTCTATTTTTGTACCCCTTCCCCTTGACCCTTAAAACCAATGGGGGGAGGGGAAGGGCTTTAAAATTTACCCCTAAAAGTTGGGACAGCACTACAGCACCAGCACATGTCATCATGTCATAGCAATCTCATGCTTCATATGAGATCAGATGATCGCGACTGCTGTAGTGATTCCAGTCGTGTTATTTTTGGTTTTATAGACCAGGCTGGTTTTAGAGGGGTTTTGACCATTTCCAGGCTGGTTTCCAGCCATTTCCAGCCTGGTCTTACCTGGTCAGGCTGGGAGATGACCAGCTAAAACCAGCTATATCCAGCTTAAACCAGGGTGGTCAAGCTGGAAACCAGCCTGTAAATGGATGTTTTTCAGCAGGGCTGGAATCACTCCAGCAGTCGTGATCGTCTGATCTCATATAAAGCAAGAAATAGCGAGGACATATGATGACGTGTGCAGGTGCTGTAGTGCTGTCCCCATTCTTAGGGGTAAATTTTTAAGCCCTTCCCCTTAACCCTCGGTTGTAAGGGCCAAGGGGAAGGGGTAAGGGTACAAAAATTGAATTGGGATTGGGCCTAAAAGGTGTTAAAGCAATAGTTCACTCAAAAATTTAAATCCTGTCATCATTTACTCATCCTCCCCTTGTTCCAAATCCCTTTGTTTGAGTTTCTTTCATTTATTTTTTTACAATTTTGTGTGAACTATCCCTTTAAGGGATGAATTGAAAATCAAGTATGTTCATATTGCATGCTTTTCAGAATATTAAAGAGGTTATATAAATGAACTCAATTACCTCAGCAATTAAAAGCTTTTTACGGAAGTCTGTTGGAGTCTTTATCTTAAAGGACGTGCCGAAGGATGGACAATGGTTTTTCTTGCCAAAGACAACAGGAAAGTGAATAACATGATGGAAAACAATAGTGACTCAGGAGCACAAATGCAGTCACAAGTGTCAATTGTTTGGAAATTGAGCTATATCTGAAGGTTGAATAAAAATAGCTTACCATTGATGTATATGGTCTGTTAGGCAAGAACATACTTTGACAGAGATGATACTATTTAAAACTGGAATCTAAGAGTTCAAATCAATCGAAATATTGAAAAAATCACCAAATTATGTTCTTACCAATGGATATTATTAATTAAAGATGATAACTTTCAAACAAAAAATTAAATAAACTTTTCATGTTTTGTTATTTTTTTATTTTTTTGCAATTGGTTTACATTTGGGACTGCCTTTCAGGAAATCCCGGATTACAATTTAAATGAAGCTTACCTTTATCTTCAGATTCTAAAGTTTTCACCCCTGGCTCTTAATTGCTATTGTTTCCTTCTGCAGCATCAGTGAGGGTTTAAACCTTTATCAATAGTCATGCTTGAGTCCTTCGGTCATCCTCAGAGAGAAAAGATGATTCTCACAATCATACACTAACTTTTGGAAATGGTTCAAATCTGAAACTTTTGAAAAACTTTTTTCCTTAAAATCAGAAGCAGTTTATCTGTTCAGAGCAGACGAAAGACTCATGAACAACTATTACAAATTAGAAAAACCACCCGATCATCAGGAAACACAAACAGTATTAAAAACTAAAATTTATTTCAGATATGTTTTTTTTTTACTATATGTAAACATCTGTTATGTAAAATATCCTTCTCAGGACACTACTAAATAGAAAATACCATCCATTTAGTATGATCTCTCTTAATTTGTCAAAATTCATCACATTTTAACAGATTCTGCAAGGGGTGTGCAAACTTCCAAACAATCTATTGTAGAACATAAAAGAAAAAATCTTCATGCCTGATACATAATGGCCTAATCATTTTTGACATAAAAGAAAAATAATTTACTTTGACCCTTACAGTGTATTATTGGTTATTTGGAAGTTTGCTTTTGTGGTTCGGGGTTAGACTGGGGTTAAATGTTTAGACTAAGGTAAAAACTCACTTGTAAACAGCAAGTCTAATAAGTTTGAGTCTAAATGTCATTTTAGTGCTGAATCAGTAAAACATTATAGTACATTTAAAGACTAATATTATTGTAGTATTATCATCCTAATTGTTTTATTATTCTTACCCTCAGAGGAGACCTCTAGTGTGTTTGGAGGAGGCGCAGCTGTTTTTGAGAAAGCAGGAATAGGAAGTGGAACAGCTGGAGACGGTACAGGAATGCAGCTGAGGCCATGCAGAATAACCTAAACCAACAGCTGCAAGAGAAAAAAAGAAAAACTTCAGAGAGAAACACAACCTAAGCACTTTCTACATGTTAAATAAAAATATCACCTCTTCTTTTGTCTTCTTGGCATATGCGGCAGGGTAAAATATATAACTGGCTGTTTATTTTTGAGAGAAAGTTCCAGTTGGATTTTGCAGTTAAAGGCTTATTATAGCATTCATTGATTAAACACAATCATTTTTCAGAAGCCAAAGAGGAAAATCCCTAATGTTTTGTTTTATTAGATCATCTGTAGTGTTGTGAAAATTCACATATGAAAAGATCAGTCGATTTGTTTTTGCACAGAACTGGAAGAAAATTCAATATTTTGAAACAGAAGTTATACAGTTGAGAGAACGAACAGTGATGTGGTTTAGCCAATTATTAATGTATACACACAAGATTACAGTTGCTAATATAAAATCTATTGTATCACCGGTATTGATTACAATAAAAGGTTATATATATTCCATTGCATTATGTTGAGGATATTGCTCACAAGGGCGACACAGTGGTTCAGTGGTTAGCACTGTCTCTCAGAGCAAAGAAGATCACTGGTTCGTGTCCCGGCTGGGTCAGTTGGCATTTGTTTGCATGTTCTGCCTGTGTTCATGTGGGCTTCCTCATGGTGCTCCAGTTTTCCCCACAGACCAAAGACTATAGGTGATTTGAATAAACTAAATTGGTTGTGAGTGTGCATGTAAGAGTGTATGAGTGTTTCCCAGTACTGGGTTGCAGCTGGTAGGGCATTCGCTATGTAAAACAAATGCTTATTAAGCTGGTGGTTCATTCTGCTGTGGCGACCCCTGATTAATAAAGGGACTAAGCTGAAAGAAATTGAATGAATGAATATTGCTTATAAGTTATGTTGCAGAATGCCTACAGTTCTGTTGGTATTACTCTACTGCATTCAGGAATTTACCAGCAGTTGCAGAGCAAACAGTAAATCACAACTAAATTCGATTATATAGTTTTACTGCGGTATTGTGAAATGTCAAATTTTTGGCTGAGAAATGTCAAAATCATCTTCAGATAAATGTTTCCTAAGGAAAGCTGTGCATCCTTTTAGCAACTGAGGTAATTTTCCAAGACAATACCGATTTTGGTCTCTTTTAAAACAAATGTCTCTAGGACATACTGACATGACATGGACATATGACTGTCTCTGTACAAAACTAATTTCATTTCATATAAAGACATGAATCACATTCCACAAGAGGTGTCCAAAATTAGATGCAGCCAATTAGATTCAAGAAGCAGAAACTACTGATGTGTTAATGTAAATTGTTCGTTCATTCATTCATTTATTTTCATCAAGTTTTCCGGGGCTGGGTCGGGGTGGCAGTAGTCTTAGCAGAGAACCCCAGACTTCCCTCTCCAAGACACTTCCTCCAGCTCTACCAGGGGAATGCGAGGCGGTCAGCCGAGAGACATAGTGCCTCCAGCGTTTTGTGTGGTTTCCTCGAGTCCTTCTCCCGGTGGAATATGCCTGGAGCACCTCCTAGGCGTCCAGGAGCATCCGAAACAGATGCCCAAGCCACCTCAGCTGACTTCTCTCGATGTGGAGGAGCAGCGGCTCTACTCCGAGCTCCTCCCAAGTGACAGAGCTACTCACCCTATCTATAGGGGTGTGCCCTGCCACCCTGTTAAGGAAACTCATTTCGGCCACTTGCAGGCCCGGATTGGCTAATCGGGAGGACCGGGAGAATTCCCGGTGGGCCGGTCCGTTTTTTGGCCGCGAGGGCCGGTGTCCCTAGCTTCAGAATCTGTAGCTCTCAGCAGTCACACTTTTTAAATGGATTTATTTATTTACTTGACCACAGTGTTCTTATTCATTATTTTACCGCAGCTTTGCTCTTTTTATCTATTTTATCCCAGCCTCGTGAGCAGGAGGCAGCCTGCAGGTTAATGATGATATAAATCAGATGAGTCACCAATTAATGTACCGCTGTTGTGGTCGAGTGGATAGCACGTTAGGTTATGATGCCTCCGATTCGGGTTTGACTTGTCTGAATAACTTATTTTTTTCATTTTTATTGTTAAGACATAAAATACTGTTAGGGTTGTTGAACATTTGAAGTTCTAAAGCACCTGTTTTCTCAAAAAAAAGACGTGATAGTGTAATTAAAAACTGAATTGGAAATGACCTTATTTTAATATAGTCAATTGTGAACTGAGGTGGGCCGGTCTGAGGCTTGAAACTCCAGGGCTGAAAAGGAGTCCCACTCCGGCCCTGGCCACTTGTATCCGTGATCTTATACTTTCATAGTTGAGAGTATTACAGATTGACTGGTAAATTCAGAGCTTTGCCTTGCTTTGCAGCTCCTTTTTTACCACATCTGATCGATACATCGACCACATTACTGCTGTCGCTGCACAGCATCCGCCTGTCAATCTCACGTTTCATCCTTCTCTCCCTTGTGAACAAAACCCCAAGAAACTTGAACTCCTTCACCTGGGGTAAGGACTTTCCTCCAACCTGGAGATGGTAAACCACCTTTTTCCAGGGGAGCACCATGGCCTCAAACTTGGAGGTGCTGATTCTCATCACACTCGGCAGCAAACGGCCCCAGTGCATGCTGAAGATCCTTGTTCGATGAAGCCAACAGAACAACATCGTCTGCGAATAACAGACATGAAATCCTGTGGTTTCCGAACTGGACGCCCTCCAGCCCAAGGCTGCGCATAGAAATTCTGTCCAAACAATTATCAATAGAATAGGTGACAAATCAGTCATATTTAAAAGAATTGACAGGAGCCAGAGATACTCTTGAAAAGTTAACATGTTTTGCTTGTTGATAAAATTTATTCTGTTTTGTTTTATTTTTTCTACTCATTGGAGTCCTTTAGGGCTTTTATCGAAAATGAAGTTAAATATTACTGTATAATTGCACATCCTTATTAGCAAATCAGTCAATATATTCTATCAAAATTGTTCTATGCATTATCTATATCTTTTACCTGTTGTTATCTATTTAAGCTATGTTCACAAGATAACGGTGTACTAAAAAATCAGTACATTGTTGTGGTGTTATCATTTAACTTTAATTTTGATCTCCTTCCCTCTTGTCAAAGAAAATCTTCCCAACGTGGGAAAAGCTATGTGTGTGCCTTCTTTAAAATGTGTGGTAATCAATTTGCAATTACACTTAACTAAAAAGTAAAAATACTGGGTTGTTTAGCCCAAAATAAAACATGGATTATCCAAGTCTTAAGTAACAAAATTTTTTCAATAATTTCTAAATGTATCTCGACAACAGTGTTTGTCCATATAAACACCAAAATCGAGTTAAAACAATCCAGCATCAGTCTTTCAACATGAAAACAGCTGAGTAAAATTGATCAACAACTGGATTCATGATTTTGTGATTGTGCTGCGTCATGTTTTGATCTGTTTTGTTTGTTTACAGTTTTATGGGTAGCACAAGATGATTTGCCAAAATTTTTAAATAACATATATAAAGTGTTCAGACCTCACCACAAAGATCGATGTGTACATATAATATAATTCACACCTAAAAAACTAGGATAAGAAATTTACCCTGTTAAAAATTTATAAGACAATTTTGGGTAGCACTTTAGCATAATTACCAATTCCCACTATTATCTATTGGCTCATTATGATGATGATGATGATGATGATGATGATGATTATCATAATTAAGATATTTGCTGTTTATAAGTACTTAAATAGTATAATAGTATCATCTACATCCTAATCTCAATACCTACACTCACTATTAATAGGTAGCTAATTAGTGGTTTATTGTTTTCAAAGTCGTTTTTTGTATCCTAAAATAAAGTGTGACCCAGTTTTGCTTTAACTTTCAAACTAAATGGTTAGCGTAATTTTCTTTTGTTACGCTTTCTTGGAACTTTTTACTAAACAATTGAAAAGGATGGGCATAAGTGTCAATTATATTCAATAACTATGTCAGATTACATTTACATTTACATTTAGTCATTTAGACGCTTTTATCCAAAGCGACTTACAAAGATTAAACTTGATTTCACAGAAAAAGTCATTAAATGTCTAATTGCTGTTGATATCTATCTGTAGTTAAACATTTTTGTACATCTGAATTTCACAACATGTTTGGTAAGAAGCATTTTACAGGAATAGATAATAAAAAAATACTATCATGATCAAACTGTTGTTTTTATTGGCTAGAATGATGTACAACTGACTCACTGTGTCGATCTGTGCCTGGTTAAAATTTAAATATTGCGTAACCAGCTTTTCTCCCGTTCTTCCTGCCAGTGTTTATTCTCTTCCTGCCCCTAAATGCGTACATGATCACACACACACATGGAGGAGGGGACGGAGGGAAAGAGGTTAAAAGTCAGTGGCAAAAAGGAGCCGCACGAACAAGTCTGAGAGGAACAACTCAGGAAGAACTTTCGCTTCTTATTTTCTCCAGACAGTCTCTCTCTTTTTTTTTTTTTTTTTTGATTGCTCACTTCTTTATGGACTTCTTATTTCTCTATTGGGAATCTGAAGGGCAAGACTATAAGATAAAGGCACAATATATGTCAGAAGGACTACATAAAAAGATCTGTTGTTAAATAAATAAGAAGACTGTGAACAGATTTACTGAACTTGTGCTTCTAAGATGGAAGATATTGAAAATTACACCAGTTTACAAGAGTTTACTGAAGATATCTCTCATTGTGGGAACAGACCTATACTCTCATCACAGAGCAAACAAGGTAATGTTTGTATGCGTGTGTGTCTGGGAATGTGAGGATCAAGGGTCAAATGAAACCCTGATTGAAGCATGTGGGAAAAGCAAGAGTAAAAATGAACAGATCTGACTGTGATTTTGTGTTTTATCAGGTGTTCACAAAGGAGTGAAGTGTTTGAGAGGTCAGGTTTCTCTTGTCCTGCTTATTGCTCTGCTGACCTCGGTTTGTGCAAACATAGGACTTGGCGTTCTGCGTGAGTAAACACACCACTATACAAAAACATTCTGCATGTAAGCAATGCATCTGTGTCTGACGCCAGATCCCTGCTGCAGTAAAAGTGCATTACCTGTAAGTGCAGTATAAAATAATTATACTGTGTGTTGAAGCATGTCCCTAAATAGAATAGAATAGAATAGAATAGAATAGAATAGAATAGAATATGTAATAATATATTCTGAATAATATCGATAAGCTGGTTTTAAAATGTTGTGACATTGTGTATGAATATTTTTTTAAATGTCTAAATCTAAAAAAAAAAAAAAACTGATGAATTAAAATTATATAAATAACTTATAAAAACTAACAAACCAGTCTAATAAATTATTACAACAACAACAAAAAAAAAAAGAATGACAGTCATTGACCAGTAGGTAATGTGGTATTGCTGGAACAGAATTAAACAGAATATATACTAAGCTTGATTTAATATTCTATAGTATTTATTTAAATTACAAATATTATTAAAATTAAATAAATACCCCATTTTAGAGATCATTTTAGCCATCAAGGCATTATTGTGTGCAAGAATAGAATAGAATAGAATAGAATAGAATAGAATAGAATAGAATAGAATAGAATAGAATAGAATAGAATAGAATAGAATAGAATAATATAAGGTGATATGGTTTTGGTTATGGCTTTAAAATAATGTGACATTTTGTATAAATATTTTTTAAAGTCTAAATCTAAAACAAAATTAAAAAAAAACTGATTAATCAAAAATATAAAAATAAATTTAAAAAACACACAAATTATTATCATAAATTATAACAAAAAAAATTTAAATGTACGTGCACAACATTAACCAGTAATGTGGTATTGAAGGAACAGAATTAAACAGAAGTTTGATTTAATATTGTACACTAATTAAAAATGAAAAAAATAATAATAATACTAAAATACCCGACTTTAGAGATCAAATTAGACATCAAAGCATTGTTTGGTGTGGTAATAGAATAGAATAGAATAGAATAGAATAGAATAGAATAGAATAGAATAGAATAGAATAGAATAGAATAGAATATGTAATAATATATTCTGAATAATATCGATAAGCTGGTTTTAAAATGTTGTGACATTGTGTATGAATATTTTTTTAAATGTCTAAATCTAAAAAAAAAAAAAAAACTGATGAATTAAAATTATATAAATAACTTATAAAAACTAACAAACCAGTCTAATAAATTATTACAACAACAACAAAAAAAAAAGAATGACAGTCATTGACCAGTAGGTAATGTGGTATTGCTGGAACAGAATTAAACAGAATATATACTAAGCTTGATTTAATATTCTATAGTATTTATTTAAATTACAAATATTATTAAAATTAAATAAATACCCCATTTTAGAGATCATTTTAGCCATCAAGGCATTATTGTGTGCAAGAATAGAATAGAATAGAATAGAATAGAATAGAATAGAATAATATAAGGTGATATGGTTTTGGTTATGGCTTTAAAATAATGTGACATTTTGTATAAATATTTTTTAAAGTCTAAATCTAAAACAAAATTTAAAAAAAAATGATTAATCAAAAATATAAAAATAAATTTAAAAAACACACAAATTATTATCATAAATTATAACAAAAAAAATTTAAATGTACGTGCACAACATTAACCAGTAATGTGGTATTGCTGGAACAGAATTAAACAGAAGTTTGATTTAATATTGTACACTAATTAAAAATGAAAAAAATAATAATAATACTGAAATACCCCACTTTAGAGATCAAATTAGACATCAAAGCATTGTTTGGTGTGGTAATAGAATAGAATAGAATAGAATAGAATAGAATAGAATAGAATAGAATAGAATAGAATAGGCTGTACTTTTACTGTATTTCAAAATGTTCAAGGACAAAATGTTAATTCCAAATGTTTCGAAGGGACAGTTCACCAAAAAATGAAAATTCTGTTCTCATTTACTCAACTTTTACTTTTTCCAAACCTTTTAAAGTTTATTTCTTCTGTTGGACATAAAATAAGATGTTTTGAAGAATGATGAAAACCTGTAAACATTGACTTCTAGTATTTGTTTATCCCACCATGGAAGTCAATAGTTACAGGTTTTGTGCTTTTAGGCTTTCGTCTAGATTAGAACCACTTGATGGAGAGTAAATGGGGAGCCAAATGTTATTTTTGGGTGAAATATCCCTTTGAGGCAGTGACAATAAAAGGGCTTATTTGAGCTTTATGGCTTATTAAATATACTTCATAAATATGAAGTATATTTAATACACAAAACAGTCGGGTGTTTGCTAAGTGTTTACTCAACTGCTGTGTCAATATATATAGGCCTATTGATCATATAAACTTTTTTCCTGTGCATCTGCAGTGGTAAACAGCCGCAGATCGTCCATTTCTGCAGAGCCAGTCAACAGTGAGTCTGAAGCTGCTACTCTTTCTCTCAAACTTACCGCCACGCAGGAGCGTTTTTCCCGCCTTTGCTCTGAATACACAAATCTTGGTCAGGCTTGCTCAAAATCTGGTAAGAAAAACATCTCTGATTGCCATTTGACACTTAATAACTTCTGTAAACTTACCATATTATATTTTTTCTCTCCTTTTATTTCATCTTCCATCTCTCTTGTCTCTTGTGCAGTGATCAAATGTAGACCCTGTCCAGAAGACTGGATGCATTTATCAGAGAAGTGTTATTATTTTAGTGATGATAAACTGGACTGGCAGCACAGTAAAGAGAGTTGTGCGTCTATGGGTGGACATCTGACGATACTACACAGCCACGAACAACACGTAAGTCGGTGGCAGAGTTAGCTTTGTTTGTGAAATCGTGAATGAATGGCTTGTGTTGTTTTAATAACTACTTTTTGTACCATGTGTTTCTGCAGCATGTCAAATCTTTTGGTGATATTTTAATTTTCCCTACAGCACACCCTTGAGGCGGTCGCGCGCAATCACGGAGGAATGGACTATCATTTCTGGATCGGTTTATCAGACACTGAGACTGAGGGAGTGTGGAAATGGGTGGACAATACAGTGGTTAATAAGACGTACGAACACACACACATACACACACCCACAACTAGATAAGCAGTTTAAAAAAACAACAGAGAGAGGGTTTTTAGCGTAGCCTATATTTTGATCTGTTTAATTATTATACTCCATATTTTTATTTTTATTTATTTTTATTTTAAAGGAATCTGTGAAAGTATGTATGTATGTAAAACCGCATATTGTTGATTACCGTCTTCTAGACTAAAAGATAAAACTATTTTGAAAGATGTGAAACTGCAAGCCAGTTTTAAGGAAAACACGACACACAGCCACACACCGTTGGACACCAATTAAACAAACAAAATATTTGTTTAATTTAATGTAATGTTTGGAACTTTTTAAATAAAAATGTTTTTAATTGAAAATATTTTAATAGAAATAAATAAATGTTATTACTAATAATGCAAATAAATGCATTGTAAAATAATGGATAATAATGCAAATAAATCCAAAAGTGTTTATCTAATAGATAGTGAAATAAACATGCTGTGCTCTGTAGAATAAAAAAATTAAGTGCTGATGAAAGATACTATTTAAAGTAAACTGAATTTAAATTAATTGTGTGAAATCTGACTTTAAAAGCATGTGTTACAACAACTAACCCTCTGTCTGTTACAACTTGCCCCGCAGGTGGGGTAAATAGTAACACTTTTACTCCTGGCACTTTTGGCAATACTGCACAAAAATCATAGGTCCGGCAATCAAACAACCAGTGCTCATTTGTAGGACAGGTTTGTGTGTTGTTGGCAAAATAATATGGTTTGTCTAACCCCATTACTTTGTTCATTATTTGGCCAAAACCAAACAGTGTTTATTTGTGCCCGGCTATCCCCTACTTCATCTTTTTAGTGAAAGCTTATGTTTTGAAACATGCTTGAAACTGAATGATATTTTCACTGTTTCAGATAAAGTTTTTGATCTATTTATTTCATGTCATATTTTAAAAAGAAAACAAATAATGTGAAGAGCACCAGGTGGATTAAGTCATTGCACTTCTCAAACAAATATATCTTGAGTACAAAATGTTTAGAAATTGTAGTAGAAAACAAATACTGGGAAAGTATGCACATTCTGAGGGGTTTATAATTATAATTATTATTATTTTTTTGCCTTGTTGCATAGATAGAAATTGAGATGTAAAATTATTCCTGCAAAATATTCAAAGATTATTTTGGTCTTGGTCTTGCAGTAAATAAGTTTTGTTAAATTTTCTTTTTATTTTTTTAACATTTTCTTATATTTTGAGTTTTTTATTTATTAATTTATGTTGTTGTTGTTGTTGGTTTTCTTTATAAAGTATACTAGGTTCGCATGATAAATAATATATCTGGATGCCTATAATATTTGGCGGCCTGGTCATAGATTTTTTAAAAAGCCATCATCTTTAGATATATGAGTGTATAGTTAAATCAGAGTAGAAGGTCTATATAAAACATATGCGTAACAATAAAGATATGGATGGTAATTTCTTTTTTTTTTTTTTTTTTTAAAGCTGCTTTTAAAAATAAAATTGCCATCTGTGCTCACTGCTGTTCTTTGTAGGTACTGGAATGAATGGGAAAAAGAGCCCAATAATCACCGTTCAGGTGGAGTTCATGGAGAAGACTGTGCAGTGCTGGACTCGAGATCCAAGACCTGGTTTGACGTGCCTTGTGATTTCCATTACAAACGCATCTGTGAGATGGACCCCATCGCCTTTAGCGTCTGAACTTCAGTGAAATGTGAATTAATGTTGCTCTATTTTTCTATTGCCCGTCTTTTTAATAAATGGTGATACTGAAAATCCCAAATTTAAGTTTGTGTCTGATTTGACTTGGGATTTGGGAAAACTCAAAACATTGCACAATAATGTATTTTTCTCTCATCATCACTCAGCAGGAAGAACACTTTTAAGTGTTGTGCAATCAAACTGTGGAAACATCCCTTTTTGCAATAACCACTCTACTTACAACAGGGAAAACTCAACGGTAAAAGATGTTTGATTGTTGGAGCACAATGTTGAGTACACAATTAGGCAGTAAGGTTAGGATGTCACAGTCGGAATGTTTGTTCCAGAATATTTCAATCTATTCTGTCTTCATACAGATTATGTGGCCAAAATTGAGGTAAGAGGGGCTGCTATTGAAATGTTTGTCATATCTATAGGATTCTGAGCCTTTTGTGTCCCAAACATCATGTTAATATTGCCCTGAAATGTTCAGAAATATCAATTTAAAATGTATTTATAATAACAATTACATTTGAAGTCAGAATTATTTTCCCCCCTGAATTATTAGCCACCAGTTTATTTTTTCCCCAATTTCTGTTTAACGAAGAGAAGATTTTTTTCACCACATTTCTAAACATAATAGCTTGATTAACTCATTTCTAATAACTGATTTGTTTTATCTTTGCCATGATGACAGAACATATTATTTGACTAGATAATTTTTAAGACACTTTTATACAGCTTAAAGTGACATATAAAGACTTAACTAGGTAAATAAGGGTAACTAGGCAGGTTAGAGTAATTAGGCAAGTTATTGTATAATGATGGTTTGTTCTGTAGACTACTTAAAATATATAGCTTAAAGGAGCTAATGATTTTGACCTTAAAATGTTTTTAAGAAATTAAAAACTGCTTTTATTCTAGTCGAAATAAAACAAGTATGACTTTCTCCAGTAAAAAAAAATATCATTACACTTACTGTGAAAATTTCCTTGCTCAGTTAAACATTATTTGGGAAATATTTGAAAAAGAAAAAAATCTGTATATATAAATGAAGAATCAATGTAGTGTCAGTAATCCTCCTTCTCATAGTTGCTTTGGCATAATTGCTTATTTTTTGGTGCTCCTTTTCATTGCTTAAATTTATATTACTCAAGATTTAATATTAACTTCCACAGGTTTTACATCTCAAATATTGTAAACTTATACAAATAAGTTTTTTAAAGTTTTGCATAAATGTATACATATATTATTATTGTTATTATTATTATTATTATTATTATTATTATTATTGTTTCATCATGTTATAGTGTCCAATAGACACTGAGAACGAGGAATTACCTTCATTCATTTGTAATAAATAAACCAAAATATGGGGAACATGTCATCATGGCAAAAGAAAAGGCACATTGCAGCTAATCACATAAATATAGTTTTAGTTTTAATATACAAAAAACAACAACAAATGCTCAGAAAAACAAACCTCAAAACAACTTCTACTCAAGTAAAGCATACATCAGCATACATATGGTTTAATATTTAATTGTTTAACCCAATTAAAAAGGGCAAATACTATTTTGTCATAGGCTGGACATCACTTCTGGCCTCTATATAAGCTAGAAATCAATCAAATGTCGACACACTTAAAGTGATAGTTCACACAAAAAAAATGACATTTTATCATTTTTTCCTCACCCATAAGTGGATAAATGTTGGGTTTCTTTCTTTTGTTGAACACAAACGAAGATAATTTGAAGAAAGCTGAAAATCTGCAACCAATAATTTCCATGTAAAAAAAAAAACAAATGCTGTGAAAGTCAATGGTTTCAGCTTTCTTCTTTTGTGTTCAACAGACGAAGGAAACTCAAGCCAGTTTGGAGCAAGTGATAGATGGTTTAATGATGGCACAAATTTGGGGTTATTGTTGGGTGATGAACAAAGAGAATTTACATAAAGAATAATTTAATGTTTGTTACCGTGTCTCAAACATTAGTAGAGCTTATATCTGATTGATCATAATGCATAATTTTGAGCATCTAAAATCCTTATATTGGATTTGTAAATGTTAAATAAAAAACATCATTATAGGCATAGTTCACACAAAGCAAAACAAAAACCTGTTTGAGTTTCTTTATTCTGTCGAGCACACAAAAAAGGTTATTTGGAAATTGATTGTATTTGTTTTTTCAAGGGGTCAGTGGTTACATTCTTCAAAATGGCTTCCTTTGTGGTCAACAGAAAAATAAACTCACAGATGGGAGTCACTTCAGGGAGAGTAAATGTTGAGTAAGTTGGTTGAACTATCCACTTATTTATGTAGATATTTTGAGATTTACCAACTAGTCCTAATTCTCTTGACCACACGATGGCGACGTGTATCCGTTCACTTTCATAATCTCTCTTTCTGGTCACGCCCTCCCGTCTGCCTCTCCACCAATCAGAGAGCACGTTATTATGTCGTAGCACGCTTGCCAACGGAAGTAGCATTGGCACCACAGTTGACACAAACATCCTCAGTCTTTGTAAATAAGGTAAATATAACTGCTTTTCTGCACGTTTCAGCTCGCGAAATTAATTACACGTTAGTTTTGCGCATTTCAGTATATGTTGTAACGTGTATAACATTGCGTGTTTACGTAATACCACAGTTTAACAACGACAAGGCCTTGGCTAGCTTGTTCTGTGTTGATGTTCTTTATACCGGTGTGGTGCTGAAGTGTGAGCACGAGTTCATGTTCATTCTCTAACTGTTGTTAATGAGCTTTAAACAACACAACAAAGAATTAAAAAGCAATTCAAATAAGCAAATAAACGGCTAGGTTGTTGTTTTACGTACTACAGTAACGTTAACGTTAGTGGTAGCTTTAGAGGTAAAGTTGGTTTTATGTACACATTCGGAATTTGTCCTTAATAAATTAATTTCAGAAAAGTATTATGTGCTAATACGCAATCATAAAATAAATTAGCAGCCAGTGACAACATTCAGTCAAATAAATAGTGCGTAAATAAATAGTAAGTCTTGAATACTTACATATGTTTTCAGACGGAATATTCAGAGTACCATGGTAAACAATTTAGGGAGCATATGTCACTAGGCATGGGCTGGTATAAGATTCTGACGACATGGTAGGCTCGGATAAAAATATCACGGTTTCACGGTATTGTGATTGTGAACTACTCTAAAATGTATTTTTTTTAAAATGTCTGGGTTAAAAGTTAAAACTTTTCCCCGTTTGAACACAATATATTTAATTTTTAGAAACTTTTAAAATATTTTGGAGCAGTAAACATTTCAGATAAAAAAATAAAATGAATCATTGATTTCTGCTGTCTTCATTAGTTTCAAAAACAGATTTCTTTACCATTTGAAACGGCATCATTGGATATCATTTCTGCTAGAGGTAGTATTGACCTGAAAAAAAAAAAAAACGCATATACCATAGCCATATATAGCAGAAAGTTTTTACTTTTCCAAACCGCGGTATACCTTGAAAGCATGGGTTATCATCTCATACCTACGTCACAAGTTGTCACTAGACAAATGTGCGAAGATAAAACTAACTTTAATTGTTAGTGAACACAAATCACACTTCCAATGTGATAAACATTGTTTTCTGAAATGTTGTATGTGACGTGTGATGTGTTATGTACCATTTGCAGTCTCATAAATATTGTCTTTCTGGTGTATGTAATTGCTTTCCTGTTTTATCTTTTTAAAATGTTTTCTTGGCCGTCCCTGAGCTGTGATCAGTCCAACTGGCAGCCTTGTTTTAATCATAATTAAAGTGCATCATGCATAACTTTACCCTGATAATGTTGTTATTTTTACCCTGTGCCACCTGTCTTATTAAATCCCTGCATCAAAGTGTCATGGAAAGCATATTGCCGTGGATCAACAGCAATTTAACAAGCCCTATGAAACGGGTTTATTGTACATGAGTTATTGAGGGTTGCTGGTACAGATTTAACAAGAACAAATCTTGCATTTAATCCCTCCTCTCTGTTTATGGAATCTGCATTTTCTTAAACTTTGCAGGTCCATTTTTTGAGGTAAAGTTGATCTTATATTTGCACATTAATTCAGTGACAACTTGTGACATGCTCCCTATATTATTGACCATATTACTTTAACTATTCCCTCTGAAATAGTATTCAAGCATGATTTAAAACAACATTAGCACTATTTAATTGATAGAACAACGCACTTTGGGAATCATTGGCTGCTAGTAGGATTTCCCGATTTACAATTTGCAAAGAATACTTTTCTTAGTTTATGTTATTAGGAGAAAGTCCAAATGTGTGAATATAAAACCAACTTCACCTCTATTATCCATTTTGTGGTTTGTTTAAACCTTGTTTCTCTTTGTCAGATGGAGGTGGATCAGCTACTGTCTCTCTCAGGTTCAGCTTTGGCTCAGGCCATCAGCTCTATACTGGAAACACCAGGCCTCTACGTGTTCTCAGACATATTAGAACTGCCCAACGTCCGTGAGGTGAGGAATATATGTGTGCAGACGAATCTATTACAGTTACTCTTGATGACTCTATATGAATTCTGTCAGATGTAATTATTTTAAATGGCAGCACCTGTGTCATCTTAAATGTCATGGCTATTAGGCTTCTGTTTAAGAGCTACTTTGTTTTATTATTTATTGATGTCTCTCACCATTCTGTCTAAAAGCAAATGTATTTTTGCACTTTCTATTCAGATTAGATTAATGTAGCATGATCTTGAAAACCACAGAAGGCATCTGATTTATTTAAGGGATCATGAAATGGAAAATCCAAATGGTCTTGATGTTGACAAAAATAAGAGGTTATTTTACTGTGAAACCATACTGCAAGTTTCTGATTGGAAAATCGATGTCATGATTTTTCTTTGACACGCCTCTTAACATTCATCTTTGTCATGTGTAATGAAGGAGGCGTGTTCTGAGCAACTGTTTGTCAATAACAGCTGTGAAACTGCCTTAGCAATAAGATGTGAGGAAAACTGTCAAACTGTTGGGGAAGCTGCTCATGAGGAATCAGGAAACGTAGCTAAGCTCTGAAACTATCTTAATAAGCTATAAATTGCTCATCAGTACTTTGGAAATGTAGCTAAGCTACTGTCAAACTTCTAAAAAAAAAAAAAGTATCTAGCTACTAGGGGTGTAACGGTTCACAAAAATCACGGTTCGGTTTGATACAACACAGTGGTGTCACGGTTCGGTATTTTTTCGATACAGCAAAAGAGAAAAAAGCCAGATGATTTTTCTGATTTAATTTTTTTAATGTATTAAAACCAACATCCTAAAAGTAGGATGTTGTTGTTGTTTTTTTCTATTACATTAAACAGTTATAGAGTTATACTTCCGGGGTTTCTGCTCAGCAGCAAATAAAACAAATCCTTCTTTTTACCAAAAACCAAAAAGCTGCTTATAAAAAAAATAAATATAATTTTGTAGTAGTTAAACAAATAAAGAGAAAGAACAATTTAGTTTTTATATGGAGCTCGGTTTTGATCAACTTAATAAAAAGTAGATATTTTTTTTATTTTCAGAAAGATGAGTGAGACGCGCGATTTCCGGAAGATTTTCATTCGTTTGCGGGCATCCAGGAGTCTCCCGAAACTTCCGGGAGACTTGGGATGTCTAGGATTACATTATCGTTATTAGCCATTTTGCAAGCTAGTGTAGCACCTTCCTGACTGGAGTAGTGTTTGGAGGTAGTCGGGTGTGGAGATATGTGAACAGGTTATTGAGATTGGCTGTTTTGTGTCAGGGTCCAGGGTTGCTGGGGCAACGTGGGCAGAGCCAGCATGAGCAGCCTAACACAGAAGGCAGCAAAATTGCTAATGATTGCATGCTTTAATTTAAATTAAATTTAATTTAATTTAATTCTTCAAAAGCAATGGTCTACTGTTTAACACTGGGATGCCATGCTGAGCGTTGTTGCACTGAAAACATTTAATTTTGTACTTATTCTCTATTAACTTTTTAGATGTTAGTCTGAATGGAATCGTTCGGTTCGTAATGCGTACCGAACCGAAAGTCTTTTAGGGTTCAATACGAATACGCGTATCGTTACACCCTTACTAGCTACACTACAAGATAGTACTTCCTGTAAGTAGCAAGTTACATTGAAGCTACTTTTTTCACAAAGGCATTCATTATGAAAACGTGAATAAACGTCAATTTTAAGCAATGCCGAGTTCAGACTGCATGATTTTAGCCACGATTTTGAATTGGCGACAGGTTTTTAAAAATCGCAGGCAATAGACAATAGGTCGCCGACACCCGTGAGATATTTGGCATCTGGAGCTGTCGGTGATTCTAATCATGCTGTGTGAAATATGTTCTGATTGAAAATAACATTGACGATTACCTATAGCCCATGAGAGAGCAGCATCCACTAGTATGGGTATATGCAGGTCAGCGGGAGGATGGGGGAGAAGTTAAAAGCATTTGTTTTCAGACTTGATCCAAGAAATGGAGAAAAAACTAGTGGAAAATGGGCAGGAGCACCCATGTCTGTTTGATTGTTCATGTAGTTTTCTTCTTAACAAATATACTTTTAATAATGTTAAACTTTTTTATTTATAATAAAAAAAAGAAACATTGTTTAAAAAATACAACTAGTTTTCTTGTTTTGACGCACTAAAATATGTTTGAGAAATAACTACATTAGTTTTTTTCCAATTCCATTGGACCAACTAAACCATTACAAAAAATCATTAGTGTTTAGTCTCTTATAAGTCTAAAGTCTCGTTCATAATGGTCTTAAAAAGTCTCAAGTTTGACATGTTGAAACCTGAAGAAACCTTGTACATTACAATGGCAATGCTGTAATAGGAACCATATAAAAAAACTTTAAATCACATTAACCGATCAGCGTAAGTTAATCGGTATGGGAAGAAACACTAGTTGTGCATATACCCTAATGTAGTTAAGATATTAGTGGAGATACATCTATAAACTTCAGTATCTAACTGCTCCCCAACACTGCAAACTGCTCCCTAACACTGCAAGGCCTTTCTAAAAATCAGGACCAGAATTTCCTGCCTGAAGTTTTTTAACAATGTATGTCTTCATTTCAAACTATTAACAAGCATTTCAGGACATTACATAGCTGAATTAGAAATGCTTGCTTCTGAATTTAGTATATGGTCATCCCCATTAAGGTAAATATAAAACATCAGATGACATTTAATATATTGGCTGTTATTTTCATGCCACTACACATTTTACATCAGACTGTATCTGTAACCAGTAATCATGCTACCAAAATAGTGCACTTGCAAGTAATCGAGAAACAGTGCTGTTACTTTAGTAATATGAGAGGAAAATACTAGGCTATACATGTAAAACTTACCCAGGAAAAACATTTACCACTCTGTAACGACTGGTGAAGTCATTGTGGTTACTTTGCTGCACTTTGTTTTGTCTTGGGATTGAAATCAGGCTCAGACGTATGGCTCAGTCCTCGCCTTTTCCAGTATCACTAAAGCACCAGTGGTGTAATAGAAGACATGGACAACAGGGAGCGGTTTCTGTTTTAGCCAGAGATAACTCCCATTAAAGTGGAGCAGGATTGGGTTATTAGAAATATAATAAAAGAAATAGAAAGTCAGTATACATGCTATAAATGAAAATTAACAATAAGAACTGTTAAGTGCTCATTATTATAGAAAAAAAAAAATTACTTTAAAAGGCTTCACTTACAAGTTTGCTAAAAATTGGGATCATCTACTTAATTTTTTTTTTTTTTTTAACAACTTTTAGATTTAGTTGATTTATATACAATGCAGATAATGTTATAAATTGCTTCCTAATTGTATTCAAAGACTGTTTAAATGAGGGAAAATCAGTATAATTCAAGATGAATGTGTATGTTTAAAAAGTGAAGGCAATAATTATTGTATAAAAAGTTGCATCTGTCAAAGAGGTAATCTGAAATTTATGTGATAGATTTAATTAAAATGTTGTATTCACTGTTAAAAGCTATTAGTTACTAGTTAATTAGTTTAAGTTATTAGTAACTAATAAACTTATGATAACTAATAACCTTAACCTTTCTGACTTTGATTGTAATGCTATAATGTGCACCTTTTGTAAAGCTGCTTTGAAACAATAATTATTGTGAAAAGCGCTATACATATATGCTTGAATTAGATTGAATTGTGTATTTCTGTAGTCATGTATGTTTAAAATGATGCCTCTACATTTTGAGACCTGTTTAGTGTAATTTAGTTCAATCTGTATCATCAAAATTAGCACATAGTGTGGTTCATCAGTTATAGGTTTATAAAGGATGGGTATAATAAGCAAGGCTTTAGCCTACACTTTTTCAGTGACTATGGTTATACATTTAATTTGTAAAGTTGTTAGTGAGAACCAATTCTTAATGCTCTTTTTTGCAGTGTATATATTGACTTCATATTTCCTTTATATGTATGACCCCACACCTCCACTCATGAGTAATGTATGGTACAAGTAATAGAAATGTTGCTCCACTTAAATGGAAGTTATTTCTAAACATCATTCAAGATCCCTCTCGCCCAGGCCACCAACTGTTTACACTTCTCCCCTCAGGCAGACACCACAGGTCTTTATGCTCTCAAACATCTAGGTATAAAAACAGTTAGTTTTATTCTCAGGCCATATACAACCTAAGCAGTTAGCACATCTGTTGCTACCTGTTGTCTTATGGTCATAAAGATACTGTATGTTTTTTTTTTTTTAAACAATTAAGCCGCTTAATTGTAAATATTTTTATGTAAACATTTTTTGGAGGGGTGACACAATGGCTCAGTGGTTAGCAGCACTGTTGCACCACAGCAAGAATGTGATTCGAGTACTGGCTGAGCCAGTTGGCATTTCTGTGTGGAGTTTGCATGTTCTCCCTCCGTTCGTGTTTTAGTGTTTAAAAAACCTGCAAATGTCTTTTTTTTTTTTGAGTCTATGTACCCTGAACTCCTGAAAAAATACAAACAATCAGACCTTTTTGTGGTGCAAACCTCTAAACTGTGCAGTTTATGGGCTCTATTTTGACAATCCATGCGCAAAGCCATAGCACATTTGCTATTTACATGACAGACTTTGTAAGTGGAAAAACTGAATGCTTCACGAGCAAGAAAACAGTTAAACAGAGCATCTACAGCACGAGAATGTTCACATTCTTTACTTTAGCTTTCACTCTTGTGGATAGGGAAACGTGTTGTATGCACAGACATCAATTAACCTATAAATAATTAATTTTGTTTGTTAAGCGCAATGATTTGTTTCAAAACTATTTCTAAATTCAGTTGTAATTTCCAGCAAACAAATAAATGAACAATATTAACGAAGTGTGGTCAAAAACCTGAGTTTTATCCTAAAAGACATGCTGTGCCCCATATGGTCTAAAACCTGACAGGTGGGAAAGTCTAAGCTTGTTTTTAATATAACAAATATAAATATGCATATAATAAATAATACTACTACTACTAATAATAACATTATACAAAAGCAAATTGTTATTAATCAACTGAAAAAGCCCCCCGAGATGATGAAGAAATAAAAGCAGTGATTTTTCATATTTATGTAGGCTAGAAAATAATATGTTTTGTAATATTTTAATCCTTTATTTTTATATCCTATATATATTCTTATTATATCCTATATATATCCCTAATATTTAAATTATTTTTCATATGTAAAGGTATTTGTGTATTGCTCTACATCTTGTGTGTATTAAGCAGTTTGTAAGTGAGGCGCACAACTAACGCGCTCTGCACGGGACTTTAGACCGGTTTTGTTCTGGTCTATAGAAAAGTCTATTATAGCTTTTGAAAAGTGCAACACGCCAGCAATTCGCCTCAACACGCCTCCATTTTTAGACCAGAACACCTATGGGCGCACATATGAGCGCAAATGCATTTGCTATTTAAACAGCGTGGTGCAAATCATCAAAACGACTCTTGCGCCAAGCTGAAACTAGCATACAACAATTGCGTTGCGCCTTTCACCGCATTGCGCCGGTTGTATTATAGGGCCCATTAAGTAAATGTCAATAAAATAAGTTGTTATTAATGGTATTCATGACCTCTTTATTGTTGATAACATTTGTTCAGCATAATATATTTGTGCAAACTATGATATTTTTTTATTATTCTTTGAAGAACAGAAAGTAAACTGCATTGCTTTAAATTATTCATCTTTAATGTATTCATCTTAACTGTCACTTTTAATCAATGTGATGATTCATGCTTTCTCAGTTGCAATTTCTTTAAAACCTTCAAACCTCACACCATTAAAATGGTCATTTGCATATTTATTCATTTTCATATTATTACATTGCCATTTACTAAGAGTTCTATAACAAAAACGGATTGCCAAGTCATCATTATTATATTCCATGCAAGCTTCTCGGCCACATATTGCACAGAGATCCCAGAGTACCCATGTACTGCACTGTCATTCCTACCGAGCCGAACTAAAGTACTTACTGCTAAACACAAAATACTTCAGAGCTTTGTCATATAAATCTCTGTCTGCACTTCACACCCTCTCTCTTTCTCTAGTTGGAGACGGGTCCCCACGCTCCAGTCTACCAGCTCCTGAATCTTTTTGCGTATGGAACCTACTGCGACTATAAAGGTAACCATGACAACAAATGATGTGACCAGATATTGGCCCCCTGGGGCGGAGGTTCGTTCCCCGCTCTGATTCAGAATGAGACTGTACACGCTGCCCTTTGCCTTGCTAAATAAGTTAACTCCGGTGAGGGGAATGCGGGAGTCTCTGGCTTGCGTTATGTTGCCTGTTTTTACCAGGGTGTTAATGTAATCAGCTGTTTTCCTCCCGGCTGTGTGGATGGTTGTAATGTATGTTAATTTATTGTGCGTCTGCCATTTAGAGAGAACGGCTTCACTTCCTGAACTCACACCCGCCCAGAGGAACAAACTTCGTCATCTGTCAATCATCAGCCTGGCCTCCAATCTGAAGGTAGTCATTGCTTTGCTTTGTGTCTGTATTTTTGAAATAGATTTATCTGTCCAGGTATATTTGGTAGGGGCTTTTTTTATAGGGATATGTTTTAAACAATATTAGTCAAAGATGTTCATTGCTTACAGCATGCTAGGTTTATGACAGATTCTAACAGATCACAGGTTTAGAGTATTATCACAATATTGTGAAAAATGATATGTAATATGTTTTGTTTGTCACATATAGGTAACTATTTATGTGACGTGGGTAAATGGTGTCAATGGTTTCAATCCAGCTACTACTGCAAGTATATTTTAAAGCTGTGCGAAGCACTGATGGTATTGTATTTGTATGCTAATGTTTAACGTTTAAGTTTTTGACATGTTATGGATTAAGTTTAATCAAAAAAGATTGCATCAAAACAATCTGTTAAATGGTATATTCCAGTTTTTTTTTTTACTCGCATACATCTTTTTAAAACAATTTATCGGGGGGAAAATTAAGAATTAAGAAACCATTTCAGACCATGGATCTCAAAACCTGTCTGTAACGTGTAAAATGGGCTATATAAATGATCTGGAATCTAAAGGTTCGAAATTGCCTTTAGAGTTCATTCTTAGCAATTCATATTACTAATCTAAACACTTTTTATTTAAGTTATTGAAATGTACAAAATGTCTTCGAGGAAGATGATCTTTACTTTTAATACAATTATATTTTTAAGTAATAAAAGAAAAAAAAAACATTTTGGTTTAATATTTTTTTTCCCCAAAAAATGTACATATGCACTTTAAGATTGGTTTTGTAATTTAGGGTCTCGTTTAATTAATACTATGATATTGTAATGGCTTTGAAGTAAGCACAGTCATTCACCTGAGCAAAAAGCCATCTGATTCACTAGTGATGTAAGTGTCATTTCAAATGACAGTTTATATACTGTGTGTGTGTGTGTGTGTGTGTGTGTGTGTGTGTGTGTGTGTGTGTGTGTGTGTGTGTGTGTGTGTGTGTGTGTGTGTGTGTGTGTGTGTGTGTGTGTGTGTGTGTGTGTGTGTGTGTGTGTGTGTGTATGTGTGTGTGTGTGTGTGTGTGTGTGTAGATAGATAGATAGATAGATAGATAGATAGATAGATAGATAGATAGATTGATTGATTGATTGATTGATTGATTGATTGATTGATTGATTGATTGATTGATAGATTGATAGATTGACTTGAAAGCGACTTCAAATAAGCAGTGACTTGACTTGAGTCTGACAAAAATTGACTTGACTTGCTTGGGACTTGAAGGCTATGACTTGAGACTTCCTTGTGACTTGCACATGTGTGACTTACTCCCACCTCTGCAATATTGTATAAATACTTTTTTACATTGTACTTATGCTTAATTAAATACCTGTGTATAATTACGTATGTAATTACATTTAGAATTAAACTGTTGACCATCTCTTATACCTTAACCCACCCTTAAATCTACATATGCCACCAGACCTTTCCCTAACCTTTTCCCATATTTCATCCAGAAGTGTTATGCAATACACCATGAACTCATCAAGTCCATTGTATTTGCATTTTGATGTAAGTGCATAGTAGTTGAGGTAACTTAATATAGAGTGGGAACAAAAATACTTGGTGTATTGCTTTTATTATGTATACATGTTCAAAGTAAATAATTACATTTCAAAAGTATTATAAAGCACAATAGGTAACACTTTACAATAAAGTCTTATAATATTATAATATAATATAATAGTCTTATAGTAAACATTAGTTAATGGATTAAAATCATCATAGAGATAAAGGCCTATTTATTACAGTTTTGTTAATATTAGTCTAAAATACAAATTAATTTTATTAGTTATTTAAGGTGCAGTATGTAATTTTGACACCCAGTGGTTGAACTAGGTATTGTATTCCTAGATCAAAACAAACTCAAAAGCAGGTTGCCAGATTGAGGACCAACAGAAGCAATTCTCGAGTCTAAAGGCAGATTTAAATCATGTTCTGAATAAAAGCAACAGCACGCAATGAAAAAAAATGTTTTCCATAGTTAAAGGAGTTTTTGTTCTAACGAACACCTTAAATTGATATATTAGAAAGGCTTCTATTTCTCACAGCTGAACAACAGAAAACTGACAAAGATCATCTCAGGTACACCTCATGTGCTTAAGGGTGCTTTCACACCTGCCTTATGTAGTTCGATTGAATCGCACTAGAGTTCGTTTCCCCTTTTGGTACGGTTCGTTTGGGCAGGTGAGAATGCAGCAATCGTACTCAAGCAGACCAAATAAGTGTACCGAGACCTGCTTGAAGAGGTGGTCTCGGTACGCTTTCAAACGAACCCTGGAGCGGTTTGTTTGTGGTGAGAAAAAGATCCGTACCTAAACAGGTCCAACCGCAAAAAGTACTGCATATTTTGGACTAATTTAGCTGCCGTAGGCTGATGCGCTGTGCATTATGGGATATGGAGGAAAAAAATTGGTTGACAGCGCTTTACCTAGAGAGAGAGAGGGGGGGAAAACATTACCTGATAGATCGTTGGTAATATTTCCACAAGATGACTACACACCACAGATGTGAAAGCACCCTTATTCAGTGTTAAATGCTAACAATCTACAACAGAAAACTGGCAATGATCATCTCAGGTACACCTCATGTGCTTTATTCAGTGTTAAATGCTAACAATCTGAGTTTGAATGCGGTCTTACATGACATTTCTTACCAAACTAGTGAATGCAGCAGCAGAGAGCTCACCTTAGATCTTGAAAAAAAAAAAATGTTTGAAATTGAACTTTAGACTAAAAACCAACACATCAGTGATTCAGCAGGTACATTTAATAATGTTAAAGAGGTTTAATATGTATTAATTAGATCATAACCGTACTATTATATGAGTGAGTGCATATTCTGTGCTTCTGAATGGCTGTATTGTAAATTCTGTTGTGTTTCGTCTTGTGCAAACAGCCAAATTGCTTATCACTGTGTATCTCGTCACGCAGCGTGTTAAGACACGGGGTTCAGTGTTTCCTCTAGGATTTTTTCCAGCTGTGGCAGCAGGCCTTTTTTACGCAAATCTACCAACTACTGTGGCATTATTTCAATGACAAATTATGTGAGTGCAGTGTTACGAGTCGAGATCGCGTTTATGTAATAGCCTACGAGCATGCAAATCTCTTTGCTTGCACACCGATTTCCTCTTTTCGTGCACTAAACTTCTTGCACGCCCCCTCAAATATATGCTGCTCAAGCGCAGATCTTCTTCTGCGCTCTCAAATAAACGCTGCTGAATTGCAATTTAGTGCATTTATGTAATAAGTATGTCTCCAACATTTATTTGATTTGCTAGAAATATTAATGAATGTCTCCAATAGAGCTACAGAGCAACATTAATGCATCCTGAAGTAAAGTGAAACAGCTATGCGTCGTGTTGGCTGGCCTCACACATCATGTACCTGTCAGTCAGTCAGTCAGCACGTAACCTTCAAGGGTTAAACAAATAGTGCACAGCCCTGCTACGGTTACAGAAAAGTTTGCGCTGTTATAGTTCACTCACCTTTTAATACGTTTTGGTGCGATTATCACTCACTATCAAAAAAACAACACGACTGAATGCTTTAAATGGAAAGCTGTAATGTAGCCGTGGTGGGATCAATTTTGGTGTGGCGCCCCGCATGGAAGAATAAATGTAGCGGAAACCATGGGGTTACAATATAATCCTGTTTACCTAATGTTTAAGCTCGTAATAATATTATTTGCTAACTAATAACCACATGCGCAACTCTGAATCTGGCTCTCATTTTGGAGTCTGCTACTGTCCACTTGAGGTCGCATTCAGTCAATGGCGCATGTTTTTGAGAGCCTTTCGGAATTAATAAATGAAATGCGGTGTTTTCCAACAAGGCAACCCGGGGTGCTTAAAATATAATTGGGTAAACTGGCATTGGGTGGGTTAAAATGACCAAAACAAAGACAGACGTTCCAGCATGTAACTCGTATTTTCAAAGCAGAATATCTGACTTCAGCATTGTTTTTCAGATAAACAAGAATTTTCACTTGGTATTTTTCTTAAATATCTGCAAACAAATTATGCTATTTTTATGCTTTAAAGTCAAAAACGTACATACAGCACCTTTAACTATATTTTAATAAAGACATTACGACTACCAATAGCATGTTATCAGGCATTAACTAAGCTATATATATATCACTTGATGTTAATAAAAGCTTTTGTCATTTTTACCATGAGTGTAAATGGATGTTTGAATGGATGTTAACTATTGGAGCCTAATCAATATACAATAGTCCTATAAATAGTGAATGAAATTTTACTCAATATTTCAGCATGTAGTAGGCCAGATTACAATGTGAAAATGTCCATGTTTGAACTATTAAGGCTATATATTAAGAGTACAAACATTTGGCAGTTATGAACTAAATACAATGTTAATATTTTTTTTAAAAAGGTAATCTATAAATGTAAATAATAAATATTTAATAATGTTATTTTGAGTGCCCACAACATTAGTATTGTGCATGTTCATTATCATTTATCAATATTATGTCAATATCTTGCATTTTGGCATATGTCTAATGCATAATAAAAAAAAGAAAGTTTCTCATTTTTTCACAAAAATTTTGATATTAATGTAAAATAAACAGCAATGGTTTGAATAAATGGCAGTTTACTTAAAGTTATAGATGTCGCTGTCAGATCGTATCAACCAGTGTATATGAATTTATTTTCACTTCAAACTTGCAAATATATATTCATTATGCGGAATGACAATATTTTACCCACAGTTCGACATTACGTTATTTAAAACATTAAAGTAGACAGTTTGCATGCATAATTACTTTTGTTAATTAAATTAGATGCAAACAGCAAATTGTCATCTTTTACCATTAGATATGACAGTAGAAGAGAGAAAAAAAAGATGCTGTTACTTTGGTTTCATGTTGAGTTCTGTTATGATCGGCATCCAGCCGTTAACAATATGACATATTATTGGTATTAACATGCATGATTGAGAAAACCAATATTCTTTTATCATGCCTCTGTAATATTACTAGAACAAATGATATGTTTTAACCTACCCCAGAGCGTACTATTTCTAAGAAATAAAGCAAAATAACAGCTCTTTCTTTCAACAGTGTCTGCCATATTCACTACTGCTCCAGCAGTTAGAGCTGAAGAATGTGCGTGAGCTGGAAGACCTGCTGATTGAGGCCATTTACAGTGACATTATCCATGGGAAACTGGACCAGAGGAACCAGCAGGTCGAGGTAGATTGCAGTATAGGTCGAGATCTGGGTCCCAACGAATTACCAAACATTGCCAACACACTGCAAGAGTGGTGAGTGTGTGTTTATGTTTGTGTCAGGCTGCTGCTGTGAATTAATAAAAATGTCTTGCTTGTGGCGTTAAAAATTCTGTCTGTCTCTTTGTCAGGTGTGCAGGCTGTGAAGCAGTTCTGTGTGGCATTGAAGAACAGGTGTCAAGAGCCAACCAGTACAGAGAAAGCCAGCTCAAGGTCAAAGTTCAAGTGGAAACAGAGGTTTGTTTGTGAATCTTCTTTCAATTTAAGGCCATGTGTCTATCAAAGAAATGTAACCAAACGACAATGCCAGAAGTTTTCTGAAAACTCAGACACATTTTTTCAGTTGGACTGATTTTAGTAAATGTCAGTTGTTCATGACCACCAATGAAGACACATTATAGAGTACTATTTAATTTTTCTTAAACTAAGAAGTGACATCAATTAAAAAAAAATTAATGGACACAGTTAAAGTGACATTTAACATGTCTAATATAAACATTTACATTTAGCAGACACTTTTGTCCAAAGCGACTTACAATTGAGGAGGCATTCAGCAACTCAAAAAGAAGAGGCAATACACACAAGAAGTGCTAAATATACAAAGAATCAGAGAATTAAGTGCTAGATTTAGAAGGGGATAATTTTTACAGAGAAAAGAGTGTTTCTACAGGTGGTTTGTTAAGCCCACTCATCTGTGTAAAGCACACTTCATAAGTGCACAATAGTGCATTTATGAATGCCCCTTAAATATTTCTCAAATATTGTTAAACAGAGCATGGAAATTTTTACAGTATGTCTGATAATATTGTTTCTTCTAAAGAAAGTCTTATTTGCTTTATTTCGGCTAAAATAAAAGCATTTTTTAATTGTTTAAAAACTGTTTAAGGTCAAAATTATTAGCCCTTTTAAGCTATATTTGTTTCGTATATTTGTTTCGTATGTTTTTGTAACAGAACAAACTACATTATACAATAACTTGCCTAATTACTCATCCTGCCTAGGTAACCTAATTAACCTAGATAAGCCTTTAAATGTCACTTTAAGCTGTATAGAAGTGTCTTGAAAAATATCTAGTAAAAACTTATTTACTGTCATCATGGCAAAGATAAAATTAATCAGTTATTAGAAATGAGTTATTAAAACTATTATGTGTAGAAATGTGATGAAAAAAAATCTCTCCGTTAAACAAATTGGGGACAAAAATAAACAGGGGGGCTAATAATTCTGACTTTAACTATATAAAGAGAGAGAGATATGGAGTGATTGTAAGAAAGTGTCAGGTTCAAATGTGCAAAACTGGTGCAAGTGTCAGTTAAATCGTCGGAGAGATGAAAGTGTGTTTTCTACAGGTGGTTTGTTAAGACTACTCACCTGTATGAAGCACACTCAGAATTGCTTAAAGAGTGTTTTATGGGTCATTTACACCGAACACGATTTACGTTAAAAAACGTGAGGTGCGCCTCACTGCCTTTCTTGTTAAAAACAAAAAAAAGAAGCACAATGCGCATTTTACGTCGCTAGGCAACAACTAATTCTGCTGCGTATTGTGCGCAAGTGTTGCCGTGGATATTGGTATGAACGCAAAATACGCGTTCAGTGTGATTGGCCCATAACAAAATATGCATTTTTTTTAATATGCTGGTTTCATGTGTTTGACATTTTTATATGATTTTAACGTTCATATTAATGACCCTAAAATGTAACGTTATTTACACCTAGTGTAAACGGTAATTATATATTTTCTTTATTCTTATTCTTTTGGTACAGGTGAATTGGGTAAGCTAAATCATCCATAGTGTATGTATGTGTGTGCATGGGTTTCCCTGTGATGGGTTGCGGCTGGAAGGGCATCCGATGCGTAAAACAAATGCTGGATAAGTTGGTTAATTCCGCTCTGGCGACCCCAGATTTAAAAAGGGACAAAGCCAAAAAGAAAATGAATTAATGGTCTTAATATTTAACAGACTTTGTATTATCAGTTCACTGATGTTGACTTGACAGATTATTAAGTTGCAAACACAAGAGAATTTTGTATATAGTTTTAAGTCAAAATCTTTTGCCTTCCTGTGAAAGATGTATTATAAGTGATATTTAATGAAAGCAATGTTGCCATTACTGACTATAATAATTTTTTCTTCTGGAGAAAGTCTTATTTTTGTTTTATTTAGTAGTTTTTAATTTAATAAAAAATAAATAAGTTTTAAGGTTTACAATTACACTTATTAGCCCCCTTATGCAATATATTTTTTGATTGTCTACAGAAATTAACCTAGTAAGGACTTTAAACTGCATTTTAAGCTGAATACTGGTATCTTGAAAAAAACAAATATTGGTAAAATATTATGCACTGTCATCATGGCAAAGAAAAAAAATAGAAATTATTAGATTATTGTTATAATAAATGATTATAAATTAGTTATTAAAACTTAAAATGTACAGGGGATCTAATAATTCAGGAAGGCTAATAATTCTGACTTCAACTGTACATATCTGAGAAAGTGACAGTTGATCTAAATAATATGAATAAATATGTTAATACTTAAAACATAGTAAATGTTTTGTTTAAAATTGAATATAAAAACAAGTCTGAATAACATTTTTAAAATCATGCCAAAAAAGTCCAAATGACATATATGCTGTAAGCGATGCCCGTAGCCAGGGGGGGTTCGGGTGGTTTGAACAAACCACCCCCCACAGCCAAAAGGTCCAGAATTTGTCCTTTTAACTATTTTATGTAATTTATTATTATATAATATATTTATTATTTAATTAAAATAATATATTTATATTCAATATGTATTGTAATAACGTATAATTTTAAATAACTCAAATCCCATGAAGCCTTAAAGCCACAATAATGTAACATGTGTCACGTGACATAACCCACTGAGTGGTAACATTTGAATCTTTGATGCGACATCCATACTGAGTAATGATGTGGGTCGAAAAGAGCAAAAGAGGCAGAAAAGGCAGGCAGCAGGGTCATCATTATTGCAAAATATTGAACATTAGTTCAAAAATACTGCCAAACAGGGTAAGGCTAATGTTATTTACATCCTAACAGATGAAAATCTGCCCCTATCCATGAGGTTCTAAGTTAACTGGCCCCATTAGCCTGGACGTCCTGTGTATTTATTGACTTGTCCAGTACATGACCTCCCTTTCCCTATTTTTTACATTTTTGTTTTTTTAATAACTGTCCGACAAGAGCTTTAATGGCAACTGGAGTCCTCAGCCGCCAGATGTCACTTCACAGCAAAAGGCTCTAACCCCGTCACGTCTGTGTTTTTAAGGCTGTTTGGTCACTTCATTGGTTTTATTTTGATCGGATTTAAATCCGATCGCTCAAACCACTTCAGAAGGTGATCTGGAATGCATTCCAAATGAAACTGGACAGGTATATTAATTTTTTAGACAAAATTAATATAAACAAAATAAATTTCGACCAGGAGAAATTCTGACCTGCGCCTGAAACACCTTTAGGTGCGCTTTTACAACCAAAACTCTATTAAAAACATATTTACTATTAGCATAAAACGTATTTAACTTTTCAGGCCTGTAGCCAGGGGGGTTTGGAACTTGGAAGACCCACCTCTCACTGAAAAAGGTCCAGAATTTGTCCAATATGTGAGCTCATGTCCTATTTGACTGCTATGCCATCATAAATAATGAAAATAATCCATCGAAAAAGGCTTTAAGACCAAACGGAATCCTCTGTCGGCTGTTGCTTCGGTGTAACTATAATCTGATGTAAGAGAAGTTTTCTTTATTAAATTAATTTAAATATATCTAGGCTATTGTTGATGTCCAGGAATTTTCAAATGTACTTTTTTTACCAAAAAGGCTAGAAAAATTCTGGAAAATTCATTATTATTATTATTATTATTATTGTTATTATTATTATTATTATTATTAATATATTTCAATTATAATTTTTTATTGAAATGGCCAAATTGTGACTGTGGACAGTTGAATGTGCTGGCAAGTTTGTTTTTTGTCTAATAAATGACAGTAAATTACAGTTGTTATTTTTACTTTAAAACTTTAACAGGTTGCTATTTTTTCCTAATGATATATGATGCAATAATTGTGTATTTTAAAAATTTGTCTTGTTTTAATTTTTCTTTATTGCAATTTTTTAGGAAATATTTTTAGTGCATCAAAAAGTGTGGTTATGATGACATCTGACTAGCTAATCCAGCAAAAAAGGTCACTAAACTGTAGTATTTAAATCTCTAGTTAAATAGAAACTGAGGCATATAACTGCAAAAAGGTCCATTTTTTGATAAAAAAAGAACAACCCTCTTTCACCAGGCTGTCTAAGGGCCTGTAAGGAATAATTGACAATGGTCTGTTGACTTATTATAGAATCATGCACACCCGAGGTGATAATATGGCCATGATGTGAAGCAGACAGGCCATTACACCTCAACCGTGCATTATTTTATAATATGTCTAAATAACAGAGTCAATTATTCCACTTATACTACGCTGGGTACACCTAAATTTCAAGACACTTTTCTTTTTTGGGGTCTTAATTTGCTCCTGTGCTAGTTTGTAAAGCATCTCACCTAAAGCCTTGTGGTTTATTGTGATTTGAGTTTTGAATGTTGAAACTGTGAAATAAATGAAATCATTTGATGTAGTGATATAGAACTGTAAATCAGTCAAGACCTGCTGGAACAACTTAAAATGAGTGCACACCTTGCACATGTTCATCAGCCAATTAGAATCAAGCGTTCAATTCAGTCTTGTAGTGTATATATAACAAACGTAAACTATATAAATGATGAAAATTATTCCAGACTACTTTGAAAACCATGAAATGCATTCCTCTGAGGCGTTTTCCCCCTCCATTATGATTTCAAGACAGTTGCATCACCCTGACATTTTTTTTTTATTTGAATCCCTCCCATTCAAAATGAATGTCAGTTCAGGAAGTTCAAAGCATGTTCATCATCTAAAAGGTATATTCAAGTCATTATGTGTGTTTTTAATGAATATTTCATTAAGCTGACCCACACAAATCACCTGTTTAAGAGTGATCAAACAATAGTAGGTATATATGCTATTCCTGGTGTCCAAAATGTCATCAGTTTGTGATTTTACAGTTTTACACAAAATTTGTTAAATAAAACATTGTTACAGTAGTAATAGTCCACCTCAGTATTGTTTAAATCATACAATACATTACAGTCGGCAGTACAGAGTATGTTCTGTTTAGATTAAAGGCATAGTTCACACAAAAATGAATATTTTCTTGCTATTTATTCATCCTCAAGTCGTTCCGTATCTTTATGAGTTTCTATCTTCTATTGAAGACAAAAGTAGATATTTTGAAGAAAGATGAAAAACAGGCAACCATTGACTTCTATTGTAGGAAAAACAAATACTATGGAAGTCAGTAGTTACACATTTTAACCTTTCTTCAAAATGTCTGAAACTCATACTGGTTTGAAACAGGTAAAGGGTGAGTAAATGATGACAGAATTTCCCTTTTTGGATAAACTATGCCTTCAAAGTGTTAATATTGTGTCTTGAGCACAGCTTCATCTTCCTGCATGTTTAAATAATTTTTTATGTCACTTCATTGACAACTCCAAGATTCAGTGACAAGTTTTTTTCTTCTTCTTCTCACCTCTTTAATTAGGTATCAAACCTACAAAAAACCCTCAAGGCAAGTTCTGCTTCTCCATCATCTGGACCCGCCCCTGCCGGAGCAGCATCCAATCAAGATGCAGATCAGCCCGCTGAGCCAAGAGATCCTGCTTCCTCTCAAGAGCCACGGCAACCAGGAAAAAAGAGTTCAAAGGTCAAAGGGTAAGTCCATTTATCTTGGGATTATTGATTTAGAATTGTACCCTTAAATTGATTTAAATTGTTATTTGTCAGATGTGCTCAGAACCAATACGTTTATTTCATGCGGCCGCCATTTTAAAAAACAAAAATAAGGCTCTAGTGGGAAGAAACCCGAAAGTAAAGGATCAGCACTGTAAACATTGCAACAACATGCTGTGGACTACAAACCTCCAGCTGTTGCCGTGTTTTCAAAATGCAGATTTGGTGTAAACATCACTTTAATATCAATTAAAAGCAATTTAGCATCAAACAACATCACAATAACATTAGGAGTAATATGCTTAAGTGTCCTTCAGTTCATGGCAAAAGGTAAACACTGTGGCAGGGGTGTCAAACTCAATTCCTGGAGGGCCGAAGCCCTGCACAGTTTAGTTCCAACCCTGCTCCAACACACTTACCTGTAGGTTTCAAACAAGCCTGAAGGACTCAATTAGTTTGATCAGGTGTGTTTAATTAGGGTTGGAACTAAACTGTGCAGAGCTGCGGCCCATTAGGAACTGAGTTTGACACCTGTGCACTGTGGGGTCGCTTTTCTGCTTCAGCCTATGTAACCCGGTAAGCGATAAAACAATGCAGTCCTCTGTAGCACACCTTCGTGTTGTCTGTAATAGTGGTGTCCCTGTACTGAGTTTTTTTTATTGACATTTAAGCGCTGATTTGCCATGGTGTAGACCAGTACTACAGAAATGACCGTGATTGGCCGTGAAGGTTATCAGTTCACCGCTCTTCACCAAGTGCAAACAAAGATACACGTCACAGACACTGGAGCGGTTTAAAGCCATCAAGATTAGTCGATTCATCAGCCTATCGTTCGTCTGTGTTTGCACTCAGTAAACATCAATGAAGTGCGGTGAACTGATGATCTTCACGACCAATCACAGCCGTTTCTGTTAAGCACTGCTGAATATTATGGCAAATCATCGCTATTTAAGAACGTTTAAATGTTAGCGGGAAATGGACAGTTTTTTTTTCAATACCGATTGGTGCCGAAATTCAGTATCATGACAAGTCTAATATAGTGAAAGAATCTGTTTATTAACTTGAGTTTGAAAAATGCCATCAAAAACGTGTGTTTGGGAAAGAAAACGTTAGCTAACTTTTTTCATTTCCCTTAATTTAGGTGAAAATGAGGTCTGATATCCCTTTTTATTTTCACTTTCCATTCAGAACAGACCTTCGGGTCACTTAGAGGGCGGTAAATGATAAACTTGGGTCATTTTCTCGTTGCTGCTAAGATATACAGCCAGGTACACAACAGACTGTGTGACTTCAGGCAATACTTCCAGGTTTCTTCCCACCTCAGCCTCAATTTTACTTTTAAAATGGCGGCCACATGAAATCAGTTTATACCCTTGTGGGTACTGGTTCAAGTCCAGGCTCACAGACCTTTCCAGATGCCACCAGCCACCAACTTCACCTTCTGTCTACATAATATAAGGCAAAAACTCCAAAAATACATCTTGTTAAATTGTCAGATATAGTGGAGTTGTTACAGCGCAGTATCTGTTTCAGAAGAGTTTATGTACGTCTTCCTGCCTGTAGTTAAGTGTGATGTAAAAGAAATCAGCCACAGGCTTATAGTTCTAATTAAGCCCTGATGAGTTTAAAATTGTCTCTGTCCTGGTTTGGAAATCTCATGTCAGGATGTGCTCTGGAAAGAGAAGGGGGGCTTTTGATCACCACTGCTTTTTCTTTGTCACTGAAGAGTGTCAGTTAAGAAGAGGTATAATTTATTCAGGGCCGATCTGACACAGATTAATCCAAGTCCAAGGCTTTAAAGCCGTCTCAGTAGAGACCCGTCATTAACATTTCAGTACTATTTCATGGCTGTATGGGAAGCCTTGGCTAATTTTCCGATAATAATTTTGTGATTATTAATATATTATTAGAAACATGCATGAAAGAACCATCCTTGATGCTGTCAGAGTTCAAATCAGGTCCTTTTGTAGAATAATATTAATTGCTGAAATGAAATCATTTATTTAAGCCTTGTATTTTATTTGAAGTTTCCCAATTATGCCATTCTTAAGACTCCAGATGTACTCGCAGAAGTTTTTCAGTTAGGGCTATGAAGGAGTTCTTAACACCTGATCAGCGGAATACTGTTAGCTTTTCATGTTTAGATCAATATGTAAATGCACTCAACGGCTGCTATATTAGGTACACCTGTCCAACTGCTCGTTAACGCAAATTTTTAATCAGCCAATCACATGGCAGTAACCCAATGCATTTAGGCATGTATACATGGTCAAGACGACCTGCTGCAGTTCAAACCGAGCATCAGAATGGGGAAGAAAGGTGATTTAAGTGACTTACAACGTAACATGGTTGTTGGTGCCAGACGGGCTGGTCTGAGTATTTCAGAAACTGCTGATCCAGAGAGCAAATAGAAGCTTCTATCGAGCTGATAGAAAGGTATGCAAAAGAGCATCTCTGAACGGACAACACATCAACCTTGAGGCAGATGGGCTACAGCAGCAGAAATCCACATTTGTACAATAGAAGATTGGAAAAACGTTGCCTGGTCTGATGAGTCTTGATTTCTGCTCTGACATTTAAATGATAGAGTCAGAATTTGGCATTAACAACATAAAAGCATGGATCCATCCTGCCTTGTATCAACAGTTCAGGCTGGTGGTGGTGTAACGGTATGGGGGATATTTTCTTGCCACACTTTGAGCCCAATAGTACCAATTGAGCATCATGTCAACGCCAGAGCCAGAGTGTTGTTGCTGACCAGGTCCATGCCTTTATGACACAGTGTATCCATCTTCTGATGAATACTTCCAGCAACATAATGCTTCACAAATTATGTCATGAAGCGCGATCATCTCAGACTGGTTTCTTGAACATGACAATGAGTTCACTGTACTCAAATGGCCTCCACAGTCACCAGAACTCAATCCAATAGAGCACCTTTGGGATGTGGTAGAACGGGAGATTCACATCATGGTTGTGCAGCTGACAAATCTGCAGCAACTGCGTGATGCAACCATGTCAATATGGACCAAAATCTCTTGTTGAATATATTCCACAAAGTATTAAGGCAGTTTTGAAGGCAAAATGGTAGTCTCACCTCGTACTAGTAAGGTGTACCTAATAAAGTGGCCGATGAGTGTATACCCTGCATGTTTTTCTTCCAACAAGGAAAGAGTCATGCAGCTGCAAATACAGCGGCGTAAAAGCAGCAGTTTAAAAGCCATTCATAAAAAGTGATGTGGATATATTTGAGCAAATTTTAATTTAACACTCTATTCAAGTAAAGCAATGTCGTTTTTTTTTTTACAGTAGGCTGCTGTAAGCATTGTCAGTGTTGCTTTCGAATTACATCAGCGTTAAAATTCAATTTCTACTGTAAAGCATCTCTTTGGTGTTTGTTTTTACTCATTGATTTGAAAATTTAACAGACTGAAATGAACCAGAGAACATTCCAAAGTCAAAGGCAGAGCTAGAGAGCCATGACCTCCAATTACATCATCATTGGTTCAGAGGTGTTTAACATTGAAAGCAAGCTTTGCAGAAAAAGCTACTTTGAACTTCTATTTAAAATGACAGTTATTCTTTGATTTCAAAAAGTATTTCAGGATCTTGAAGATTCTTGGTCTCTCTAAGCTCTGACTGCCTAGCATTTTCAACACAAACATCTACACTCATAACATTATGTCTGCTATTTGTTCAATCTACTTCTTTAAAATGAGCTGCAGAAACACAATTATTGTTGTTTTTAATGAGGGGGACAACTCAATTGTTTTATGTTCAATCCACTTAAATTTGTACAGACTAATAAATTAACTTAATTCTTTCATGTTTTGCCAACACTAATTGATTGTGTGGAACCTAGCATATTTTATGGTGTATTACTCATTTCTAAATTACAACACTTATTACTTATTCTAATAATGAACACTTTAATGAATTTTGAAATAATATCAAAACCAAATGTCTATTAAACAGACCCCCTAGTTTTTTGCGATTTTGCGATCACTGAATCCAAAGCAAAATCAACAAAAAGACGCAAATTTTTGTGATCCTACAAAATGTTGAATTTAAATGCAAAATTAATTGCAAAAAAATTTAATAATCCCATAAAACATCCATTTGCAAACCATATAATCAAATGATATTTATTTCAGTGTGCAATGAATTGTTTTACATGACTTACAGACATTGCAGCTAGTGTAGTAAGCAGACGTGGATGAAGAATAGGTGATTTACATGTGAAGTCAAAGCAAAGACTGGATTAGACATCCTGTGGTGTGAATTAATCATTTTGTGCATTTGACGCACTTCAGTCTATACTTCAGTCTATATTTCAGAAATATACAAAAAAGCAAGCAGCTTACAATGATGGAGATTGATTCAAAGATGACGGCCGCTGGACATGACAGAATTGAAAGACATTATTTGTGCTTTACATGTATGGCTGGTATTATGACGTTAAAGAAATAGATAAATAATTTCATTGAACTTTTCCTGCAGTTAACAAGATAATACGCTTCCCTGCCATTGATGAGTTTTACAGCAATCCGTATTTTAGGTGTATTACAGTAGGGGAAGCCCTAACACGTCCTATATGTGAGGTACATGATGTCAATGAAATCTGAGAAAGAGGAACTAAGAATGTGGATAAAAATAAAGAGTTATAAGCTTTATTTTTATGATTTATGTCATTGTCATTGTGTCAGAGTACACACCTAACATAGTAGGCTACCTAATATGGTAAATAAGATCAAAATATGCCATTTTTAATCACGCATATATATATATATATATATATATATATATATATATATATATGTATGTATGTGTGTGTGTGTATGTGTGTGTGTATATATATATATATATATATATATATATATATATCGCAAAAAAAAAAAAGGGGGTCTGATTAAACATCATATTATATTGTAGTACTTCAAGCCCTGAGCAATTTGTTTTAATCTGTTGATACATTTGGAATCTTTGAAAAGGTTTTAAAAAAAAGAAATCCAAAATTTGTTCCAAAGATTTTTAAAAAATCAAGTGATTTTTTTTTTTTTTCAGTTCTTCACTGTTAAAGGGTTAATTCACTCAAAAATGACCATTCTGCCTTTAATTAGTCACGTTATTCCAATTCGAAAACAGCCAAAATGTTCCATGTGACTTCAGTGGCTCATCTGTAATCATATGAAGACCCAAGAGCACTTTTGTGTGCCAAAAAACTGTAAAAAGCAACATTGCTTCATGGCTAGTTAAAGTAGATGCTGTTTGCCCGCAGCCAACGAAGACCATAAACTGACATTATGCAAATTTGTTACATAAAGCACATGTAGGTTTGAGCTGGAAGTAAGGCTGAAATTATAGATGACTAATTCAAGGCGGTTCTGAATCTGTGTGCTCTTTTGAGACAATAACTCCATTTACAGTGCACTTTGATCCTTGAAGAACTGAATATCTTTAACATTCACAACACATCACAAAGCACTTTAAGGCTTTTTAAAACGTATGTAAATTGGACTAGATCATTAACATTAAAATATGCACTTTTTGTTGCAACAAGGAAAATCATACAAACAAATGAATTCGATAATTTAACAAACAATGCTTTGTTTTTGTGTATTTCAGCCTTCGTGGGAGCGGAAAGATTTGGTCAAAGTCTAACTGATCCCAAACCCTTTAGAAGTCTTCAGAAAGCCACTCACAGACAGACATATTGTGGACTGCTTGCTTGGAAAAACAGATAAGCAAACTAACAGCCACCTCTCAGACACAAACCATCATCATAGTAACACAACTTTTACACGATCCCGGGTGTGTGAGTGTTTATACATATATATATATATATATATACACGCGAGTGTGTTGTAAATGTCATTTAATTTGACTCATGCCCCTTTTTCCTTTGCGTGTTCGTTTCGTTCGTTATTAAATCTGGATGTAAATTGATGAAGCCAATGAATAAATGCTATCCATCTGTCAGCCCTGTGTGTTCTTTGGCTTTCATGTTTCCCTTCCTCTAATGTTAAGTGCTGCTAAATGTTTCGTCTCAATGGGGGCATGTCTGTTAAGAGGTCATGACATTAATTAGCCACACTTTAATGTCGGAGCCCTGAAATAACATCCCGGTTTCCTCTCAGCACATCCACTCTTCTTGCCAGAGCCTTGCGCCAAATGCCCTTTATCCAGCCATAAAGTCCGACTAAAGCGCTGTTTCTCTCTCTGTCCTGCATAATGGTCCGTAATGGTAGCGATTAACTTGCGGTAGCCACTCAGAAATGAGGAGAACAATAAAAAGCGGAGAGCGATGATCTACTTTTACATTAACCCCTGCCTCCACTCTCTCTTTTCCATTCGCTGAAATTTATCCACCTCAAAATCCATGATCCTTTTACGCGCACACACACACAGACAAACCATCTTCTCTTTCTCTCTATAAATAGTGGTGTTAATTTCAGGCGGTGTGACTGAGGTTCACTGTTTCTCAGTCTCTCAGCTCCGAGCAGATGGGAGCTGTGAACTCTTGTGCGTGTGAAGTGTGTTTGTGTCCCGGTGTTTTTGTTGCTGTGCAGTGTCCCTTTGGCCGGACTGCTTGGCGTATGTGATTCGCATGAGTCACTTCCATAAAAAAAAACACACGTTTCAAAACACCAGAGATGGCTTTTTATTGACTTCATAGTACATCGAACCACATATTTTAAGGCAGTGCTACATACATGATGTGAAACCTCCAAACTATATCTCACATGGTGTAGCTTCTTGTGTACAAGGGAAATTAAGAGGGAATTGAATCCGCCGTGCACATAAACTGTAATGGCACATTAGTTTCTTGTTTCCTCTCTCCTCGTTTTATTTTGTTATATATTATTTCATGAGTTATGTGGTTGTTTGGGAGTGGAATGATTATGATTTCCTTGAAAATATACAGCTTGGAGCAGAATCTTTTTTTTTCTGTGTTAAAGCGTATGATATAAATCAAATCTGAACATTTAATAATAATATTTGTTCATATTGTGAACAATTTATCAGTGCATATTAAAACATGATGATATCTCTTAGACCACACAGGCTAAAGAGTGGAACAGTCAAGTTACAGAGGTAAAATAAAGTACTTAATGTCTCGTACTTTAGTCTTTTATTCCAATTTTTATTTGTTTTTAATTCTTTTTTTCAAATGAAGGACAGCGATTTTGTGATTTATGTGAGTTTGGTGGATTCATGGCTTATAAATTCTCCATTGATTAATATTTTTTTTAATAATAACTAATGTTTGCTCCTTAAAACTTATGTTTGCCTTCAACCTTTAAAAAAAAAAAACAATATTTAATAGGGATGCTCCAATCAGGATTTTTGGAGCTGACACAGAGTACCAATTCCTCGTCATGGTGATCGGGCCAATAACAGAGTACCGATTCTGATGCTTCAAGCTTTACATAACTTTAACATTGCACAAAAAAAGCACAATTTCTCTTTAAGTTTGATAGTTAGGTGGAGATCTCTTCTTTCATAAGAGAATAAATTAAGGATGTTGCATATAATCCCTTAAACACATCTCTTATAACCATTTAGTTTGGACATCTCATGCACATGAAGCAGCTTCACAGAAAATAATAGATACATTTCGGAAAAAAAATGACTAAATGCAATTTGGAAACATTGTAAATGATGGAAGAAGAATTTAATGTGCCTCAATGAAGAAAGTTTGGAGCGCATATTTGATACATAAGAAGTTAAAATGCACCTTCCTCTGCTTGTAAACCTGTAAATGAACACTTGCGACGGGTTCATGCGATCGACCAGATTAGCGAGTACCGTTAGAGTCGTAAAATGTGATTATCTGCCGATGCCAATCGATCAAAGCATCCCTAATTTTTAATGGTAAAATCCTTGCAGAAAAAGTACAGAGTTCTACCAATTAGAGACAAACACTCCAAAACAATCTTTAGTTTCGCCCACTTACATAAAGCATCATGATAATGTCAGCCTGCATAAGCACTCAAGTGCTTAATAATACTTTAATAATAAAATAATTTCTGTAATAAACTTAATTAAAAATATATTTTTAGTTGTTTTTAAACTACAACTAACTAATTTGAATGAATAATATCTCTATCCTTTAATTGTGTCATTTGCAGTAGAGTTGGGTCAATAGGCAATGCCAACCCGCTCACGAAAAATACACACTTGGGCCCCATTTACACCAATATATCTTGGTTTCAAAATGGCATTTTAGAACGAAAACGATCCACACTGGCGTTTCATCTAGCATTTTTTTCTGAAAAGCTCTTCATCCACACTATACTGCTGAACATGCACATCATGTGACCACACACACTGTCATGCTCTCGTCTGAGCTCCAAAACCCCAGAGAGCAGTGCAGGTCGGACAGTTTATCAAGGATGTACCGCTGGATCGTGTCTCACTATAGTTGTTAAACGTGATATTTAATTAAACTTGTCCCGATCTAAAGACTCTTCGGCCTTTTAAATCTATCAGGTAACGTGTCACAGTGTCAGTACACTGCTTCAATCTTTTGCTTTCACGCTTGTACGCCATTTTAACGACACACATCACTCTGCCTATTCATGCCAGAGTCCTATGAAAAAGGGATTGACAGGTGGTAATTTGTGTGTAACTTATCTTTATTAATTTATGTTTATTACTGGGTAAAACAAAGACCATGTGGGTCAAATACAAATAATAAATTTGTTATGAATTATTGAGTTATTCATAAATAATTAATTTGCCGCTGCTTACGACGACGTCCTCGTTCATTTCGATGTTTTACATTAGACATCATAAGATGCCAAATTGGTTGACATCGCCCAACCCTAATTTGCAGTGCTCCATGGGATCCCTTTTCATTCCCTCATTTTATTTTGTTGTTTATGGCTTATAACTTAATCCCACGTGGAATCTGTGCACGGAGAAATTCACAGATTTTCAGCTCATCATTGAGTCTATTTATTTACTTGTGTAAATGTGTCAATTTATATTTAATCAGTTTTTAAATCAATTTCAGTAATATTAGTGAATAATATGAAAATGTTCATTTGATTTACTTACAATACGGTTTGCCTTTTAGTAGATATATTATTTGAGAGACTTGCTTTGTTTTCCAAGTAATGGATCAAATAGTATTTGCATTGTAAACATTAAATAAATATGTATTCTTTTTTATTTAACATTAAGTTTCACCCAAATCATTCTGCATAAATCCGCCGATTTTTTACAATATTCTGCGCAGAAATAGCAAAAACATGTCCACAGATTCTGTCTGGCCCTACCAATGACACTTTAACAAAGATGTTTTTTAAAATGCCTACAGAAAAAAACATATGTATTAAAAAAAGAACCAACACTGCCTAAGAAGTAGGCAGAAAATGTTGCACTCTTTTGAATGATGCCAACCATTATCCAATTAGATATTTAAAGATTATTTTGGCAAACATTCAGGCTATTACTTCCATTGTAGGACAGAAATACAATATCCTCTTTCATTCTCAAATATGGCAAACACGCAAGTCAAATAATCATCGATACACACTGACTTCAAAAGATTATCATAAAACTCTACCGCCTGAAAAACCGAACCCTCCTGAGAGTTGCGGGTTCATAAATATAAATAAGAAACCCCAAGCTACCTCGCTAGCCATGAGTTGTTAGCCTAGCGATACATCAAACAAACTCGTGTGGCATGTTTATTTAATTGCTTTTCAGACTAAATATGCCATGGAAGCACCAAGCTTGTTTTTCAGTTCACCATCACCGTCATTGATTGTGCTTACCATAAACTTAACACGAAAACATCACAAACACCAGCCATTTTGGTGAGCGCTAACTCCCCGCTAACCAAAAAGGCTGTTTTATTTCTAGTCTCAAACACCCCCGAGAAGAGAGAGAGATTATATATGGCCATGATTTAGAAGTATAGTGCTAATAATAAGCATAACAACACGCTTGGAATATAAATACGCAAACTTCACGAACACCTTTAACAGATGTTGAGCCAGAATCACACAAATGTTCGTCAGCTTAAGTAAATTATAAGTTAACACCGCCGAGGTGTTTCAGCGAACGTCATCGCAGCCACTGTTGCCATGAGACACGGAGCCAATATGAAACAAAACACTGTAAACAGATGATGGGAGTTATATTTAACTCCTCGAAATAACTGCAGTCATTCGTTAAGCCCAAATAAATGCTACACAAAGTGCGAGAAAAGGCAGTGCTAGGCAGCTGTAACCTTTGTGTTTATGAGACATAGGCTACTGCGAGCAAGTCACGCCGGATACTAAATTAATGACTACATACATCACAGCTTATTCCAAGATCAGAAGCTAATGATTGTTTTCATGGTAGAGGACGTAGCGTTCCTGGAGCCCTTGGGCTAATGAGTGTAATACTGTACAAACAGCACTGGAAGAAAGATGTAGAGCCTGAAACGAAGAGCCATTGGACCACAAAACCTCCATCAGAGCGTCCAAGCAAATGTATGCATCCATATATATATATATCCACACAGGTGTCGTCTATATATCTACAAGTTATGTACATTCAGATGCTTCACACCAACGGCCACACCGGAGTCCGTATCAAGCCCGCGGGATTCGATTATCACGCTTGGAACAGTCGGCTCTTCAAAGATTGACCACCGGTATCCTGCAGCGTGGCAAAGAGATGAAGAAACAGACGGCAAATTAAATTAATAGAAGTCTCGCTCTATTATGGAGAGTGAGATTAATTCTGAAATGCATAGAGCAGCAGGAAGGACTCTGATTTCATGGATGGCACGCTCTCTTTCTTTCCCTGCATCTCTGCTGTTGAAATATTCACAACCATTGAAGGAAACATCCACAACAACGGCTAACTGCCTGCTTTGTATTTGCAAGGCATTACCATTGGTCTAGCAGCACATACTTATTGATGTTCCTTCAAAGGAATCAGCTGTACATAACACGGTGTCTGCATTTCTAGTTACAAATGATATTAGTTCACTGAATTCTGTTTATTGAACATTTTTCAACGAATCTACCCAGTTTTATAATGAAATAAAAATACTTTTTTTGGTTATTAAGTAAGCATCACATAGTTGTGTTAATGGTTAAAATAGATATGTTTTTAGATCAACATGTATGTTTTTCCACATGTTGACTATATTAATTTAAATGTAAGAATCGAATATTTAATTAGTTGAATGATTTTAAGGTAGGTTTTAAATTACTAATTTCATATTTAACAATATAGTACATGTGTGATCTAAAATACAGAAAAAAAGTAATAAAACATTTAGGCCTGTTTTTTCTTATAGTTTTTATCTTCATGGGCACCTATTTTATGCATTTTTCAAGATTTAATATGAGTCTTTTGTGTCGCCAGAATGTGTGTGTAAAATTCTAGTTCAAAATATCCAACTGATCATTTATTGTCTTAACTTTCAGAGTATTGTTATTTTCAGCTCTGTGCATCTCGTAGCTGTTTTTGTTTTGTTTGCACAGCAAATGTGTAAGGACGCGCGTTAATACCCACTGCTGTATGGATATCCGTTATGTTAATGTACAAAATAAACCTGATTTAACATCCACAAACCAGCATTGAAGTGGCAACGGAGACATGTAAATACGCTGCTGTCAATCAATTCAGTGGGCAGGGAAACCACACTCCTACATCATGTTCAAACTGCCTCAAAATGGGAGGGATTTGAATACTATTTTAAAGTCAGGAAGTTAAAAAAGAAGAGACTTTATATCACCCCAATATGACTGTAGACACACTATACCTACACACAGTTCTGTCCAAACACCTTCTAAAAGATGATTTTCATCATAGGTGCCCATATATATATATATATATATATATATATATATATATATATATATATATATATATATATATATATATATATATATATATATATATATGAAAGATTAAAAATACAATACAAATCAACAAAGTTTAAATCAGGGGTGTTCAAACTCTGTTCTGGGGGGCTGGTGTCCTGCATATTTTAGTTGTAACCCCAATTAAACACGCCTAAACCAGCTAATCAAGCTTTTTCTAGGTTTACTAGAAAAACTTCCAGGCAGGTGTGTTGAAGGAAGTTGGAGCTAAACTATGCAGGACATCGGCCCTCCAGAACCGAGTTTGGACACCCCTGGTTTAAATAGTACAAAAAGTTTTTCTACATACCTTTTTTCTCACTAATAAAGTCCATGAAAAGTCATATTTAAAATGTATGTCATGTTAAATGATAAAACAACATAATCTTAATATTTATTTTTTATGCAAGAATATTTGGCTGCAGTACCTATTAAAAAAAGCTTTATTAATTCTTAGTCTTTATCTTGAAAAAACCATCAGCATTCAAGACATCTTTATTAGAATCCATTTACAACCTCTTTATTTATTTGTTTATTTATTTGTTAGGAACATGAGCTCTTTTTTATTAACGGAGTTCCCTCTGAGAGTACCTGGTTTACTGCTCTGTTATCTCTATTTACCTCTCTTTCTATCTCTCTCTCCCTGACACACACACACACTACAGCCGAGCTGGCAGTGAGTCTGTTAGGTTTACCTCTCTCTGTCGGGGAAGGATGGAGTGCTGTGCAGAGTCTGCCTGCTGTCCTCCTGAGCGATGGGTCGGGGGATGGCGAGAGAGAGCGGCGGGGGACGCTGAGAGAGACTGCGGTCATAACTGCATGAAAGTGAAAGTGAGAGAGAGAGAGATTAGGACAACATCCAGGGGGAACTAACTTAAAAACATACACCGAAGAAAGTGACACAGAGGCGTGAAAAGAGAGATTAAATGAAAAAAGCGGCAAACCCTTCAGTGACATTGACAGGGAGTTCATTCACTCTCTGACTTAATTTAATAGCGCCTTCAGCGAAAACAAAGTAGAGGCAGAGAAATTAAAGCGAGATGGAAACGCTGGAATATTCGCTTAAAATCATATTTGTCCGGCAACCGTGAGGAAGACAAAGTGTCGCATGCACGGCGTGACGTGCCATGTAATATTAATGGCTCGCAGCGATATGCACTTATCTATAGTGACTCAGGCGGGAGTTGAGTCCAGCTCCGCTCTGACGGGATGATGATGACGGGCGGAGGCTGCTGGAGGTTGTTAAATGAGCGCGAGCGTGTCTGTCAAGGCTAGTGTGGGGCATACAGAGATTAATAGCAGAGAAGAGCTTGTGTATGCAATAAAATCGCCCTCGGCTCTGCTCAGATGAACGCCGGTCTGATCTTCTAGGTGAGCGGTGGCTTCACATTAACATAAACCCGTCGGGAGTTCGTGATGTGACAGCTTTAAACCTCTCTATCGATCTTACAAACAAGCCCACAAACATTGCCTTAACGTCTGATTTGTAGTGACCTGCACCATTGCTTTGCCGCAGTTTAAAGAAAGTATGTGATTGGCTGAAGCAACCACGATTTTTCAAGGAAAGGACAGCATGAATTTGTACGATGCGACTCTTACAGAACAATACAAAAAAATGAAGTAAAAAATTCTCCCCTAAACTCTTTTCCTATTAATACACATATACGCACTTGATCGGCTACCTATTACAGTGGCTGTCCATTCTTCGATTTGTGCATAACACATTTTGTCACCAAAATAGAATGCGCATACTAGACTATAATCACATTGTCTACTTTTTGTGTGTTAACAATGGTGCAAACACTCAAGATGTTGTTTCAGGGTAGGAAAAGAAATGTGAAAGTGACAAAACAAGAACAACAACAATCTACTGAAGACAGCAAAAATAATAAAAGAATACACTGACAAAAGCTAGAGATTAAAATGTGAGATTAGAGTGACGGGGACTCTACACTGCTTAGTGAGTGCCGTCTTTCAGATGAGACGTTAAACCGAGGTCCAGACCATTAAAAATCCCAGGATGTCCTTCGAAAAAGAGTAGGGGTTTAACTCCGGCATCCTGGCCAAATCTGCCCACTGGCCTCAGTCCATCATGGCCTCCTAACCCTCCCCATATCATAACTGGCCTCATCACTCTGTCTCCTCTCCACCAATCCAAGCTGGGGTGTGGTGTGCGGTCTGCCGCAAAATGGCTGCCATCGTGTCATCCAGGTGGATGCTGCACACTGGTGGTGGATGAGGAGATTCCACTCCTATCTGTAAAGCGCTTTGAGTGCCCAGAAAAGCGCTATATAAATGTAAGGAATTATTATTATTAATACATGTCTACTATTCTACTGTAATCGAGTACAAACCCAGTAAACACACAACATCATATGACATTAATATTAGGTTAGATTTAGGTAAACTCAACGCTATTTTGATGTCCAATAATGACGTGAAATGATGTGGATATTTTGTTGATTTTAGGTTTTTAAAATTACCAAAATCTAACGTTGAGCCAAAATCTTAAACCAACGTCATATTAATGTCAAATACTGACATTTATTCGTCAGGTATGGCAACGAATATCAAACGTCTGATAGATGTCATATTGTTAACTATGGGGTACAACGTCAATCTGAGGTCATGTTAACATCCTGTGCCTGCTCGGAAGCCATTCTAATAGCTAAATGAAGGAAAGCGAAGACACTGGACAAGGGCAGTTCTTTCTTGCGTAAAACTTATTGAACCCTTCTACTACGTATGCTGTAAAATGGATCATACTTTAAAAGGCTGGACACTCAAAAAGAGACTTTTGCTCCTTGGTCAAATTACTTATTTAAAATGAGCTGAAACAGCACAATTCTTGAGGGTTTTTGGGTCAACTTAATTGCTTTTTGTTCAATGTACTTAACTGCAAATATTTAACTTAATCGATTTGTGTTGGGACAATACATAAGCTAACATATAGTTTAAGTCCATGAGACTATACAGTAAGCTGTTCCATTCATCATTTTAGCTACCAGAAGGAAACTTGCAAGCGCCTCCTTTGTAACCGCCCTTGATGTGCACTTCTGCAACACTGAGGTGAACACCACAAAAGACTTCTGTTCAACAATCACAGCTGCAGTACTTCATAAATGGGTGACCGCAAGCGTTTGGGGTGACATCTGAGACAAGGCCATTTATTGCATTGTTCAGCTCTGGCATGAGGTCTCAATCGATGAAGGCCTAAAATAATGACCAGTACAAATGGCCGGGAATCTCAAGTGATGGGCCCTTTATAGTTTTGATACTTACTGCAAAGAGTGAAACCATCAACCATTCATGTTAAAGTATATTCCACTATCTGTGATCTTTCTCTCAAGAAATCATGAGTGAGTACTTGAGTAACCCTAACCTAACCTGTCGATGCTACTCAAACTTGTGCAAAATCATTCAAGAAGAACAGCGGGCCAAGAGTGTAGTGTATATACACAAAAAAACAATGCAAGTACACATGAAATTTGCATAACAGCACACTGAATGCATACCCTAGTAAATGCATAGTGTAAAAGATGTACAAATGAGACACAAATTAGCCATCGACTTGCCGAAAACGTAAAATAGTTACGAACAGCCATGAGAGCGTGTTGGCGCAAGAGTTTGACACGTTCTGATGGAACTGAATTCAGAGAAGGGAACATTCTAGCATAAAACAAGGCAGGTGGTCATAAATCACGCTCATAACCTGTCACCCTGTGTTTATAGTTACTCTCAGGATGATATGGGCCGTACCTCGGCTCTCTATATCATTTTAATGATCATCTATGCGATCGAATGCTGCCGTCCGAGTAACTACAAATGCATTCCTGTGCCTGATGGCCCCCAACGCTCCGGGCTACATTTCTAATTAAACCAGCACAATAAAACACTGTAAGGTGTCCAGACTTTTGGTGTCTGCAGAGTTAGAATATCCATAGATGACATTTTTAATGGTCCTGCAGGGAACTCTTACTGAACAGCAGAACCCTCAGCTGAAAGTTTGTGGAAATGTGTTGTGTGAGACTATTATGACACACTGACTGTTCAGTCAGTCACACATACACACACACACGGGGGAGCAAGCTGTCTCGGGGGACGCATGACAGAACCATGCAGGCAGAGAAGTGTTGAAACGTCTCACCAGAGTTTAGCTGAGATGACGACCGCGGACAGAATCAGCAGAGATGAAATCGTCACCGTCACATAAAACTGTGGGTCCACTGAAGACAGAAATCACAGAGGAAAAGAATAATCAGTGGGGGGTGAAATGGAAGAATTGGCTCCCTTTCAATGTGAATTTCACTTTAATTGCACCCGTCTTAAGTTGAATTTAAAATCTTTGAAGTGGAAAGACGAGATGTCTTTGCCAGTGTTCAGACTGATGACCTACAAATGTGAGTTTTCAGTAGCAGATTTCTAAAGGTCGAGTCAGGAATGTGAAAGTTTTTGTTTGATGTGTGTGACTTTAAAAATATTTCAAATTACGATTATCACTTCCCTCAAATAGCAAAACCTGTCAACAAGGGTATGGGTTTGAATCCCAAATGGTGCGTAAGCTACAGTTGAGGTCAGAATTATTAGCCCCCCTTTGTGTTTAGTTTTCTTTTTTTAAATATTTCCCAAATGATGTTTAAAAAAAGCAAAGAAATTTTCACAGTATGTCTGATAATATTTTGTCTTATGGAGAAAATCTTATTTGTTTTATTTCGGCTAGAATAAAAGCAGCTTTTAATTTTTCAAAAAACATTTTAGGGACAATATTATTAGCCACTTTAAGCTTTTTTTTGATAGTCTACAGAACAAACCATCATTATACAATAACTTGCCTAATTACTCTAACCTGCCTAGTTAATTTATAAAATAATTAATAAAATAATTAACCTAGTTAAGCCTTTAAATGTCACTTTAAGCTGTATAGAAGTGTCTTGAAAAATATCTAGTCAAATATTTACTGTCATCATGACAAAGATAAAATAAATCCATTATTATAAATGAGTTATTAAAACTATTATGTTTGGAAAGGTGTTGAAAAAAAATCTTCTCTCCATTAAATAGAAATTGGGGAAAAAAAAACAGAAGGGCTAATAATTCTGACTTCAACTGTAATTATAACATATATCTTAAATACAATGTCACAAAAAAAGTGAACTGAGATTTTGGGAAAGTCATTGTCCCTCATCCCACTTGCCACAATGGTCACTCGCCACTGTAAAACTGCTGTCATGGAAAATGAAATGGATGTTCTTGGCTGGTGGAAGATGCACAAACAATCCTACCCAAAACTTGCAAAATTAGCCAGATCAGAACTATGCATCCCAACCAGTAGCAGCATCAGTAAAAGGGCGTTCAGTGCTGCTCAGTGAGCGCAAGACTGCGCTAAAGCCATCTACAGTGGATTCAATAATGTTCCTCCACAAAAACACATAGCCTAATCTTGGTAAGTAAAGAATTTTGAAATGATAACTAAATACTAATTAAACCATAAAATCATAATGTACACAGAGTATATAAGCTAATCAAAATATACTTGTCGGGCTCGGGACGAATTCTGTCAGGCTCGGGCCCTATCAGGCCTAAATTTTATGGCTCGATTACACCTCTAATAAGGAGTTCATGATGTACCCATCCAAGTAAAATCATGATATAATTATACAAAAACATGTCATGAGTTTATGATGATTAAATTAAGCATAAACTATTGTGGCAATTAATACATTAATTAACAAACAAGCATGTACTAACAAGTAATTAAGGTAGCCGTTATTCACACGACTCATTAGTTATTAAATTCATTAATGTATTAATTAACATTAAAGTTTTCAGCTAAGTGTAACCAACACAGCTGTTACTGTAAATTACGTCATGACTTTACTTGGAGGGGCACATCATCCATAACACATTACTAACTACTCATGAACTCCTTATGCGCGTCCGGCTAGTGGGTTTACACTGAATAACAATAAAAAAGTGTTCTGTCAACATCAACATGAACACTTATACATTAACAGCTCATGAGTAGGGCCAGACGGTATCTGCAGACGTTTTTTGCTATTTCTGAGGATAATTTTGGTAAAGATCTGCGGATTTCTGCAGAATTACTTTAGGAGTATCCAGCGGAGTATCATAACTAAAACCTTAATATATTAAATTAAAATGAATAAATTACTGAATAAAAAGTAAGTAAATTCAGATTTACACATTTATTCAAGTAAATAAACAGAATTAATAATGGGCTAAAAAATCTGCGGAATTCTGCGGAAAATCTTTGGAAAATCTGCGGAATTCCGCACGCGCTGATTCCGTGTGGGCCTACTCATGAGTTCTTGTTGGTGACATTTAGCTTAAACTTCAATGTTAATTAATACATTAATGACTTGTGTTGTAGTGAAAGTTAGTTGAGGATTAGCGCAAGCATTTCCTCATCATTAGTTCATAATAAAGTAAAGATACGTTTACACTTTTACACATTATTCATGCACTCTTATTGTAAAGCGTTACAAAAACAGAAATGTACAATGGCTCAAAGAAAGCAGCTTGAGTGAAAGCAACAGTGAGCTACAGGAGAGAGACAGTAAAATGTGGGGGCGAGAAAGGGTGGGTGTCGTAATCAGGTAAAATTGTATTGATTGCATTGATGCCTCCCTCAATGGGAGGGAAATCTAAGCTCTCCTCAAGCGCAGATTTGCTACTATGAGGAAGCAGCGTGAGCCCAAAGCCCTGTTGGCAATGCAGCTCTCAGATAAAGAACTCATTTCACGCATACCAACCTTCCTCTGTGTCCTGCTCCTCTGTCTCCGTTTTCTCTCCAGCAGTCGGACGTTGTGTTTGATTGACAGGCGCATTTCGACGATGGGACCAGTCCTCGGACGTGGTCGCCTTCAAACTGTCCGTCTCCAGGCTGGACATGAGATGATGGGTCTCGTCCTCCAGGGGCTGCGTGGGACCCCAGTCCACCGCCCAGAGCTGGGTGGTGCTGGCCTGCGCCGTGACTGGCATCTGCATTTCAGCCAACTCCTCCCACTTCCTGTCATCTGTGTCACCGGTGGCAGTGCAAAAAATGACAGTGACCAGCAGGAAGCTCCAAAGGGGAATGAATCCAATGTGGGGAGAGATGGAGCTGGGAGGGAAGGAGAGACAAGCAACGAAAAAGACGGAAGGAGGGATTGAAAAGGAAAAGCTAGAGATCGGAAAAAGTGAGCACATAAGTGAGAGAGGCGTGAACCTTGCACAGATGGAAAGAGACTTAAAGCAGGAGCTGATGCAACCCAACGGGCTGCTGAAATTAACTGGTCAGATCTGAGAGCAGAGTGCAACCCAAACAGTACGCTCTGGCTTACCATCGCTCCATCGCTTCTGCCTGTTCACTGACTCCTCGCCGCTCCGATCATCTCTGAAATGAGAAAAAGAGAAGGATGAGAAGAGAAACAGAGCTGGAAGGGGGAGGGCTCAGCCTTGACACTGACTAAAAGACCATAAACAGATGGCTGTAGTGGAGAAATACCCTGCTGGCTCTGAGACAACACAAATAAAGGCACACGCACGTTTACACGCGCACTCATCGACAACCAAAACACATGCTGAAGCCTAGGAACTACTGTGGAACACACCTGTGGATGCATTCACGGCTTCAAACCTCATCCCTCATCCATCAAACACAACTCAACATCTGTAACCAAGCTCACAGCGCACTCCAACAACACAAAATCACCCTGACACATCGCAAAACATGCAGACTCACACTCTCAAGGCAGAAATACGGACTCGCATACCTACCTCGTGCCACTGAAGAAGGGAGTGGGAGAGAGGCTGAGCGCCTGGAAGTGGGGGAAAGCATTGGTTGCCGTAGAGACAGAGACATGCAGAAATTGTGTGAGTGAGAAATAGAGTGCGGGAGAGGGAGGGAGAGTGAGAACGGGAGAGAGAGAGAGGAAAGAGGATTGGAGGAAAGATTGAAATACTAATTATGCATCTTAACTGGTTCAAATTAAATAGGCAGCAGCGAGAAGGAAAGAAATGAATTTTGAAGGCGAAAATAGCCGGACTGAATAAAAGAAGCGGCTTATTAATATTCCCGAGACCAGTTGAAGTAAATAAAAAGTACTCCGAAAGGACAAATGAAGATAGGCAGTGGCGGGGGAATCAATATACATTAATGTAGCGTTGGATGGGAGCCTTACATGATGAACAGCGCCATAGATATTTATAGGCAGAAGTGACAGAGATGATAAATACTCTCACACACACACACACACACACACACATACGGTCGTAACACGGTTGGTTTTATTGGATCACTGTTTACATAGAAAAACAGTCTGTTGTTTCTGTCCTCCTTCTGTTTCTGCGAGTCAGTCAATCTGTTCAATCCATAGTGCGCAACTCGGCGTTGTGGCTTGACCTTGCTTTCTCTTGCTTTACAGTTTGTTCTTTTTTACCCTCCTCCTTCCCCCTTGTCCTCCCGTTTTTCATTCACCCCTCCTCTCGCTCACTGAAGAACACAACGCAGCCATGAGGAACTTGCGGGTTCCTCTGTTTCAGGTGCATCCTGGGTCGTGGCATCTTCGTCATCAGCATCGTCTGGAGAAAGACAGTTCTGATGGTGAATTCTGATATTTTTGAAGTCCAAAAAATATGTTGTAACAGTTTTATTTTTAAAGGGCAATTTCACACAAACGTCATTTACTCTCTCTTCGATTGCTTGAGTTTTTTTCTTCAGTTGAACACTAAAGAAGATATTTTAAAGAAAACTGAAAACCATTGACTTCCATAACAGTTGTTTTTCCATTAATGGTTACATGTTTTTATTCTTTTATTTTCCTTCAGCTTAAAGCTGGTTTACACTTCTGCGTCAAGTGACTGGCGTGACCCATGGCGCCTGCCTTGTGTGCAGTCATGCATTTATAGTTCTGTGTGCTGGTTGTGTTGCTCTGCAGTAACACTTTCCAAACACTTGCTGGCAGGGAGGTTTTTATTTTCCTCTATGTCGAGTTTCTTCACTGGTGTTTTGTTTTTTCTCAAAGCTACCTTAATGTAGAAGTAGCTAAAACTTGCTTATTCAGACGTGGGAACCGGTGGACGTGCAACAACTTTAATCATACGGTAAACACTAGGAATGCTCCACTCAATTGGCCAGAAATCGGTATTGGCCGATTATCACTTTTCATGACTCGATCGGTACTTACTAATCAGGGGTGCTTTTCCAAACAACCACATAACTCACGGCTGAACTATCATAGTACCATGCATCGTTCGGGAAAAGAAAGAGTTTTTCCCAAACCCATAGTTTCTCTGTCGCAGATCCAATGTTTGAACCACGTTAGTTATAATGTAAAACGCCCATAATGATTCTCTAAACGGGGTGGTAACAACTTCTTTAGAGAATAACCCCATAATTTCTTTGTGCAAATTATTTTGTTTTACACGCACACGCATTAAAAAAAAATCCAATATTAGTATTGGTAAAGACATCCACCCGTTTTCCATATTAATTGAAACTGTACAAAAGCAAACACGTATTCTAATCATTCTAAAATCATATAAATAAATAATGAGGCTATCTATTAAGAAATTATATTTAATATTTATTACTTATTAGGAAATGAAGAAATCCTACTTTATATATATATATATATATATATATATATATATATATATATATATATATATATATATATATATATATATATATATAACAGCTCTGTCTGGTTCTCAAATCTGATTGGCTGATAGCCGTGCGATACTCTGCAATATCAGAACTCCTACAGTCTCTTTACCCTTTGTGTATTACTCCACCCACATACAGCCAGCAAAAAGCAGACACTACAGATCTAAAGTTTAAAAGCTAAAGTCAGCTGTTTAACTGTCAGCTTATGATTTGAATCCGGAAGAAAGTAGTTCCTCATACAAAGGGTTTTTGAGACTCTCCATGTTTGATTTTGTTTTTATATACACAATTATGCTGTAAAACTGTTGTATTAACACAATATCATCGTAGCAGTGCGATATGGCTGTACAACGCACGCCTCCCACCAGCACCAATATACAGCCTTATCGCACTGCTACTCGTGTGATATTGCTCATATATATATATATATATATATATATATATATATATATATATATATATATATATATATATATATATATATATATATATATATATATATATATATATATATAATATAAAATTAAATAATAAATATAATAATATGGCTGATTTCATGAACTGATCACAATTGTTTGTTCAAGAGTTTACAAGCAGAGGACACATAAGAACTGAAATCTTTTACATATCAGAACTAAATGTTCTGTGTTTTCAACAATATTGCAAGTTCATTAAATCCTGGCTGGAAATGTTTTTTAACTTGAATATTTATTGGCATAACTTATGGTATAACGTGTATTGTAATATACATACTGTAATAAGCAGTAGTTTATAGACCTAATTCCTTTAAGTAAAGTAGTAATGGATTTATAGGAGTGCATTTTACTTCTTATGCATTAAATATGCCCTCCAAATTTCATTGAGACATGTTGAATTCTTCCATGATTTGCAGCGTTTCCAAATAGCTTTTTTCTGTTTTATCTATTTTGTTCTGTAAAGTTGCTTCTGACCATGACATGTCTACATTAAATGGTTAAGTATCATATGTATCTTATCTATTATAAAGCTTAAAGCATCAGAATCGGTACTTGGTATCGGTTTACCACCACAACAAGGAATTGGTACTCAGTATCAACTGCAAAAATCCTGATCGGGGCATCCCTAGTAAACACAAAATAAGTTTTCATCTGGAGCTCCTTCACGGTTCTCGACACTTAAAAACACTCGCTCCATCAGGTTCGCGATTGTAGTTTTTCAAGACAGTGTGCGTCAGCGTCTGCGTCAGCCATGGCGAGGGCTAAGAGACCAAGCAAAGCACTTGACGGAGAAATATAAATCAGCCTTTAGTCCCTTAATTAATCAGGGTTCGCCACAGTGGAATGAACTGGCAAATTATCCAGCATATGTTTTACACAGCAGATGCCTTTCCAGCTGCAACCCTGTACCAGGAAACACTTATACACCATCACATGCACACACATTCATTCATTCATTCACCTGTAGTGCATGTTTTGGACTTTGGGTGATACCATATCAGCCAAAGGAAACCAACACAAACATGGGGAGAACATGCAAACTCCACACAGAAATGCCAACTGACCCAGCCAGGACTCAAACCAGCAATCTTCTTGCTGTGAGGCGACGGTGCTAAGCACTGAGCCACAGTGTCGCCTATGTTTTCAATTTTCTTTAAAATATCTTCTTTTGTGTTCAAGAAAAGAAAGAAACTCAAGCAAGTGAAGGAAGGAGAGTCAATGACGACAGAAATTCCTTTCAAGTTTTTGCAGACTGATTTGCAACAGGTTAAAACATCTGTCTCTCTCTCTTACCCTCACTTCTGTCGTCTTCTGAGTCTCTGTCTGATTCCAGAATACAGTCCTCCAGTCGTCTGTCTCGTCTCACTGTGACATCGCCCCTAGAGGAAACACAGCAGAAGAGCGTCAGTGCAGGGCACTTGGGTCACACTGTTTACAAGGACAGAAGGATGTTTAACTCGGCCTGAAGCAAAAAGCGAAGCAACTCTGCTGACAATGGCGCGGCTGTCAATGGGTTTGGAATGACTTCATTATACAAACTGCTTTTAAAGTAGCAAGTATATCATTAAGAGTTAGGCAGAAGCAGTTAAACTTAAAAATCTTCTTCATTTCTGGCTTAAGGTGTCACATTAGTGTTATTTCAGTGAAATATGTGGAGGAAAAAGTCTTGTTCACACATAAGTCTCTTTTAAACCATACAGCTCTCTTCTGGTTAATGCAATGCATTTGCAAGATCAGCATGAGCAAAATCTACATGTGAAAACTTTCCATCTCCGCATAATATTCCAAAATGTGCACACTGCTGTTCAAATGGCTAAATAAAGTCACAAAGTGAGAATGTACCTTTTGTTGTTTAGCAGTGGCTTGTTAAGGACTCAACTTGGCACCAAAAATGCAGCTTGAACATCTGAACAAACCTGTTTTGAGTAATACCTCACACAAACAGTACGATTCTGTCATTCTTTACTCACCATTCACTCATTCCAAACATGTTTGAGCTTTTGTTGAACACAAAATAAGAGATTGTGAAGTATGCTAAAAACCGGTAGACATTGATCTGAACAGTATTTTCGGACTATGGATGTTAAGATCCACTGGTGTCAAGGTCTACCAACATTATTCTTAATCAGAGATGTGCAAAGTAGGGCCCGTGGGCCAAAGTTGGTAGCCTTTGATTTGGCCCACTATCCCATCTAACAGCAAGAATGATGGAGAGGGTTTGGGCGAATGCCTATAACACAGAGATTGTTATTTCTAATTTGACGTAACCTTTGTTATTTGTTTCATTGCTGAGCTGCAAAATATGTAAACTGAATTTAAATGTTTCAATTAAATGTTGTAAATGAATCTGATTTTTAAACATGTAAATAGACAGATAGAAGACAGCAGCGTTTATAATTCTGATATAAACAAGGTTTTGTTTTTACTGTAATAAGTTCATTATAAAATGTTTTTCAAAAACTGTATTATTTAATATAATGCCATGTTTTCTAGTCAATTTTAACATTATAAAAAATTAGGAAATTACACGTGGCAACTATAATTACCTTCGGCCAACTAGCCTCAATTAAGTTTGGTTTTAGGCCCTTTATAGGAAAAAGTTTGGGCACCCTTGTTCTAAATAATTTGGTGTGCAACAACAACAACAAAAATCAGAGTCTTGAAATCAGATGAGAAGTAAAAGCATTTTTGGATGAACTATTCCTCCAAACCAGCATAAACTGGTATAGCTAGCTTAATCTGGTCTTCTTTCTGGGCACACTAGTATAAACTGGCTGTGGATTATTTAATATGGTCTTCAAGCAAAAACTGCTGTTAAAAAAACAGGCTGGGAGGTTAGTTAGTTTAAAATGTTTTAGTCGGCAGTGTGTACAAACATAAAATGTAATATTAATATTTTCATCAAATGTTGGCATCTGCTAAGTTGGCCAGCTTTCAAGTGGCAGATTAAGTGCCAAATATTGGATGAAAATTCTGCTACTTTGGTTTTGAGTTTTACATGGAACAAGCGGTGAACCAGCAAAATACAAAAGTGTTTACTGCAGTTTAACCCTTGGGCACTGTTCAAATGTGCTACCCTTTTGTTGTTGTTGTTAGAGAAGAAAACGTCCACTGAATTAAACTGCTATAAAAATGCATCAGATTAATAGCTAATGTTTTTTCCATAAATCTGTTAATCCACCTCAGTCAACTTATTTGTTTAGAAAATTACAGGATTTAAACTCTTTAATTGCCGAGTTCACAAATGATGTCACTGATGTGGTGAAAAACCACACAAAATGACGTATTTTCAAAATAAAATATAATTGTGGACTGGATTTGTTTTACCTTTTATCATAGTCTTGGACATGTGAACGATTATTAAGAACATTAGCTTTGATGCATTGTTGAATTAATTTTTTTCTCCGTAACTTACTGTTGGTGACTGTTTTTTCCCCATTGACTTCCATTATAAGCACATTTGATGGTACATAAATACACAGCCTTTGTTTTTGTTTACTCCGTGTAGTTCTGAGAGCTCGGATGCATATTTAGATTTTCTCAGACACATCAAGGTAAGTGCATAAAGGTCACTGTCACACACTCAGAACAGGCATACACACACTTTAGTGTGCAGTTATACTTCATATAAAATTCAGAAGTTTTTTTTTTTTTTGCATCTTAAGGGTTAATGGTGCCAACTAATGATCAACAGTAAAAATTGCAATCTTTACCTCTTCTCAACAGGGAGAACATCAACAATCAAAAATGCATGATTAAAAGATTCAAATAGAAGTCAATGAGGCAAAACCAGACACCAAAAGTAAATTGGGGAGAAAATCAATCAAAAACACTTCATCTAAGACAATGTTGTTTCACATGTCCAAGACTTTGATAAAAAGTAAATTCCGCTCCACAATTACTTTTTATATTACACATAAGTCATAGTGGGTGTTTTTTTACCAAGTCAGTGACAACATTTATGAATGATTTCAAATCCTGTAATTTTCTAAACAATTTAGTAGTTTTGACCAGGACTGTGGTTGATTAACAGATTTATGCAAAAAATGTTGAAAAAAAAAATGTTAATCTAACACATTTTTACAGCAGTTTAATTCAGTTGATGTTTTCATCCTTAACATAACAAAAGGGTAGTAAATTTGCCCAGTGTATCATTGACTTCTTTTTAAAAAATTCTCAAAATGTGTGTCAAAATAAGATTTGTGACCAAAAATCATTCTGCTAGCTGAAACAGAAAATGTTACGGCCAATTTAAGACATATAATCTCCCCAGACTGGATGAAAACATCCCCAACAGTGTATAAGGGTTAAAAAAATGCCAGTAAAACTAATCTTCAAGCCAGGCCATATTACTGTTAAGCTGGCTTATCTAGATACAAAGTTTGTTCTCTAAAAAGTGTCCAAAACCACAGTAAATCCAGCAAAAAGACTTAAACAATGAAACAATGAGACCGGATAATATTCCAAAACCAGTGTAGGTGAGTTTAGAAGTTTCTGTCAACAGTGTCAAATGTAAATGAAAATGTCCTTGAAATTAAGCACTAATATTGATATTGCCATGAAATGCTGGCATCTGTCTAATCTGGCTATCTTCCAAGTGACAGATTAACCGCCAAAATACTGAAGCCTTGATGTCTTTGACAAAAACAACAAAAGATACGGGAATCATTTTCTCTTCCTTTTAAAAACCTAAGAAGTAAGAACCTATTTTTTGCTGATCTAAATGTGCAGAATTATATGGCTGGTTGGATTTGATTATTTGCATGTAACATCTTTTTTTTTTCTCTCTCTAACCCACCAGTTGAGACCCGCAGCTCTCCCGAAATGTAGTTAAAAAAAATCAATATTTATTTTTTTTCTCCACAATGTGATCACTGGCTCAGCATCCAGAGCTCGATGTGAGCTATGGTTCCCATTGTCAATTAAACTATGCCTGAAGCGTTCCTGCAGACTTCTCATTAATAAGCATCCCAAAGATACTATATTCCAGCCAGTATCTCATTACTGATGTACATATTGATATACTGACTAAATGAAACATTGAGCAGAGCGTCTTATATTAGTAACTGTGAGTCAGGAGATGTCTATGAATTGATATACAGTAATACATTATATAAAGTAGATTGCGAAGGGCTTGGGCATGGGCAGAAGGGCTTGCGAAATACATCAGCTTGAGGAAGTCAGTTTGAGATGCACGAGGCAAACGCAATCCTGTTTACATCTGGCATTTTAATCCATCTCTTTTCTCCACCATCGACCACTTTCCTGATTTCTTTGAGAGGAGGGTCAATGGGCGGGTGAACGTATCGGCTTTTTCTGATCTTTCAATGTAACATTCTGGAATAAGATTGCAAAACTTGGATATTAATGTGCAAGAGACAACTAAAAAAATCAATGCAGAAAACAGCAGAATTTGTTTTCTGCTCTGATTGCTGCAAAAATATGGTGAATATAAAAATGAAGAATGTGGCAGGACTTTTAAGAGAACACTTTTTAGGTTCTCCCACTCAAACAAAGCTTACAATTTCTAATGGCAAAGTTTAAATCCCATCTGACTACAATACTTAACAACCACATTTTATTCAAGTTTAACTCTTATCCTTCCCTTCTGTCCTGGTTTCCAAAGTTTCTCTCCTTTAGTTTTTTTCTCAAAAATGAAATATCAATATATGTAGTAGTGTGTAAGTCAGGGGTCTCAAACTCAATTTACCTGGGGGCCGCAGGAGGCAAAGTCTGGGTAAGGCTGGGCCGCATAAGGGATTTCACAAAAAAAAAGTCCTCAAATGTCATTATCAACAGTTTTAATTATTTCTTCTGAACATGAAGTTACCTGAACATTAATAGAACATTGAGTGAAGATTATGAACAGTTCTTCTGAACATGGCATCTTTTGCCTACTTCTTGCTGCCAGAGACTTGACAGCGCTTCTTCTCACAAATCTGAACCACATTTGGCTTTAGAGCGGAAGCAGTTGAGACCCTCAGTATGGCTTGAAGATGATCATCATTAAGTCTAGACCTGTACTTTGATTTATTGAAGTCCTAGGGAAAAAAGTGGGGGAACTCACTCAAAACTTCCATTCCCTCACCTAAAGAAAGGCGTATATATGTATAAATAAAACACCCCCACCCCACTCCAGTCACATCAGTCTGTAACAGTCTGTATCTACCTATAATATATATAAGATGCAGGCTGTAGCTAGGTAGGTGGCAGGCTGCAGATAGGTAGCTAAGTGGCAGGCAGGGGCGGGAACAGCTTACCTTGGTTCTGGCCGGCGCGAGTTCCCTCCTAACACTTCCCGCCCGTCACAGCGTCTAACAAAGGGGTGCGTGGTGACGTCACCGGCATCCCCGCCCCTTTGTTTACACGGCGGGCGGGGAATGCCAGTGACCGCTGTGTACGGATAGAATCAGCGGAGCGGGGAGCGCTCTCTCTCCCCGCTCCGCTGATTCTGTCAGTGTACAGCAGTCGGCGCGGGCCACAAAATATTGCACTGCAAATGGCCCGCGGGCCGCGAGTTTGAGACCCCTGGTGTAAGTTATATAGTATACACTCCCCAGTCACTTTATTAGGTACACCTTACTAGTACCCTTTTTCCTTCAGAACTGCCTTAATCCTTCGTGGCATAGATTCAACAAGGTACTGAAAAATTCCTCAGAGGTTTTGGTCCATATTGACATGACAGCATTATGCCTTTGCTGCAGATTTGTTATCTGCACACCCATGGTGCTCTTTTGGATTGAGTTCTGTGGAGGCAATTTGAGTACAGTGAACCCATTGTCATGTTTAAGAAATCAGTCTGAGATGATTCGAGCTTTATGACATGGCACTTTATCCTGCTGGAAGTAGCCATCAGAAGATAGGTACACTGTGGTCATAAAGTGACAGATATGGTCAGTAACAATACTCAGGTATGCTGTAGTGTTGACACAATGATCAATTGGTACTAATGGGCCCATAGTGTCCCAAGAAAATATCCCTCACACCATTACACCACCACCACCACCAGCCTGAACTGTTGATACAAGGCAGGATGGACCCATGCTTTCATGTAGTTGATGCCAAATTCTGACCCTACCATCCGAATGTTGCAGCGAATTGTAGCCTCAGTTTCCTGTTCTTAGCTGACAGGAGTGCCACCCGGTGTGATGTGTTGTGCATTCAGAGATACTCTTCTGCATACCTCGGTTGTAACGAGTGGTTATTTGAGTTACTGTTGCCTTTCTATCAGCTGGAACTAATCTGGCCCTTCTCCACTGGCATAAACAAGGCATTTGCGCCCACAGAACTGCCGCTCAACAAATATTTTCTCTTTTTTGGACCATTCTCTGTAAACCCTAGAGATGGTTGTGCATGATAATACCAGTAGATCAGCAGTTTCTGAAATAATCAAACCAGACCATATGGCACCAACAGCCATGCCACGTTTAAGGTAACTTAAATCACCAATGAATTTGGAGTGGCAGTCCTTGCCTGTTGATGTCAGTTTGAAAGAGTTTTCTTAACCACGCCCTTCTTACCATTATTTTGCTATGAGGTAATGATCCACAAAAAGAAACCCCTCCCCCAACTCAATATTCCATTTCAGTTGGAAGTACATCAGCATACTGAAATGAATGTCTCAGCAACTTTCAGTGGACGTGGACTTTGACCATTGCAGATATACCGCTTACACCTGTATTTAGCAACATACAATGTGATTAGACTAGATTGACAAAAGTGCATCTTACTACCAGATGTAAACAGAGCCTAAAAAGTTATACATGTCCACTTATGACTTCTTCTAGAAGTAGAGGACAATGCATTTGATCAGACTTTCACAAAAAACTACATACTCAGATTTTTCTCAAAAATTACAAGTAAATTGCAGAGGAGAGATATTAATAATAATAAAAACTCCTTACTTTTATATAGCCCTTTTTTCTGGACACTCAAAGCTCTTTATTTTTTCTCATCCATCATCAGAGTGCAGCATCCACCAGGATGACACGACAGCAGCCATATTACGCCAGACCGCACACCAAACACCAGCTGATTGGTGGAGAGGAGGCAAAGTGATGAAGCCAATTATGGTATGGGGATGGTTAGGAGGCCATGACAGACAGAGGCCAGTGGGGAAAATTGGCCAGGATTAAATCCCTACTCTTTTTTTTTTTTTTTAACGACATCCTGGGATTTTTAACAGTCACAGAGAGTCAGGACTTCGGTTTAATGTTTCATGCGAAAGACAGCACTCACTGAGCAGTATAGAGTCCCCATCAATATACTGGAGCATTAGGACCCACACAGACCGCAGGTTAAATGCTCCCTGCTGGTCTCACTAACACCACTACCGGCAGCAACCTAGCTTTCCCATGTGGCCTCCCATCCAGTTACTGACCAGGCACAGCCCTGCTTAACTTCAGTAGTCGACCATGTGAGATTTAAAGAGCTAGCTGCTGGTGTGAACTTTTTAAAAATACTTTAAAACACATTCCAAAATGTGAAATTGCAATGTAACCAGTAAACTGGCAAAATCTAGTAAACAGTACATTTTTTTATTTTATTGGTAAATTATTTTTAGTAATCTTACAGAAATTTACTAATAATACTGTGTGAAATTTGGATTGGATATTGGCTAATGCATTGGTTTTCTGCTTACTCATTAGCTCCACATCATTGGTTTAGTCATTCAACAGTTCTTGTGCGTCACACTGAGCACTTTAGCTCAATTAATGTAGAGCGTAAAAGAAATAAAAACAAAGAGTTTCAAAATCCAAACACAAAAGGACACAAGAGATGCATTTGAACATGTTAAAACCAGGTGGAAACAGTAATGCGTCTCAGCTGACCACTTTAGAATGAATCACTATAAACATTAACATCAGCTGGAAACAAGGCCAAAACTGATCCTATACACTACATCTAATAAAACACACACCTCTTTTTAAAAGTTCCTGGAAGCTGCTCCCAAACAATGAGATCATGGCCCCCTGTGACCCAACGATGGTCTCCGCTTGCGGTCAGCCACGCAGCAAAGCAAAGAATCCTGGGAAGATCTGAAGAAGTGAGTGAAACCAGGTACTTGCACTGGGGAAGTGAGAACACTGAGAAAGAAAGAATAAGAGTGATTATATTATATTATATTATATTATATTATATTATATTATATTATATTATATTATATTATATTATATTATATTATGTTATATTATATTATATTATATAAGATTAGATTATCTTGAGGTTTTACACTTTGAGAGGTGTTAAAAGAAATCACTCACAGTTTATTGTGCTCTCTCCATTCGCGAGATCAAAACATGAGGCGATCAAAAGACCGGGGATTTGATTGACGCAATCTGTGACTCCGGCAGTGCTGCTGTGATTGGCTAGCCTGGTCATCACGCCTGCCAAATGATTGGATAATGCAAAGCCGCATCATTAGAAGCATTTCTCTAACATTCATTCACTGAAATAAGCCATGAACAAAATTAATTACACTCCCATAATCTCTGTATTTATAGACTCTTTTTTTAGTCTGTCAATAGCTTGCCCACTTTGCTGTGTATACTCAGTCGTTAATAAAAATGTTTTTTTAGTCTGTAAGAAGCTTATTATTTTGTCTCGAGCTCCTGCTTGGAGTTGTTTGATGAACTGGCGTCATTATGAATCTCAGCGCTTTCGATTAGAGCGTCACATCATGTAGTGCGTTCCTAGCAGTAACTCTGATTTATCTGATGTAATTGTTTACAGGTTGTTATTTTCTTGACATAATGGCCTTCGGCACAAACATCCTGTGAGGAAAAGGGATTAAAATGTTTTGTGTGTGTGTGTGTGTGTGTGCGCGCTCCCCGGGGTAAAGAGCCCCCACTTCTGCCTGTGTTCGCTGAGCCATTGGGACTTTAGCACAGATGATATTATCAGCTCTGAGCGAATACACTCAGTCAAGATGTATTCCACTAATAAATCTGTTAAATAGCCCTGAGTCAAAGAACAAATGAAGGTCCAGTGGGGGTTGTAAAAAATTGACTGCTAGAGAATCCGGCATATCCATAAGAAGTGCTTCATAAAACAGGAGGTTGACTAAATATCGGTGTTGATGGCAGATCATCGCATGATGTTGACAAAGGATTATTAGGCTGTCGGTTTAACATGATAATTTGGTGTGATTGATTTAATAAAAAGAAATGCTGCTCTATTCATCTGTTTTTTTACACAGAGTCTTTGAAATGTCTTCATTTGAGGCCTGCTTTGATCAATTATTTATATTGTAATGGTCATGATATTAATACAAATAAAAACTCAAATAATTGCAATGGGTAAGTATTCATAGCCTTTGCTCAGTACTCAGATGGAGCGCCTTTGGCAAAATTACAGTTTAAAACATGAAAGCTTTTCATATTTGCAATTAGGGTTTTTTGTGCAATCCTTTTCTGTAGATTCTCTCAAGCTCTGTCAGGTTGGATGAGACTGTTAATTTTTAATTGTGGTTAAGTTGGAGCTCTGGCTGTTTTTTTAGGGACCGAGCACCTACGGTGCGTAGGCCCTATTGGAATTGCTCCGTTTCTTGTTATTAATCTTCCGCTTCTTCTACTTCTGTAGAATGAAAGGTGATTTTGCGGGTCCAAACACAACCGAAAACTCACAAAACTTAGAACACGCCCTAGAAGTGGCAAAATTCATGCACACGCACAAAAATTGGCACACAAGTCAAACATGCCAATTCCTAAATTCCTACGAAAAGTCTCTTGGAGTGAAATCTTAAACCCAACAGGAAGTCGGATATTTTTTACTTACTGTGCCAAAAAAAAAGTGTTTTTTTGCCATTTCCAGGCGTTGTGTTCTTCTAGGGATTTGATCCAATCAACACCAACATTGGCTTTTGTCATCTAAAGGCCTTGGCAATGTTAAATTGCGAAGATCAAGAGTTTTCATCGAAGAGCGTCCGTGACGGCCTCGCAAACTTTGACGATTCGTCACGAAACAGGAAGATGTTATAAGTCAGGCATGCATTTTTTGGTCTGTCTAAAAATGTACACATAGATAAAAGTCCTGACCTGAACACGTTTACATGCCAATATCCAGATACAGTTATAGCGGCACCTCCTGGCAACATGAAATGATGTTTTAGTGTAACTTCTCCCACAAATTAAATCGTATCAGCACCAAATTTGGGTAGTGTTATCTGAAAGCTCTAGCGATGATATATTGTGAAGATCTAGAGTTCCAAGGCGGCCTGACAAACCGCAGTGCTCCACCATGGAGCAGAAAGTAGTTATAAATCGACCACACAATGTCCGATCTGCATGAAAATTCACGTTTGATAAGATTCCTGTTCTGAGGACATCTACATGCCAATATTGAGCCACAGTCATAGCACCTTCTACTGAGAGAAAGAAGTTTGGCTTATAACTCAACCACACAATGTCAGATCTGCCTGAAACTTCACATGCTCCGGTTTCCCCCTCTGCCAAAGACATGCGATATAGGTGAATTGGGTAAGCTAAATTGTCCGTAGTGTATGTGTGTGAATGTGAGAGTGTATAGGTGTTTTCCAGTGATGGGTTGCAGCTGGAAGGGCTGTAATAAGCTGGGTAAATCATATGCTGGATAAGTTGGTGGTTCACTCCGCAGTGGCGAACCCTGATTAATAAAGGGACTAAGCTGAAAAGAAAATGAACGAATTGACTGGATTCAGTATATTACCTGTCCTCCAATTCAGGATTCGTATGCTGGCCTTCCCACACGAGAGAAACACACGGTCCCCACGGGGGCTGAGAACCAGCCTTCCGTTAAGCCCGTCTTCTTTTCCACACCCCGTGACCTCGGGCCCCCAGAGGTGCAGCCTGCGCAGGGGCTCCGGCCCTTCATCGCACACCTCCCACACACACACACTTCCCTCCGCCGAGCCGCTGAACACCAGAGGACCATGGGACTGTGGAGAGAACGGAGAGTAAATGCCACTGTGTTTCCATGACAACTCGTGCCAACTAACAGTATTAAATATGGAAGGAGAGTCACCGCTGTTTGATGCTACAGTATTCAGATTTTTCTCACAGCCTCACAAACACTTCTATATGTTGGCCTCCATATATTATATTGTCCAGCCCGGATGCATAGCAATAAGTATAAGAATGCAAGTCCAGCGGGGGTTGTAAAATAGTTAGATGCTAGAGCAGTGTTTCCCAACCCTGTCCCTGGAGGCACAGCAACAGTACATAGTTTGAATGTCGCCCTTATCTGACCCATTAACTTCAGGTTTAGGAGTCAGTTGATTCAGGTGTGTTTGATTAGGGAAAATCTGGACTGTTGGTGTGCCTTCTGGAGCAAGATTGGGAAACACTGTGCTAGAGAATCAAACATATCCATGAGAAATGCTTCATAAAATGCAGGGTTGACAAAATATTGGGTTTGATGGGAGATCTTATGATCATGTTGACAAGGGTGTGTCAGGGTGTCAATTGAATGCTTTTTTTGGTATAAGTAATTAAATGGAAACAAGAAATGTGGGTCAGATCATGCATGTTTTAATGTGATGCCCTTAGATATCTTCATATGAGGGCTGCTATTATTAAATATTGATTAAGTAAGATAAGATTAACTACGATTTATTAGAGTCCATGGTTTCCACTACATTCATTCTTTCATGGCGGGGCGCCACGCCAAAATTCTTCCTGCCACGGCTACATTACAGCTTCTCATTCTAAAAATTTATTTTTTTTTAATAGCAAGTGATAATCGCACCAAAACGTATTAAAGGGTAAGTGAATTATAACAGCGCGAACTTTTCAGTAACCGTAGTATCGCTCTGTAGGTTTATTAGGGAGACATTCATAAATATTCCTAGCAAAGCCAATAAATGCTGGAGACATACTCATTACATAAACGCAGTAATTCACACTTCAGCAGCGTTTATTTGAGAGCGCACAAGATCTGTGCGCTCTTGAAGCGGCTTATAATTGAGGGGGTGTGCAAAAAGTTTTGGAAATCAGCACGCAAGCATGCTTTAGGCTATTACAAAAATGCGATCTCGACTTCTAATACTGCGCTCACGACATTTGTCATTAAAATAACGCCACAGGTAGATCTGTGTGAAAAAAAAAAGGCCTGCCATCACAGCTGGAAAAAATCCTAGAGGAAACACTGGACTCTAATAGATTGAACTTATAAAATATATATAATATGCTTATAAATGTGAAGTTTAAACAAAAATCAAACATAAAAACAAGTTGAGGTTCAAAAGCAAATGCAATGTTGGGTTAATATAACAGTTCATCAAACAGCTAGTTAAATGTGCAGTGGGTAATTGTCTTCAGATACATTTTTTGTTGTGCTGGTTGAAAATCTATTTACATTCTAATAGCAATGATTAAAGTAAATAATTTAAATCTATTTATATGTATTTTTTTTATTCTGGGTAAGGTATAAAACTAAAAAATGTTCATCCAATTAAATACTGTCGGGCCAACAATTCCCATAGTCTGATAATGATTTGTATATCTGTGCATCCGTTCACACAGATCCGCCAATTATATGTGCACACGCATTTACGTTCTCACGAGAGAGTCACAGCAGTAAAAACAAATGCTGAATCAAAACATTTTAAATTTCAGAATCAATATTGGAGTTAGTTTTGCACGCTGGAGGAATGATGACAGCATGGCTAAAGTATTTCTTTTAGACAGGTAATGATAAGTTTTCAAACTATTTTAGTCACGCAAAACCTATGTAGATTGTGTTGTTACTAGTGGGTTATATGCACCATAGTGTTGTTCAGCCATTGAAATCTTCCTGCAAGCGACTATTTTCAAGTTCAAGATCCCTTTTACAGCCTCAGTAATGTGTAAATAAAAATTTTATTTAGTTTAACAACAAAACATCACTAAATAGCGCTAAATTCCACCTAAATTGGCCTGCTTTACTGAGGTGAAGTTAGTTTCATATTCACATCACATTGGTTAATTTTTAAACAATACCAACCTGTGACATGCTCCCTATATTGTTTACCATGCTACTCTGAATATTTGGTCTGAAATAGCATGTAAGTGTGGCATAGTAATAAGTGTTATTCCTGCAAGCACTAAGCATACAGTAGTCACTACTAAGTGCATGAGAGAATGAGACCAGCGATCCTTGCATACATGATATATCGTGCATTATTAGGTTTTGCTTGCTACTAAACTGAAAACATGCTAAATATAATACAGTTTTTTTTGTTCAGATTTCTAGTATTATAAAGTACTATAAAGTTTTCCAACTGGCGAATGACATGAACTAGTGGGTTGTCTACTGTCACCTTTATGGTGCGCATTCGTGTTTCAGGAGGCTTTGGGAGGAACTGTGGTTAGCATTTTGGCAGATCACCTGCACCTTTATTATTGAGCGAGTTACATTTTGGACACAATATTGTCTGTTTTTATTTCTGTTTTGCATATAATAAGTTCACAAAAGTTCAAACTAAGCCACCAAAAAACATTTGTGCATCTTTCAGCAAAACAGAGATGTCTCCTTCCATCTTGGATTCATTTTTAAAGACAGTCGTTTACTTCATATCTAAATGAATCAGCCATTTTGAATTAATTGTTCGAATGGAGGATTTAATGAATTGTTCATTGAGATGGGATTGTGCCGGAAGTGCCATAACATACTTATGGTTTTAGGGTCATAGTGACCCATTACTAGGGATGTAAAGATGAACCTGGTTTAAAAAAAACTATTAAAATAGGTGGTAATTCAAATCAGTTGAAATGCCATACGAATTGCGATGCAGTGGGAGAAGGAGTTTACATTAGTGTATTTCTAAGGAGGACTGACTGTCTTTAGAAAATTTCAAATGATATTTTCTGTTAATTAGCCTCTGAGAGATACATATTAAAGTAGTGTTTATAAATGATGTACTGCAATTAATTTGATTTGGTAAATTTCCATTTCGTTATATTTCATTTTCGCTAGCAGGTGGGTAGCACTGTCGCTACACAGCAAGAAGGTTGCTGGTTCAAGCCTCAGCTGAGTCAGTTGGCATTTCTCTGTGGAGTTTGCATGTTTTTCCTGTGTTCACGTAGGTTTCCTCTGGGGGTTCCGGTTTCCCCCACAAGTCCAAAGACATGTTGTTTAGGTGAATTGGGTAGGCTAAATCAACTGTAGTGTATGTTTGTGAATGAGAGTGTTCCCACACAAAGGCATGCACTGCGTAAAACGTATGCTGGAGAAGTTGGCGGTTCATTCTGCTGTGGCGACCCCTGAAAAATAAAGGGACTAAGCCAAAAAAAATGTATTAATTAAATTTCAATAGCCTAATAAGTATGGAGCTAATTATACTGTATGCCAAAACAATGTGAATTTGAATTGTGTTAATTTGTGTTTAATATTGACAACTGTAATTTAATAAATCTGAATTTGTATTGGCCTTTTAAAATTGTTTTGAATTTGAACTTCTTAACTTGAATTTAAATTTCATAACATGACTATGCAACATCTGAAATTTAAGACGGAATTTTTTATAGACATATTTTCAATCTTCAGATTTCTTGTGTTCTGAATTCATAGACTGCAGATGTCCAGTTTGTAAAAATACAGTTTCAAATTTTCAAGATGAAGAAATTCAGAACATGAAATTCAGATTCAGCAGAAAATAGGTCAGGGGTGATTAACGGGGACAAGTAGACGATCACAGAAAAGTCAAACTTAGCGTTTTTGGCCAATCACTGAGCTGTGTGAGTTTACTGGTGAATGTGAGGCTCAGGAAGAAACAATTCATCTGCTAACTGACTATTGAGGGTCAGCTATTTTCAGTAGCTTGTGTAAAATATATAAATAAAAAACTTCTGCCTTAAAAAATTCAGTTGTCTTAAATTATAGATGTTCAATATTCAAGTTATGGATTTCAAATTCAAATGAAGAAATTCAAATTTAAATTAAGAAATTCAAATTCAAAATTATTTTAGTGGCATATAAAAATTCAGATTTATTAAATTACAGTTAGTTAATATTTTAAATTAACACAATACAAATTTAGACTGTTTTGGAATATTATTAGCTCCATAAATAAAAGGACAACTTTTATGATATAACGTCAACAATCTCGTTTTATTGAAAATATTGTGAGAAAATCTAATTGCAAAATCAAATTGTGAATGGATTATTACATCCCTATCCATTACAGCTAGCCAAGTTACAATCATAAAAACACACTCAGCAAAATAATAATTACTGTTGCCAGAACAAAATAATTAAAAATATAGAACATCATCTGACGCACCCCTAAGTACCACGATTAAATAGTTTCAAAATTTCCAAATCAAAATTCATTCTTTTCGGCTTAGTCCCTTTATTAATCAGAGGTCACCACAGCAGAATGGACCGCCAACTTATCCAGCATATGTTTTACACAGTGGATACCCTTCCAGCTGCAACTCATCACTGAGAAACAAAATAAAATTAATTTAGTTTATAATTATTATTACTATTATTATTATTATATTATTATTACTTCCCTTAAACAAATATTCCTAAAAAAAGTATCATAGCACAAATTATTTGAAAATCAGTAATAAACATTAGTCAAAGCATTAACGAGCATGAACTAGCCTTTACATGTCTTCTTTGTATTAATTATTCACTCAGTAAAAGCAGACACCAACTGCATAAGAAAGATGCTTGGCATTTAGCAGCTTGTACATCCTACTGAACTTTTGACTGTGTTTAAAGATCGCCCGAGAAGGAAGAACGTCCCCGAGGGATTTCCTCTACAAGCAAAGCCGCGGCTCTGAGCGGAGGCACAATCATTTCTTTTTTCCATTTATTTTTTAAAACATGTGCTGCTCTAAAGGGCAGACCGAGAAAGTTCTAGATGCCGGAGCAGTTCTGTTGCCATGGCGCTCGCCCACCTGTAGTGTGGTGACTGCGTCCAGGTGTGCGTTCACTGACAGCCAGTTCTCCAGCGAGCTCCAGCTCCACACCTGCAGCTTCCCAGCATCTAGAGCAAGATCAATAACACTGAGGCTCACAGATGCACCTGATATGAGGAGACTGACGCAAGGCATGGTCAACTCGCCCTCACACACACACACACACACACACACACACACACACACACACACACACACACACACACACACACACACAGATACCAACCTGAGCCAGTCACAATGAAGCCCTCTCCTTCGGGAATGAAGCACAGGCTTGTGACGGCATTGAAAGTATAGATGGATTTAACACACTGTCCTGTAAGAACAACAAAAGCCACATGATGCAAATCCAAATTAACACTTTGGGCTCTATTTTAAACATCTAGGCACAAAGTTTAAAGTGCATGGCGCAAAAGCATTAAGGGTGTGTCCGTATCCACTTTTGCCATTTTAGGGACGGAAAAATTTGATTTGCTCCCTGGCGCATGGTGTAACAAAGCTGAAAAACAGCCATCTAATTATTTATTATACCTTTCAAAATATTGGAATTTTCAGCTCTGAGCACACTGTAGCTGTTTCTGTTGCCTGTTTCTTTAATACTAGTTCTCCTTGCCCACTGTTTTGCCTCAATCTCTGCCCTGGCTAAGTCAGATAAACAGCTGTTGTGACTTAAACTGATATATAGCAAGAGAGATTAATTAATGCTCCATATATTGTTTCATTGTCATAACGTGAATTTATTTACCTTGGCATTTATATATGCTGTTTTGCTTTAAGAACAGTTTTCCTATGATGCTTAGCGCTACTGAAAGCTTGCCTGTAACTATTGTCAACTGACTCAGTGCGAGTGTGTGTGTGTGTTCAAAAGTTCGCTACAGTTTCAGTATACAGCTAACTTCAGTAAACAGTTCATTTTCGTTTTAAACAAAGTTTCCAGCCATCATTATTGCTGCTAAAAGCAAAAGACAGATAAACAGCACAGTGACAGACATGAAGGAAGCAAATCTCACGTAACGTTTGTGAGAAATACTACAGTAAGAACTTTACCACTGATTATTTGATGTATTTGTGGAGTTAATTCAAGCCTTTCTGCAATGAGTCTGATGAGTCACACATAATGTCATTACAAAGTTTACAAACACACACACACACACAGCGTGCGCATTTAACTTTGCACCGCTTTTGCACGGCAAATGTGACAGGTGTCACATACTATCCACTGCTGTATGGATATCTGTTATGTGAAAGTACAAAATTAACTTGATTTAATGCACACAAACCGGGTTTGAAGAGTCTTCTTTTGTAAAATCGATGTAATTCTTTACAAACATGCACTGTTTTAATCCCAGTTGCTTAGCAACTATCCTGTCTTGTTGATATGATTATACACGTTACTACGGAGACATATTAATACGTGGCTGTCAATCAATTCGGTGGGTGGGGAAACCGCAGTCCTACTTCATGTTGTGGTGCGCCTCAAAATTGGAGGGATTTGGATCCTATTTTAACTTTTAAAAAAAAAAAGAGACTTACTGTGTTTTTATCACTCCAGTATGACTGTGGGCACACTAGACCTACACACAGTTCTGTCCAAACAGTTTACAAAAGATGAGTTTCATCAAAGGTGCCCTTAAAAAACAAAATTAATTTTGATGTGCATGGTTTAATTATTTTAATAAATGTTTCTATTGTGATTTATGGAACTTTAAAAAGTTGCATATAAGTTTCAATAAGTTTTTAAGCACATTTTACAAATTTGTGCACATCTTATTTCAATTAAAGTTTAAAATAAAATGAAAGTAACTTTTTTTTGTATCAGTATGTAAGGCTAGTGTGCAACAAAACAGAGAAAAAGTTTACATTTAGAAAACATAAATCTCCAAAGCTTGCAGTTTGCCACTTCCACCTAAATGGTTCAACAATTTTTTTTGACATCACCTTATATTTCTGTTATTCATCAAATCTTTTAACCAATCAAATGCTTTTTAAAATCTGACATGCTCCGCCCCCTTTAAAACGCTTCTCCTTTGCTTTTGTTGCTCTTGAGCTCAACCACTCTCACTGGCAGAGTTATGATAAAAAAAAAAAAACTAAACGCTATTGGCTGTTTTTTAAAAGGAAGAAGCTACTCCATGTCCTGCCTTGTCTTTGGTTGAAATTACATCACACTAGTGTTGGGGTACTTGAACTTGGACTCGGACTCGAGTCCAGTTTTCATTGGACTCGGACTTGTCACGGACTTGGGGAAACTTTTACTCGGACTTGACTCGGACTTGGACATTTTGGACTCGGAAAATATCACGAGTCCAGTCGAGTCCACATCATTCACAACACAAATAAAGATATTAAAATTTAATAAACAGCATGAAACTATGACAAGAATTTAGCGATCTCTCTGGCTGCATGCCAGCTTTTATTTACGGCACCGCACCGTACCAGCAGGCAGCAGCAGCACATCATCACCTTAAACGTGTAACCAGAAATAGCCATATATCACACAATGCGTGGCTAGGTTTAGGACAATAATGTCTTTAAAATCAACAATAATTTGTCTTCTACCGACATGTTGAAAGAAAACAAAGAAAGGTAAGAGCTTATTTACTTGAATTGTACATTCATATCGTAGGGATGATGTTAAAACATACTGGCGATATTGTTTTGTTGTTTATATTGGTGTCAATATATCCGCAAATAACTGCCAGAGGGTTCACGCTTGAGAAAGCCAGAGAAATATGCGTCCAGCGCTTGATTTAGGCCAGGGCTTCTCAAATATGGACTCCGTAATATTCAAAGTTTTCCTTTGTGACTCTTATAATGACATCCCCACAATCATCCCGTTTCATTTGCCAACACTTCCCCCTTATGCTTAATCTTTTTATGAAAAGTAAAAGCACCGTCAACACAGCGATCTCAAATGCGATAGAACTGCAAGAGCTGTTCAAGAGAATTTTGCTTTCGCTTTATTTTGGCTTGAAAGCACGGTTAAATGAATATAAAAACGTCTGCATTCACTTTCATTAAAGATGTGCGTCGATCATCACATTTCTGAATCAGTGTAGCCTATACATGCTGACTGACGGACGCGTTCAGTATAATAAACTCATCCCAGATCCCAGATCAGCTTCTGCTTTTAAGGGTAGGGTTAGGAGAGTATAAAGATTGTGTAAAATTACAGTAATTAAATTATGGAATAGCAAAAACGTTGTAATAATGTTGCTTGGCGTTGCATATTATATGAAGTCAATATAAGCACAAATGAATTTAATGTAGAGTTATATTCAAATCCAGACAACATTCAGAATGGATAATCACTGAAATAAGTCCACAAATTCAAGCAATAAGACATAAAAATAGGTGGACCAAAACACAGCTTATGGCTACCAGTTTTCAGCATTCTTTGAAATATCACCTTTTTGTGCTCTACAGAAAAAAGCTGTAATGCTTGGAACCACTTTCATTTTTGAACAATCGCTTTAATTCACCCTTATCGGCAGGGGATGAAAAGAGCTGTGGTGTCCAAAAAAGAGTGAGTACCCTCTCCAGTTACATAATGATCTGATTCCTGAGATTCAGCTAATGGATGTTCTGAACACATGGCAACTATTACATCAGCAAATGTATTGTACAATCAGTATCATTTATTTTAGCAAATCTTAAACCAGGTTTGACAATTCATCGTGTACTACTGAATGTTAATGTCAATCTTATTCCTCATAGTCACAAAATGTTAAATTGGAAATGATTTGGAAGGAGATTAAGGAAATGTGAATCAAAAACGTTCAGCCTGGTGAAATAACAGAGGGAATTCCTTTATTTAATAATTTTTGCAACAAAGCATTCATAATTACAACACGTAGTGGATTAATTATGCCTGTTTTATTTGCTGATGTGCAAGATATGCTTTTCCTCAACTAATTAGTCGTTTTACAATAAATAACACTGCATTCTTTTAAATAGTTTTATGAAAATAAAATACTCATCTTAACATTTGAATATGCTGAATATATCAAATATTTAGATACGACCACACAGTTTGTAGCTATATGTAATATTAAAGGTGTGTAAACTGTGTGTAGGTATAGTGTGTCTACTGTCATGTTGGAGTGATATAAACACAAGTCTCTTTTTTTTTTTATTTCCTGACAGTAAAACAGGATCCAAATCCCATCAATTTTGAGGCCCACTGCAATGTGACATAGGAGTGCGGTTTCTCCCCACCACCAAATTGATTGACAGCTGCATATTAACATGTTTTCTTTGGTAATACATATAAACATATCCAAAAAACATGATTTGCAAAAAAAAAAAAAAAAAACGGTGTTAAAAGATTTGTTCCAACTCTCTGTAAACAGCTGCACCTCAAGAATGAGTTTTAAAACACTGCATATTTTTGACTAATGAGCTGGATTTCTGTTTCAAACATGTCTGTCTCTGTCACTGACTGCTGTTTATCTGACATAATCCATGAGAAACTTGCTCATTTGCATTTAAAGGCACAGGCTACAACAACAGCTACTCTTTGCTCTGAGCCCAAAATGGGCAAATTCTACATTATTTAATAAATAATCTGATGGGAATTTTTAGCTTAAACGACATCAAAGCTCAAAGACATCTTGTAAAATAGGTCAAATTGGAGCCCTTAAACATTTTTCATACTGAAAAATTCATAGTCACTAGTCAGTGAGATTGTAGTTGTAGAAATGTATGTTTGAGAAAATTAAATGTTACATGTATTCTGTAAACTACTGATGACATTGCTTCTGAATTGAAAAAAAAAAAGTAATTTAGAAGGTTTTTGTTGTGCAAAATAACAAAGGCGTCATGCTTTCAGACATCTTTTTTAAAAAATTATACAATACAATGCAATTGTTTTAACTTTGTAAAAGTAAGAAATCAGTATTGGTTGGAATAAACCTGAATTTCACAAGAAAAGAAAACATTTACTACTCTAAATTACAATATTTGTATTGTAAATTTGAAATAACATTCATCCGACCTTTTATAAAATAAATAATTCAAATTAACAATTTTAATTAAACAAATGTTTTAATTTAACATAAATCAAAACTAATAAATGAAAAAACAAAAAGTAATACACACATATATACATATATATGAGCAATATCACACGAGTAGCAGTGCGATGTGGCTGTTAATCGCAACAGGAACAGGCATGCTTTAAGGCCCGTGCACACCGAAACGTTTTTTGCTCGCGTTTTCCGTCAACGTTTAACGCCTCGTGACTAAATAAAGGGCGTCAATGTGATCGTGCACACCAACACGCAAAACGCTAGCCGCAAAGCATCATTTAAAAAAAAAACGCCTCATGCTCGTTTTTTTGTTTTGACGTGCGGCGTCAAAACCTTCTCCTCCAATCATAACAGCACTTTTGTTCACGTGCACGGAGCTGCTGAAGTTACCATAAACAGCACTCGGAGGCACTCAAGCGTAAAACTGTCAATGCGAGCGCACATTGAAGAAGATGCCCAGAGGTGATATGAACGTGGAGCTGCTTATTGCTCTGTGAACAATAATCATTTCTTCATCACTAGAGCAGGAGCTGCTGCTTGAACCATCCATGCTTGTTCGAGTCACCAGTAAATTTAGCAACAAGTGTGTAAACTTCCGCTCCTCCACTTCTTCTGTGTTATAAGCGGGTGTCAGAAGCTTATAGTTGTGCAGCGCCATCTAACCTCAAAAGAGTGATTTGGCATACTTTTCTGCTTGACGCCAGTGAAAAGCGCTTGGGTTTGAACACTGAAAAACGTCTCGAAAGACGCTGCCAATAAACGCAAACTGAAAACGTCCCGGTGTGTAGGAGCCTTTAGAGTCCCACTAGTAATGATATACAGCAACATCGCTACTCATGTGATATTGCTCATACATTGCGGCATAATCGTGTATGTAAAAATGAAAATCAAATACAGACTCTTTAAATCCTTTTGTAAGAGGGAACTACTTTCTTTCACCATTCATTCACATCTGAAGCTGATGTCAGAACAGCAGGAATCGTTGCTCATTTACACACGTCACTGTAGAGCTAGTATTTGAAGGATTCTCTAGCGTAATATCTAAAGTAACTACAAAACAGATGATTTTGCTGACATTTTAGGATTATAAGGCTGAACGGCATGAAATGGCATCAGTTTACAGAGATTTCCCAGTATTTCTGTTGCAATCGGGAAATCATAATAATTAACCACAAAAAAGCAACGTAATCACTACCAGAATACTGTTGTGTTTGTGATAAGGACAAAAACACATGCGAGCATTTCTTCTTTCTTTCTGTTTACTGAACTAGTCTGCAGTAGCGAAAACAGGAGACGCATTAAAAAACAGATCTCCACTTTTTAGACTTTAAGATGCGTCCTATCTCACACAATTACTATGGTATAAATACAGCATTACAAAATACAAAAGAGAGATATTAACTTAGAAAGTCACTGACCTGCTTTATAATGATTTGATCAGCTGTAGTTTCGAATTACACTGTATTTTTCCTAATCTAAGGGCTTATTATGTGGTCTCTGTTGTCATCTTGTGTGCCTCTTTGGTCTGCTCAATGGCAGGTTAATGGCCGCCGACGTGCTGTCTCTCAGAAATTATAAATATTTAAAATAGAAACTATCCTTATAAATAAACTGCATATTTGCAATCTAAACAACTACATTCTCGACTAAAAAAAGTACATAAAAGTACATAATGTTGTTCAACAGCTGCAATATTTATTTAATTGTAGAGTGTCCTCTGCTTGTCCTGTGTTGTTAGTTTGTTAGGGCTTTTATTTTATCTTATGGTACATTTATTTGCTGTAGTTTTTCCTTTAGTTTTAGTTTTGTCAAATGACAAAAACGCCCTTGGCAACTTCATAAAATACATTTTATGAATGACACTTTTTCCCAGATAATTAATTTTATGACATGGTTTTACATTTATGGTTTATCACGGTTATCTTTCTTGGAACATAAAGTACATTCTTAACTTAAATCTGAAGCCTCATAACCTCCATTTCCAAAATATGATGACAGATCAGTGTCATTAAAAATAGCACATTTGGAATGTTTGCTGAGGGAGTCACTCACCCGAGCTCAAAGCCCAAATTTTCACACAACAGTCTGTCGAACCACTTAGGACAAATCTTTCCTTGTCAGCCAAGTCAAATGCACGTGCTGCGTAAAAAAAGCAGATCAAGAAACTGTTAGAGCAGACAATGAGCAGAAAAAAGTGTGACCGCAGGACACGAGCAAAGGGAGAACTAAGGACAAAGGATGTGAAGAACAAATGCACTGTCAAAACAGCAAGACAGGGAGTGATGGAGAGCAAAAGGGACAGATGGGAAGGAGGACATGAGTAGCTGCAACAAAAGAGATGGGAGAAAGGAGAGAGAGAGGGCATAAAAGATGAATGAACAATTGTGCTTGATGCATCTGTATCAAGCGGCTGGACTCGTCAACAGGATCAATTATTCTTCACTTTCACGCTTTGAGAGAGTGCGACTTAAAGCTGCATGATTCTGGATCAACTGAGAATCATGATTTTCATTTTTTTTCTGAAAATAGAGATAACAATTCTCTCACAAAATAACCAGCAATTTACTAAAACAATTTTCGATATATATGTAATCAAATTGGAATTAAAGGTGCAGTATGTAAGTCTGACACCCAGTGGTCGACTTAGCTATTGCACTTCTGGTTCAAAACACACGCAAGTGTAGGTTGGCAGATTGACAACACAAACAGGAGTGTGCCTGGCTATCGAGCCTAAAGGCTGATTTAAACCATGTTCTAAATAAAGCAACAACACAGTATTGAAGGAATATTTTCCACACTAAAAAGGGGTTTTTGCCTAATTAACACATGAAATTTATATTTTAGAAAACTATGACAATGATCACCTCAGGTACACCTCATGTGCTTTATTCAGTATAAAATGCTAACAATGTGAGTTTAATTGCCATTTCACATGGCATTTATTGCCATACTATTGAAAGCAGCAGCAGATCTTGAAAATAAAATAAATAGTTTGAAATAGAACTTTAGAACTGTGACTCAAAACCAACACTTATCACTCAATTCAGCATCTACATTTAATAATGTTAGAGGTTTAATATGTATTACTTAGATTGTAAACCTTGCCATTTCATTGGAGTGCATTAAGTGCACATATATTGTGTGCATTCTAAATGACTATATTTACATTTCTGTCATGTGCAAACAGCCAAATTGCTTATCACTGCATAAATCTCATCACATAGCGTGTTGTTAGGACACATGGTTATAATGTAATATGCTCACCAAATGTTTATGTTCATAATATTTATTTTATTTGCTAATTAATAACCACCTCATGTGGAACTCTGAATCTGTGTCTCATTTCGGAGTCTGCTACTATCCACCGCAGGTCACATTTTATTCACGGGCTCATACTTCGAGAACTTTTCTGACTGAATGATTAAAATATGCTATTATCCACAAAGGTAACCCGGGCTGCTGAAATATAATCGGCTAAACTGCCATTGGGCAGGTTAAAATAACCAAAACAAAGGCAGTTTGTTCCGGCATGTAATTCACACATTCAAAGCAGAATATCTGACTTCAGCATTGCTTTTCAAAAAACAAGAACGTTCACTTGGCACGTTTCTTAAATATCTGCAAACATATTATGCTATTTTTATGCTTTTAGAAGAGTCAAAAACTTACAGAGCCTTTGGGCCCTATCATACACCCCGCGCAGAGTGGCACAATGCGCGGCACAATAGTCTTTTGGTAGTTTCAGCTTGGCGCACGAGTCGTCTTGAGGCGTTGCGCTACGCTGTTTAAATAGCAAATGCATTAGCGCTCATTTGTGCGCCCATATGCATTCTGGTCTAAAAATGAAGGCGTTCTGAGGCAGACCGCTGGCGCGTTGCTATTTTGAGAAACTATAATAGATTTTTCATTAGACCAAAACTAACCCGGTCTAAACTCCGGCGCAGAGTTGCGCCTTGCTTACGCACTGCTTAATACGCACAAGAGAGCAATAGGCAAATATCTTTACATATGAAAAAATGTAAATATTAAGGATATATATATATATATATATATATATATATATATATATATATATATATATATATATATATATATATATATATATATATATATATAGGATATAATAAGAATAGATATAGAATATAAATAAAAAAATATTACAAAACATATTATTTTCTAGCCTACATAAATATGAAAAATCACTGCTTTTATGTCTTCTTCATCTCGGGAGGCTTTTTCAGTTCATTCATAACAATTTGCTTTTGTATAATGTTATTATTATTATTAGCAGTATTATTTATTATATCCATATTTATATTTGTTTTATCAAAAACCAGCTTAGATTTGCCCACCTGTCAGGTTATAGACCATATGGGGTACAGCATTTGTTTTAGGATATAACTCAGGTTTTTGAGCACATTTTGCTATTATTATTCATTTTTTAGTTTGCTGGAAATTAGAACTGAATTAAGAAATAGTTTTGAAGCAAATATTTGCGCTTAACAAACAAAAGTATTTATTTTTAGACTAATTGATGTCTGTGCGTAAAGGTTTCCCTATCCAAGAGCAAATGTGAAAGTGATCCATTATCTCTCATTCTCACGCAGTAGATGCTCTGTTTAACAGTTTTCTGTTAAAAAACTGTTAACTGTTTGCTTGTGAAATGCTAATTTTTTTCACTTAGACTTACTTTGCGTCCTGTAAATAGCGAATGCGCTCTTGGCGCAACGCAGCAGACACTTAAAGGGAATGTGAGATAAGACTCTAATTGGTTTATTCTCAAAACACACCTATAACTCATTAAGAAAATAAACTCAACCCTTTCAGACCATGCGCCGCGGCGCAAGGCAGATTTCCCGTCCTTAAATTAGCAAAAACGTGTCCTGACACGCACTGAAAGCGTTTGCATTTTGCGCTTTGCACATGGACCGTCAAAATACAGCCCTTTAACTTAATTCAATCTTATTTTGAATTAAACCAATAAATAATTTTATTCTGAAATTTTTAATGAGCGTGATAAACTGAAATAAAAAGCTTATTTTATAAGCATATAAATGTGCAGTATAAACAAACATCAGAAAAACACAAGTTCAGATTCAAAAGCACATGCAATACTGTTTAAATATAGCAGTTCAACAAATTAATATTCAAAAAATTAAGATAATGACAATATTAGAAACTTAGAGAGTTACATGTTGGATACTGTTATCCCACTAATGTAGTTTTTTCTGTTTTGCATAGAAAAAGTTCCAAACAAAGCCACCAAATAAAACATTTGTGCATCTGAGGGCAACAAATCTGTTTATGTATGACTCATTTGAGTCAATGATTCAATGATCCATTCATAAAAACAATCGCTTGCTTCCTTTCTAATTGAATCAGCTGTTCTGAATGAATTGTTTGAATGAAAGATTTAATAAATTATTCAGGAACATGCGCTTTGTGCCACAACATCCCCATGGTTTTAGTGTCCTATTTACCAATTACAGGACTGAACTAGACTAGTGATGTGCGGATCAATACTAAAATATTGATATCTGCGATATCAGCTTTGTATGTTCTAGAATCGATTATCTTATCAAAATATCGATATTTCAGTAATTTGGAGCAAATATGTAGTTCAATGGAAATAGGAATACAGCAGAAAGTACCCACAATTACCCTAGTTTATGTGAGTAATGCCATCTTAGTCAGAACTACTTGTTCTTCCGCCTGCCAAGTCATGTGCGTAATACGGCACTGTACAACTGCAGAGCACGCTAGCTAGCCACTCAGCCTGCTGGCCTGGCACATGTTGTTCAGACATGCTGTCAGTGTATATGGGTGACCGCAAGCAAAGTTTTGTGTGGAGCTACTTAACTTCCATAAACTCAAATGATGCAGTTTGTGATGGGTAACAAAACAGTGAGGTACTGTGGTAATAATATAAACCTAATCAAACATCTACATATAAATCACAAGACAGAATATGACTACGTCATGACTAGGTGGTCAGAAGAGGAGGAAAGGAGAGGCACAGGTGCTGCTAGGGGGCGAGACAGAAGTCACTTTCAAAGTCATTAGGTGCAGTAGGCATGCACTATCCAGGTACAGAGAGAGAAATGTGACAATGTGACTGTATTTTGGGGGCCTGGGTTTTTGTGACAATGATAAGACAAAAGAAAAACGTTAAAATCTTCAAGGGGACTGGATTAACATGTCACTAAACTAAAAGGTGTAATGTTTATTGTTTTATGTTAAGATGTTCAGGCAGGCGTTTTAAGATATACATGCTCAGATGCTGTCAATAAATATGTTAGTTGGCTCTTGTCTGTATGATAATTCTTTATCAATAAACAATAAACAAGAATACCCTTAATTCAGTATAAAGTGACACTTTTTTAGTACACTACTTGTTACTTTAATTTCCCAAACAGTCATTTTTGGCCAAAGTTTAGGTATCGAATCGACCTTTATTTTACTTGGTATCTGATCAGATAGGAAACCAGTGGTATCGCACATCACTAAACTATCCAAGGTACAATTACAAAACTTGTTTCAGTTTTCACTGAAACAACAAAACAATGCGTTTAACTATCCATCACAAATGTGACCAATAATAATTGTACACGTCTTACATCTAGATGTTCAACCAGGAAGTATGTACAATAAGCTGATGTGGTCATGTTACATAAAGCACATTCAGTCTATTTTTTACATTTAAGAGCTGAATTTCTTGCCCAAAGCCAACAAAATTTAGAGCTTCCAAAAATAAGAAAAATGACAGTCACAAAGTGTGAGCAGTGGGATTAAACTGGTTAATGATTCAGTAACTCACTCATAAAGACTTCATGTTTCACTACTAGATGAATAAGCATTTTTGAAGAATCTCTTAGAGGAATAATTCAATAATTGCATGCATGTGTTTGATTGGATGTGTGTGTATGCGTGTGAACTGTATGTGTGTCTGCGAGTGCGTGTGTGCATGCATGTCCGAGTCCATCTTTTTGCGCACGAATGTGTTTGAGTGAGTATGTTTGTGTGTATGTGAGTGCATATGTGTGTGTGTTCTGTATGTGAGTGCATGTGTGTTTGTGTCTGAATGTAAGTTTATATATGTGTATAAATGTGAGTTTGTACATGTATGTGCTTGTGTATGCGTGTGTATCTATACCTAGTCTCTTGCAGGACTCTGGAGGTGGTGCACACAGACAGGTGACTCCACCGCTGTGACCTCCCAAATTGCGCTGCTCTGTTGCCGTGGGAACATGCCACACTTTAACTGTTGTGTCTCGACTTAAATTGGTGGAAACAGTAGGAGAAAAGCAAAGCGAGAAGCAGAGAGTGATGTTAACAGTTTGCCAGCAATTAATATAACAGTAAGTTAAGACCCGTTTACATCAAGAATGAAAACTGTAAAAGTAACTTTAAGAAAACATTCTGTTTAGTCAAAAAGCATTCTGCAGTTTTGCCATCAGCTGCCTTAAATACTTTTAATTAAATACTGTTAATTCTGACTGACAGTTGATGTTTTTAATATTCATCCGCTAAAAATAAAAAAAACTGAATCCGTTTCTGTAAATGATTTCAGATTTATTGACCTTCTGTGTTAATATGCTAATATGGACCTCAAAAAACATTTTTATGATTAACAATGTTGAAAATCAATGTTGTTTAAAATATAAATGTGTAAAAATCAATTTACATAATTTATAAGTGTTCATGATCACCTTTGATTCAGTTGAATTGCTAAATAAAAGCTCACATTTCTACCTTAAAATAAAAAAATGGTAACATTTTATAATAACTACACACAATAAATCATTTATTAAGTTTTTGCATCTAGTCAATTAATTATTTGTAAAGCATTAACTCTACATTAATAAACAATAGTAAGCAGTTTATAACTGCAGCTACAAATGCTCTATTCTTGACTTATAACATTTATAATGTGCTTAATAATTGTACTTTCATTTTTTTGTGACTGGTTTATATTTCATTACTAAATTAAGTATTGCATTGTTCACAATCTATTTGTATTTAAGAGTAGTTGGAAGTTTTTAGGATCATTCAGAATGAGTTAGTAAATGATTAATAAGCTATTAAAATCAACGTTTATATATCTTATTATTCAGGCATATAGTAATGGTTAATATGTAATGAATGTAATAAATGAACAATAATCTTTGCAATCTTATCTTAAAAGTAAATTAACTATAAACTTGAAACTGTACTGTACTTATACTTATACTTAACTGTACTTATACTGTGGTGTCAAAATATGACATAAAATTGGATAAAACAACAATATATGAATTCTTTATATAATAATAACAACATAATATAATTAAATATAATAGGATGAAACTATTAAACTGCACAGTAATTTTATTTAAGATAAGGTTGCAAAGATTTATTTTTTTACTTGAGACAGTTTCATTTGTGTCTCTTCAAATGAATAGGAATAAATATTGTCGTTTATATTCTTTTTTCCTGTTTAGAATATAACTGAGCCTTTAATTGTCCTTTATAAGGGATTTATAAAACAAACTGTAAACAGTCCTTACTTTAGATTAGGTCACAAAACTGGATGAAGTTGAGTTATTAAGGCATTTATTAACATACAAATTACTATTAGTATAGGCCTGAATAATAAGAATTATAAATACTGCAATACTTAATTTAGTAATGAAACATAAATCATTAACAAATTATGAAAGTACAATTATTAGCCACATTATAAATGTGGTTTTCAAGTCAAGAATTTGTAGCTGCAGTTATAAACTGTTTACTAATGTTTATTAACAGATAATGAATTCACTATTTACTAATGCTTAATACATGATTCATAGTGTGTAGTTATTATAAAGTGTTACCAAACGTTCTCAATTATAAAGATGCACAACCTTATTTTGAAGTATATAACTAATTAGTATCATATAAAATATGTTTTAATGGTGTGGACTGCAGTTCTTTTAAATGCAAAATAACCCTATCACTTTATCAATAGTTGTTATTACAATTATTAAAATGATTCTAATATACCTATCTGGTTCTCGGGAATGAAAATCAATTATTAAATACTTAGAGAAAGGTGGTGCTACTGTAATACGTTTTTGGCACTATTTTGTGATGAGCAGGAATTCAATATCAACTAAACTTCAACAAAATTTGCTATGAAATTTGAAACTCTTCACTGTTTTATTTACTTCATAAATAAAATAATAGTTATAAAATATTCATGTTACCCCAGTTGGTAGTTCATTTAAATTCAAAACTAAGTTAAATATATTTATAAAAATATTTTAACATTTAAAAGGCACCTATGATGAAAATCATCTTTTGGAAGCTGTTTGGACCGAACTGTGAGTGTGCAAGTATAGTGTGACCAAAATCCTATTTTTTATTTCCTGATGTAAAAATAGGATCCAAATCCCTCCCATTTCGAGGCCCACCACAACATGACATAGGAGTGTGATTTCCAAGCCCACCGAATTGATTGACAGCTGCATATCATGTATCTGTAGTAATGCATATAATCATATCAACAAGATAGAATGTGCACAAACCAACTGGTATAAAAAGATCTGTTCAGCTCTCTGTGATCATCAATCATCATTAAATGTGATCAAGTTTTGCAAGTTTAAAATGTTCCTAAAACAGTCCATGTTTGTAATAAAGACAGTAAAACAGCTGTAATTCATCACCACAGCCACATAGTTCTCAATACAATTATATCTTTATGATGACGCTGTGTGTGACTTATCATTGCAGAAAGGCTTATATTAACTCCACACCAAGTATAACAAATAACCGTTGGGAAAGTTCTTACTTTAGTAAGGGAGATCTGCTTCATTCTTGTCTGTCACTGTGCTGTTTATCTATGTGAAGACTACGGCTGTGACAAGCACGTATTGGTATGGGTATTTTGAGCTGAAACTTTACAGACAGATTCTGGAGACACAAAAGACTTATCTTAAATCTTGAAAAAAAAAGGGTTTAATAGGTGCCCTTTAAATCAAAATATAAATTGCATTACTGATTCTGAAGATACACAACCCATTTTTTATGTTTATGATGACAGATCAGTATTATCATGCTAAGTATGCTTATTGTGATGCATGCATTTTAGAACTATTGCGTTTCTACATGAACGTGGAAGAATGTTTATTCTTTATTGGTATTTTTACTTTATTTTATTTATTTAATCATCCTGCTGTGAACGGGCCTTTCAAGTCATAAATAACAATATTTCCCTCATAAGTCTCCAGTACCTTCCGGAAATCACAAGATTGTCAACGGCAACTGCACAGGTGATGATGTCACTGTGGCCCTCCAGAGCTCTGAGACGAAACTTAGCCTTTTCCCAAGTTTGTTTGCGAGATCTGAATTCAGCATCTGCGACATATATAAACAAACAAACAGTTTCACATAAACTGAGGTCATCTTTTTTCCTCCTCTCTCTCTCCTGCAAATGCAGATAAACTAACCATCTGTTATATCGCTGCACAAGACAGCCATAAGGCAGAACTTCCTGTGAAAGACAAGCAGGCTTATAATCAACATCTGCGCGAGGAACTGTAATTGTGTGTGTGATTACTGTGCTAATTTGACCTTCTTGTTCTTCTTCAGTGAGGCTGACGGGGAGATTCGTTTCTCCTCTGCCATCTGTCTGGTTTCCATCGCTTGCTTCATTCTCACGTCTTTCCTCTCGTGCAATCTTTAGCGCAGGACGGTGGCCAACATGTTGCTCTGTGACCTCCTCGCTAGCGTGAAAAATAAACATCAACAAGCACAACCACTGTGAATTATTCTCACGCCTGTCCAAAGGTGTTAAACAAAGCACTGTTGTCTTGTTATACATGTGTAGTAACAAGTATATTAATAAATAACAAAGCGCCAGACAGAAAGCTCGGGTGTGGGAGTTCAAGGGTAGACTTTTCTTAAAAGAAATATGATGAATCAATACTGCCTAGGCGCCAGAGAGCGGACGACTAGCCAAAGGCAGAGAGCTGGAGTTTAATCTCACGCACCACGTCGGTCTCGCTCCCTCCCTCTCTCCCTCCCTCATTCCCTGCCTAGTCGCTCATTCTTACACTTGTCTTTTCATTTTATCCTCCTCTTTTCCCACAATCCCTTGAGTTTGCTGGGGGCCAGAAAGCTGCAGCAGAAGCTCAGCCAATCTGGATCGAAGCTCCGCCTTCTTTGAGACCTACCAAGAGTGAAAGATCAGAGATTTACAAATATAGGACGAAATCTGAATTATGAAAATATAAATACATGAATTATTCCTATAAATGTGTATTTTCATTCAGTAAAAGTTTTATGAGGAATTGGGACCTGTTTTATATTTAGTGGCCTCAAAGTGATAGTTTGCCTAAAATGAAAATGTGCGCACTATTTACTCACACTCAAGTGGTTTTAAACCTTTATTAGTTTCTTTATTCTGCTGGACACAAAAGTAGATATTATGAAGACAGCTGAAAACCTGTAACTGCTGACTTCCTGCGGTAAAATCAGAATATGTAAGATGTGTAACACGGGTTACATAATAATATCACTTTTCTAAGTAAAGGCTGGTTTATACTTCTGCGTCGTGTGATCGCCGTGACCCACGGTGCCTGCCTTGCGTGTTGCCATGCATTTATACTTCTGCTTGCTGTTTGTGTTGCTCTGTAATAACACTTTCCAAACACTAGCTGGCAGCAGGTTTTTATGTTCCAGTAGCTGCATCCCAAATCGCATACTTATGCACTATTCTACACCATTTTGTAGAATAAATAGTGTAAGTAATGTGTGACTTATCATTGCAGAAAGGCTTAAATTACCCCCACACCAAGTATAACAAATAACTGTTGGGAAAGTTCTTACTTTAGTAAGGGAGATCTGCTTCATTCTTGTCTGTCACTGTGCTGTTTATCTACGTGAAGACTATGGCTCGGACAGACACGTGGGAAAGGTAGGCGGGGAGAACTAGCTCATTCGCATTAAAGTCACAGGTAACAAAAACAGCTGCAATGTTATAACTGCCCACATTTCCCAGTTTTAAAAAGCTATAATAAATAAGCTGATGGTTATTTTGAGCTGAAACTTTACAGACAGATTCTGGAGACACAAAAGACTTATCTTAAATATTGAAAAAAGGGAATAATAGGTGCCCTTTAAATTAAAATGTAAACTGCATTACTAATTCTGAAGATAAACAATCCATCTTTTAAGTTTATGATGACAGATTAGTATTATCATGCTAAGTATGCTTCACACTTTTCACACTGAACACTCTAAAAATAATAAGTGCACTTTAACTACCCGGATGATGCACTCTTTTAGCCGGTAAAATTAAGTGTGTAAAGATGGACACTTCACGCACTCAACGACCGCAAGTTTGCTTATGTAGTGGAAGGGGCGGAGCTATCGGGCGCACATGTTGGATAACTTTATTTATTTTGGATGGGGAAAGCAAAATTCTCCTACGAGTGTGATTATAGCGCCTCCCGATGGTGAATGCAGTTATACTAACTGCAGGTATTATTTGATAATTCGGTCGTTTATTTCACTGGTTTGGCAACCGTAAAAAGTCATTGGGGAAACGGTTTAAATTTCCGTTTAGTAAAAAATACATTAGTGTGCCTTTGGGACGACACTACATACATGTACTATCCTGTTAAGTGTATAAGTGCAGAAGTGCATAGTGCATGAGTGCATAGTGTATAGTGTGACATTTGGGACGCAGCTTCTGTGTCGAGTTTCTTCGATGGTGTTTTGTTCTTCTGAATGCTTCCTTAATGTACAAGTAGCTAAAACTCGTTCATTCAGAGGCGGGAACAGGTGGACGTGCAACAACTTTATAATCAAAAGGTTAAACACAAAACAAAAGTTTCCATCTGGAGCTCCTGTATGGGACTCCACACTTCATCAGCACCGGCCGCACTCGTCAATGCTACCTAGCAGACCAATCGCAGAGCTTGCGCTATGCATTGTTGCGATGTGTAGATACATTTCTTAGAGGTGCACATAAGCGACAGCCATGGCGAGGGGTATGCGACCGCGCAAAGCATAGGCCTGACCATATGCATGCGCTTGACGCAGAAGTATATCTCAGTCTTAACGAGTAATGCATTACTTTAAAAAAAAATTTGTGACAATATTTGAGTTACTATTTTAAAAATGTATTGCAAGTTACTTTTTTAGAGGCGCTCTGTTAAAGACTGTTTCCCGTATGAACTGAGCAGGAGTTTGGTTCGCTTTGCCGGCAATAGATCATGACTTGTTTCAAGTGTATGTTGGACTCTGGCATGACTGCTCTTTGTCAACAATTCTGTTCATAATTTTTATGGACAGAATTTCTATGCGCAGCCTTTGGGTGGAGGAGGTCCAGTTTGGGGACCACAGGATTTCATCTTAGTTATTCACAGACAATGTGGTTCTGTTCAGCATGAACTGGCGCAGTTTGCTGCCGAGAGTGATGCGGCAAGAATGAGAATCACCACCTTCAAGTCCGAGGCAATGGTGCTCCAGTAGAAAAAGGTGGTTTGGCATATCCAGGTTGGAGGAATGTCCTTACCCCAGGTGGAGGAGTTCAAGTATCTTGGGGTTTTCTTCATTAGTGAGGGAAGGATAGAATGTGAGATTGACAGGCAGATTGGTGCAGCAGTAATGCAGTCGATGTACTGGTCCATTGTAATAAAGAAGGCGCTGAGCCAAAGGGCAAATCAGGTCAATCTAGGCTCCTACTCTTACTTATGTTCATGAGCTTTAAGTCATGACCGAAAGGACAAGATCTCGGATACAAGCAGCCAAAATGAGTTTCCTTCGCAGGGTGATAGGGCGCACTCTTATAGATAGGGTGAGGAGCTCGGAGTAGAGCCGCTGCTCCTCCACATTGAAACAAGTCAGCTGAGGTGCATGAAGGTGTAGGTTATACATTGCATTGTCAAATGCAGAGCTCCTCTTTGAAAAAGAAGAAATCCTGCAAGTTCTTAAAAAGATCAAAGCAGGTATGAAAAAGTAACCCAAAAGTAACTCAAAAGTAATGTAAAGCATTACTTACCATAAAAAGTAACTAAACAATACTAGTTACATTTTATGAGTGTAACTTAATATTGTAATGTATTACTTTAAAAAGTAACTTTCCTCATCACTTGATGTCTGTGGCTAGTGGCTATGGGTTTCCAGCTTTCTTCAAAATATTAACTGTTGTGTTCAACAGAATAAAGAAAGTCAAACAGGTTTGTAACAAGTGAAGTGTGAGAAAATGATGACAGAATCTTTCGTTTTGGTTGAACTTACATCAAAAATAAGTGCTATTTAATTCATGTTTCATTGCAAAACACATGAATAAGTGGGATATCTGTAAGGTTGTGGACAGTTTTTGGTGGTATGAGTAATCTTTATGGTGTAAGTGATTGGCCAACAGTGTTAATGCAATTAGAGAAATCAATTACATGTTAACATACAAGCATATTTACATAAAAGTATGTACACAGTAAGTTAATTAACGTTAATTAAAAAGTAAGTACATTAAAATAAAGGTTAATTTGTATTAAGTAGGAGAAAACTAGGATATATGAAGCTCTCATCTGAAGTGAACATGTGAGATTGACCATTTCTGCACTGTTCTGATTGCAGCAGGAACACAAATATTTCATGTTAGCGAAGAGGAATAGCATGATAAATATGTACCTTTATTTTTTCCTCTGGAGTGAGGGAGATTTTTATCTCCAAGTTCTCAATTTGCCTTAACTTCTTCTGGAGTTTCCTGACCTCCCCCATCTGAATGAAGTGTAAACACAAACCCAGAGCCGATGGGATTCAAACTGCAGGGGTTCTTCGAATAGCACTGGCTATTTGTTAAAGCTGCGATCATTTATCGATGTTTTGATATGAGTTTAATCCACGGTGGAAAGTATGGATAAGGGTTTGTTGTTGTTTTACTACAGACTACACTCGCGGATACAGTATGCAGACGTGTAACACACACAGACCTCATCAGCCGGAAATCAGTTGCGACTGACGGACCTCATCTAAAGGAAACACTTCTGAATCTCTCTGGCGACATCGCGTGGATACAGCGAATTATTACTTGTCAATAATTTATTTCCTATTTATCATTACATGCTGCTAATGTGGCTTGTCGTTATTTATAAAAATTACATTTATTATCTCTGACACGTAGAACGTAATAGCACGTTCTGCTTTACAAGTCTCTAAATGCATCTGAATGTGGTTTGATTGGGTAATCTTTTTATTGAACTTCAGAAATCTAAAAACACAGTCAGTTCTTACAGAAACTAACTGAAAAAAGCATACAGAAAAACAACAGTACTAGTCATGGCACATGCAATAACCCCAGAGTGACTTAATTAATAAAAAATAAACAAAAAATGTCAAAGGGAATCTTGCCTTTATTTATATTTGTGTGTATATTTCAATTTTCTTAAACATTTTTGTTAATTGCACACAATCAAGCTGAATATGTTGCTGCGAAAATACTAAAAACAAACATATACAGTGTCTTTAAACTTCTCCAAAGTCTTTAAAATTGTAAGGAACTTGTTTTCTGTCCATAGCTTGGCGGCAGCTTGGTCAGCTTTTTTAATTAACACAAATATGTCATAAACAATTGTAAAGTTATTATCTTTTCGTGGTTATTTTAAGGTTGTAACTCTTCAAAAATTCCTTTCAAAAAGTCCTTTATAAAGTTACTAAATAACAGATGTACCCATGCCAAAGGCAAACAGCGTTGATTGAAACATTCTTCTCTTTTGTGAAACCTTCTCATATAGTGTGTAGAGCACAGGCGTCAAACGCAGCTCCTGGAGGACCGCAGCTCTGCACAGTTTAGTTCCAACACTTATTAAACACACCTGATCAAATTGAGTGCTTTAGGCTTCTTTGATACCTACAGATAGGTATGTTTGAAGCAGGGCTGGAACTACCACCCCTGGGGCCTGTTTCATTAAGGAGGTTCAACCAAGTCAGAGTTTAAACTTGAACTCTGAGTTGATTTACCGAGAGATTAAAAACTGAGTTTTCGGTTTCAGGATAGCGAATCTGAGTTGGGTCAATCAACTTTGAGTAGACCAAAGAGTTAAGTGCACACACTGTGACTATAAAATGGCATTATCAATAGATTCTAGATATTATGAGTGATGGCAACATCCTAAAAAAAGAGATCAGCATTTCTTTCTCCAGCTGAACTTGATCTGCTCATGCCGAGTTATAGCAAATATGACCATATATTTTAAAAAGCAACATCACTGCATCAGTGAAACAGAGACAGTTAGCGTGGGAAAACAGCTCAAGTCAATGTGTAATTTTACATTTAAAGTATAAAAGTATTTAAGTATAATAAAATAGGTAATGTTATGTGTGACGTTTATAAAATTTTACACGCGTTCCCACTTTTATATACGTTGATCAGTTTTAATAGATGTAAAAGTGCACTTGTGTTTCTGCCTTTTTTATTTATCAAGTGATAGAGGTTGACAAGCCATTCTTGTACATGACTTTGTTCTTTGTGTGACATAATTGTAGGCAATAGCTATATTTCCTTTAAAATATATTAATTAAATTAATGTGCAAAACTACAATAACGCATAAAAGATGTGCAAATAGCGTTTACATCCAACAAGTCAAAGAGAATAAAATCGTCACTTCCTGATGAACTGGTGCCAAATATCAACTGTAAAAACTGCGATAGTAGAAGCTGCGGCAAAAAAAAAAATAGAGGCATTTGAAGCCATGAGACGGGGAGAACAGACACTCTTGACATGCTCCAGATGCTCTGGAGGTTATTAATAACATAATAACACTAGAAATGGTTAAGGCATTTTAGAAGGACCAAAACAGCGTTTCAGATGTGTTACAGTGTGCTCAGCCTGCTGGTTTGTCCATTCACACACATTTTCATCATCAAATGATCTCTTATAACAGTAATTTTTTAATGCACATCCTGTAATTTGTTCAGTAAAAGCGTTTCCATCGTAGTTTAGGCGCATCTTTCTTATAGAATAAAAGTTTATCCTTCTCAGTTATGCGCATGTTTTTTATGCGTATTTTCAAAAGTTATGTGCATCATGGCGTTTCCATCAGGAAACATAAGGCTAAGGCGAGAAATACCACTTCGTCTTTAAAAAAGGTGAGGAGACAACAGAAACTCAAGTAATATATTACAGTAACTGACTCTGAGTTACCTCTCGTTCAGAAACAGGCTTGACTTACCCAGAGTTTTTCTCTTTTTAAGGTTAAAATACTCTGAGTTTTCACTTAACCTCCTTTCTGAAACAGGCCCCTGGTGTAGACCATTTGTTTCGGGACCCTCCTTTATATTGTAAAATGAATGGTTTATTCAAAATAATTATGTTGGGTTCTAATAAACATTATTTGGGTATTTTATATTGGATTATTTTATATTATATTTGTCAAAGCAGTTTTGTCAAAGCGACATAGTGACGCAGTGAGTAGTAGTGGCCTCCTCACAGCAAGAAGGTTGCTGGTTCGAGCCCTGGCTGGGTCAGCTTACTTCGGTTTCCCCCACAGTCCAAAGATATGCGCTATAGGTGATATAGTGCATATCTTATATATATATATATATATATATATATATATATATATATATATATATATATATATATATATATATATATACACATACATACATATATTGTATAAAATAAAATATATAACTAGGTTGTTTACTGTCCGTAGTGTGTGTAAATGAGAGTGTATGGAATCTATACAATGGATGTTTCCCAGTGCTGGGTTGCGGCAGGAAGGCCTTCCACTGCATAAAACATATGCTGGATAAGTTGTCGGTTCATTCCGCTGTGGTGACCCAATTAATAAAGGGACTAAGCCGAAAGAAAAAGAATTAATGAAGTTTTGTCAACCTTATTCTGCTTATTTAAAAGTAAAAGAAAAAACAGTCATTAAATATTCAATACTTTCACGCAAGAATTGAAATTGTATTTAAGCATATATTTACAACCCACTGATAACATTTGTATCATGCGTAAATTCTCTTTTAATATACTTTATTGATTACTGTAACGCAACTTTAAACAACAAAATCTAATCTGTGGGTATTAGCCCAGCACAGCTCTATTTACCAATAAGCAATTATGCAAGCAGGGTATTAAAAACCAAAATCTTTGTTTTCGCAACATTATCCAAACGCGTCCAAAACAAAAATGCTCTTGCACTGGTTTGACCTTACTGGACGGAAATGACGTCAGGACGCACAAGCAGCGTTCGTGCTGCTCGGGAGGAAGTGCTGTGTAGACAGTTCGGCCAACTCCGTAAGAAAAGAAAAAATAGAAAAAAACACAAGGGAAGAAAAAAAAACTAATTGAAATTCTTCAATCGGGCGGGTTCAGAAAGACTTCAGAAACTACCCCGATCGGAGGAAATCCCCGGCGGGCGACGCAAAAGTCTTGAGAGCTGGTAACCAGTCTTTATTTTCCACTTTGAAGCTTGTTTTCGGCTGTTGATGGGAGCCGCTGGCGCTGCTGTCGCCCGATCGTCGACACTCATGTGCCGGAAGTATGCGTAAAACCGCCTCGGTCCCAGCGTCGACGTTTTTTTCCCACTTGTTCTGTTTTTTCTATCGTTTTTTCGCCTTTCCTTTTTTATTTTACCAGGCAGTGGAGTGAATGCACGGGTCACGTCATTCTGTGGGCTGTCCGTCCGCCTCTGTTATCGCGCAGTAGATTCGCCTCAGCCTGTCAATTATATTCAGATATTTAGATTTAATGGCTTATTTGCAAATAAATATATTTTGAACATGCTTTATTATGGTGAAGCACATAATTTGATTTTAATCGCTTTCAAAGAAGAACAAAGCACAGCTCATTCTCTCCTCTGCAACAAAGTGATAAATTGCAGCCGGAGCTTCTGTATAAACCCGCCATCTGTAATGTTAGAACCCGGGCACAGAGACTCGCGACTGAAGTGATGGGGAGATATGATGTGTTATGAAGGGTTAGAGTCACATATGGAGTTTAGAACAAGCTGCTAATGCGAATTGGTTTGTTTTTGTAACAATGATCATAAATCGTGTTATGATAGATCAGATCTTCCTGTATAATATTTCGCCAGTCGTGCTCTTCAATTACATAAATAAACGTCGTATTAACATTTCTGGAATATGCATTTTCGCTGTTTTATAGACACTGCAGGTGAATTGGATTTTTTAAAAAAACCTAATATAATCTAATCACCATACGTCCCTAGTTAATTGATTACATTAGCAATTGCAGATGTTTTGTATTACGTTCTCCAAAATGTTAATTGCATGCATTTTTCTAACGTTAGTGATTCTATCATCAGGATTTTTGCAGCCTATACAGAATTGAGGTAAAGTTGTTTTTTTATTCGCACATTCTTTCATTTCACTATCCTTATATTGTATGTTTACCATGCTAATTAGAATATTGGGTCTGAAATTGCATGTACATACGACTTCTAAACGTCATTAGCACAAATAGACATTGGCAATATATAACTGACTGTGAACAATGTTGTACTTTAATAGTCATTGGTTATCAATACATTGCAAATAATACTTGTCTGAAAGGATATTATTAAGCAAAAAGTCCCAATGTGCGAATATAAAACCAACTTTACCTCAATTGATTCAGAGTACTGATTCCTTGTCATGGTGATCGGCCAATACAAGGTACTAATTCTGATGCTTCAAGTTTTATAATGCATAAAGCACAATTTCCTTCTAAGTATGATACTTAAGTGGAGATCTCTCCTTATCTAAGAGAATAAATGAAGAATGTTGCATGTAATATCTTAAACACATCTCTAATAACCATTTAGTGTGGACATGCCATGGTCAGAAGCAGCTTTACAGAAAATAATAGATGAAACAGATAAAAACATTGGTGGCATACGAAAAATGACTAAGAATGCAATTTAGAAACATTGCAAATGATGAAAGAGCAACTCAAAATGTTTCAATGAAGAAAAAGTTTGGAGCACATATTTGATGCATAAGACGTTAAAATACACACCTATGATTTAGGGTTGCATAGTTTACTGGTACTATGGTTGTATCTAATGCTATAGCTGCAAAATACTGACGGTGCCACTGTAGTTTGTAAATGGTGGTATCGTAATTAAGGGTCTATCTACAATAGATTACCTTGCATGTGGAAAAGTCACTAAAATACTTACACATTTGTGCAACAATAGACTATTTCATTTTAATAGTCTGTGGAGCCTTTTAAGGTTGCAAAACTGTGTAGAATTTGCGCCTTTTAGAGTAGCCTATTGCACGTTTACTGACGCTTCGGTTTGAATGAACATCGGTTCATTTCTGTTTCTTTCAATATGATTTAGTAACTATAACAACCGTGAAAATCTCTTAAAAAGAACGACTCACAAAGTGAAATTTTGAATTACTTTGGATTCTTACCTAAAAAAAAAAAAAAAAACAATCGATGAAAAACTCAAAATAGCAACAGGAAACATTGAAAACTATTTTTGACCACTTCATGTAGCCTAATTTTGTTGGACAAATGCTCTTTTTGTAACCAATATCATTTGGTATAATTTGTATCTTTGTTTTATTGTATTTTTTGTTGGTCAGTTATCTACAAAATAAACAAAAAGAATGAATACATTTTTGCTGAAGTGATGTGCAAATAATACTTTTTTCAATATAAAGGCAATTATGAATTTAATAATTTAAGCAGGCCTATTATAACATAAAATATAGTATTTCTCACAATTTATTTTAAAATTTGAGTTATGAATTACAGTATCCTAATACTACTTGGTACCGTGATACATCAGCTGTTATAGTATCATAAGATGGTTAATGGTATCGGGACAACCCTACTATAAATAAATATTTGTTTATTGCAATAAGTATATCACAAAAAAGTTATATTATTAAATATTCAAGTTTTTAAAATATTTTAACACTTTTTTTTATATCATTAAAATTTTCAGCCAAGTTTTAGTCTTGCAATATTGTCAAAAAACACAGACTGCATCATGTGTAAAAGCGCAAACAAACACCTGGGATCAGTTCATGAGATACGCCAGATTGGCGAGTACCGATCGAGTCATAATAAGTGATTATCGACCGATACCAATCTTCGGCCAATCCATCGACGTATCCCTAATTATTTCAATAAATATCCACTAATTCATACATTCGTTTTTGACACAAAAAAAATCTTAGCATTGGATGAAGTCAAGTTTGAAATTCTAGTTTCTTTTTTTTTTCATATTAAAGGCAAACATTTTTCCCTCAGACAATGCTGCGAATAGCCAAAAATGTATTCATTTGGTAGAATAACATTTTGGATTTATAATATTTAACCAGGCAAATTATAAATCAACATATATTCCTTTGTAAAAACCTTCAAAATATATAGATATGAATCAAACTATGATGATCTGTGTATGTAAGTGCCATTCTGTAGTGAAGATGATCTTATTGTGCTGGAAGAAAAACTAATTTTCAGTAAACCGCTTTTAAGGCGTGTATTGTAATTGAAATCTGCAGACAAAATTGATTAAGTACGACAACACGTAAAACACGTAAAAGTCTATTTTTGGATTTTTACTTAATAGTTTACTGCAGATGCAGTTTAACTTTAATCCCAAAACCTCAGAATTGACAGGCGCATGAAAAGAGGTTCAGATGCAAAAACCTCAAAGTGCCATCTAAAAAGTTCTTTTAATGTTAGCGTTTTTTCAGGCTCCTATGTCTTGATTCAGTAATTTCACTTTTATGGCAAAGAATAGGTTATTTTCATCACTTTCAACATTAAATAACTGTACATAAACATATGAGGCTGAGAAAAATGCTCACTATGGAAGAAAATTACAGATGGAACTTTTATAGAAGGTTTTTGCATCTGAACGGTTCACATGTTATGTTTTATTTTATCGTAATGTTTCCTTATCAAATTGTTTATGTTCCTGTGTCAGGGGTGATGGAGGACTCGCATTTCAGCTCTTCATACTTCTGGTCTCCTGTGCAGGGGCAGGTAAGCACAACGATAAACACAAAAACATTTGCCACACTTACTATTGGATGGCTGCTTGCAGTTTACTGAACATGATCTTGGTGCATTTTAAAAATATATAAATCAAACAAGCTATAACACTGTCAAAGCTAGTAACATAATATAGTAATATATAATTTATATGATTCATTTTATTATTATTTTTAGTTGTCATTTTACTGAACACTGGAGTAGTAATTCAGCCTAACTATGAACACATGAAGAGGTCATTAAAAAAGATTCTTAAAGTCTATTTAAAAAGGTAGCACTTTCGCTTAAGTACCCATTCTCACTATTAACTACTGGCTTATTACCTGCTTGTTATTAAGATATTGGCTGTTTTTTAGTACTTATAAAGTATAATCTTATAAAATTCTATATCCCTAATCCTATCCAACTATTAATAAACAGCTTATCGAGCTGAAAGTCTTAGTTTATAATAAGAATTGTACCTTAAAAAAGTGTGATCCACTGTGTTTATGATAGTTGTTTTTTTACGGTGTTTTTGATAAATAAATAATATAATAGATACAGATAAATCCAGCAAGTCATTTAAATATAAATATAACACATTAGTATATTATTTAGCAAATTAGCATGTTATTTAGTCAAATTAAATAAATAATAATTTTCTATTTTTTTTTTTTAATAAAGCATTTTATATGACCATGTTTAAATCATATTGGTGTGTTTCAGATCGAGAATGCTGTATTTCTCAATAAAGTAAAGGAGCAGCTTGGTCATGACAAAAGCCCCACCTACTCACATGGCCCTGCCCACTATCCCCCTACAGCAGTGGTGGCTGTCGCTGGGGGTCCCATGGAAGCACCGACATCAAGAACACTAAAACAAGAGCATGTGCAACCGTCCCATTCCTCACACAGTATAACAGTGGTGCCGGTACCACCTTCTGGCATCATGACGGCAGGTACTGTATGTGTGTGTTTATGATAATTAACTCATGGTCACAGAGTTCTATCTACTTAGGCCCCGTTTACACTAAAACGTTTTAGCTTCAAAACGCATACATTTTGTTATGGTTACACCTTACGTCCACACTACCCTGGAGTTCTCGAGCCCCGAAAACGGAATGTTTTGAACACACTGATGGGGCCGTTTTTGTTTTAAAGAGCCCATATTATGGGTTTTTGAAAATGCCCTTCCATGTAGTGTGTAACACAGCTTTAAGTGAAGTGAAATATCTAGCTAAGGCTTAAATCTGTAAGTGTACAGTGTTTAAAACTGTTGATTCATCTATAAAAGAGTCGACTCATAGTGCTTCAAACGAGTCGTCTTGATAACGAGTCATTAGGTGTTTCGCTATGACGTGACAACGAAACCAAGTAGTTGCGCGCGCAAACCTGGGAGATTTGAAACCTGCGGCCCCGCGCTCTAACCCAGAAAAAGCCAAACACAAACACGCCGGTCAAATGAAGTGTCAATGTGCAGATGGATATTATTGAGTCGTCCGAGGAGGAGAGTAATGTGTGTGTGTGTGTACGCTGTGTCCTCCAAGGAGAGAGAAAAGAGCAGAGTGTGACAAGCTAGGAGATCTACTTGCCAGTTCTTCGAGTTTTTGACATCGGAAAACAGAGGGTTAGCTGCCGACATTCATACTACTTTTTGTATATTAAAAGAAACATTGCTTTATGTGATGTTAAGGCGTCGTGTACATATTTATATGACTGGCATTTTCACTGTATGCAAATTTATAACTACACATAGCCTAATCACTGCCTCCTTTCATTTTCATTGAAGATGAAACATTAGGCTCACTGTGTGGTTTTTCCAATATGTGCTTAATGTCAGGCTATAAGCACACATAAAAGATTATCAGAGGTAATCCATGGTAAAATTTAAATTAGCTGTCTCTTTTGCTGAATATAATAATCAGTAAGCTGTCATTTTAATAATCATTAGTAATTGTTAAAGTATAAAGTATAAAAGTTTATACAATATAGGAAATAGTGTACATGGTTACATAAATAGGTATATATCTTTGCGCTCTGCCAAAACACATTGCCTGAGAACAAGTAGGCTAATGGATTCAAAAGACTGACTCGTTAGATTTAGGTCTACTACACAAGATGAATTATACATCGCGTTTAACAACTACAGAGAGATAAAATCCAGTGGCGGATTCAGAATGGACTGGCCGGTGTTCGGCTGCTCTCAGCTGGGCAGGTGTGCTCAGAGCTCCCGCTGACTGCCTGGAGCTCAGACGTGAGAATATGCTGAAACAGCTTGTGTGGTCACGTGATGTGTGTTTTCAGCGGTGTAGTGTGGACTGAGAGCTTTTCAGAAATGTTAGATAAAATGCCAGCGTGGACATGGATTGTTTTCATTCTAAAACTGTGTTTTAAAACTAAAACGTATCAGTGAAAACGGGACCTTAGTTGCACTTTTTGCACTTTTTTCACTTTTATAACTCTTCTAACACTTCCCTCATTTTTTCTAGCGGGTTTGGTCACCCTGGTGTCTCCGGTGTCTTCGGCTCAGTCTCTTATTCCTGGACACCCCTCAATGATAACAGTCCAGACAGGTAATGCACCTGGTTTTACATTAACTTAAGGTGCCTTCACACCTGTGGATCAATTCTCTTGTTCCGAAACAGGGATTAAAATTGTTACAATGTTGCTCTTTGTTTTTGATGCGGTTTCAAATAAGTCAAAAGAGCTTAAAAAAGTCACATGTGAGTAAACTCCCCTCACATTGGTCAGAATTTTCCTTATTTTAATTTATGACAATAAATAGGCCATTACAAGCGAAAAGCTCCGATTTCATTTTGAATAGTGACACCCACAGATATCAACACTAAATATAACTCAAAGATAAGACTTTCTCATACATAGCAGTTGGCTTATGCATCATAGGCTTTACAATATATAGAGAAATAACAGATAAACCAAGACTGCTGTTAGCTCAATTTTCCTAACGGATAAACAGCTCTCCTTAATAGTTCAGCATGCTTTCACTTTCATATTTTACATGAAACACAAATTTACTGGTGGGAATGACATCCCGCCCTACTCATCATTCAATCTTCATATAGCCATACATGCCTAATAGATATCCACAATACATTGTGATATAGCCTGGCTCAGATTTTATTGCTTTCTCACTACAATCGATCCGCTTCAGAATTTGTTTCAATCGAGTTGAGACCACCTCATTCAAGCGATTTCGGACCGATTGTTTTATGCCAGAGTCAGGATTGCTGGATTCACATATTCCAAACAAACCACACCAACTGGGGAAACACACCAGGTTCCGAAACAAAAGTCTAGATGTGAAAGCACCCTTAAGGCTGATTTATACTTCTGCGTCAAACGCCGGCGTATGCTACGGCGCTGACGCATAGCCCTTCGCCGTGGCCGTCGCTGTCACTGACGTGCACCTCTCAAAAAAATGTAACTACACGTCGCAACGACGCGTAGCGTAAGCTCTGTGATTGGTCGGCTTGGTAGCGCTGATGAGTCTGGGCGGGACTGAGAGCCGCGCGAATGGCGCGAGCGATTGTTTACAAGTGTGGAGTACCGTGAAGGAGCTCCGGATGGAAAGTTTTGTTTTGTGTTTACCTCATAGTTAAAGTTGTTGCACGTCTGCCGGTTCCTGCCTCAAAATGAGCGAGTTTGAGCCACTTGTTCATCCCGGAAGTGTTCAGGAAAAGCAAAAAAGCAGCGAAGAAACTCGACACAGAGGAACATTTACACCTCACTGCCAACTAGCATTTCGGAAGTGTTAAAGCAGACCATCAGAGACAGCGCGCAGAAGTATAAATGCACAGCCACGCGCGTTGCATGCGCCGTGGGTTACGCCGGTCACCTGACGCAGAAGTATAAATCAGGCTTTAGACATGCACATGGTTGAATTGTTTTTGCTATAAGATAACACAATGTTTTTGTTATGTTAGGAGTATTTGGTATGAGTTCAAAAGTTTTTGGTATGGGTCTTTCAGTTTGGTACACATATGCAGCATTGTTTTAACCTCTGCTGAACCTACACTACTAGTTTTAGCAAAGTTTTTAACAAATTGACTTAAATTCTTAAATCCCAAAACCAATTGTATTGAATGCCGTTTCAGGTGATGCGTGAATGGCTGTTCATAAGCATTATTTATACCACTCCTCCCATTCAAAATTTCTGACAGCTTTGTGTTTCTTTCAGTTTTTCCTTTCAGAGTCATTTTTTAAATTCTGTCCAATATTTAGACATTTAATCAATTTTATTCTTTTTGATGTGGCGTGACAACTCGTAAACAAAATGTCACATAGTATTACATATACCTCCGGCAACTCATTCAGTGACCACAGCTGTTTAATTCACTAGAGAAATCTAGAAACTCCAGAGAGAGACTATAGAGAGGATAAGTTTTCTATGTATGTTGCGCCATATTTGTCTTTTTATCCATTGTGTGGTATTTAACCTGTTAGTAATGGCTTAGGTTTTTAATATATATGCTTAAATAATCTGTCTTATGAAACAACAAAGTGGAGTAGAAACATTTTATGATTAGATTTAAAGACTAAAACTGCCTTTTGTGGCACATAATTAAAGCATTTTTTTATTTTTGGCTTGTCTCATCTAGACAAGAAAAATGACTCCTTGCCCTGCTCACCGGTCATCATCCCATTACCTTCCAAACGTTGCAGAAAGAAGAAAGAAACACTCCCGCTAGTTGGCTCTCCTACTGGGACAGATCCCTTGATTTTGGGTCTTTCAGGACAGGTATGGCAACCATACAAACAGAAAAATATATATATTTTACATTGTTATTTTATTACTTTGTCTGCAAAAAAGTGATTAACTCACAGATAAATGATAAACAGATAAACGAGCACAAGTTTATAAGACGTCTTAAGATTTTTTTTGGAAAGGCTGCATTTATTTGATCGCAATACACAGCTAACCAATGTCTGTACTTCTGATACTAATTTAATGTTTGCTCCTTGCTGAATTTATGTATTAATTTCCTACAAAAATAATCATATTTTATGGTCTACAGACAGTAATTTTAAAGAAGTTGTATACCCTGTGTACATATACACTACCGGTCAAAAGATTGACATTTAAAATCATATTTAATCAACATTTAAAAATCCTACTGACCCCAAACTTTTGACCGGAAGTGTAAACATATGTTTTAATTTGGTCAAATTTTAGTTTGAGGGTCCGTTTGTTAAATTAAGTTGCATTACATGTTGACATGTAACTACAAAGTTTAGTCAGTTAAATGTATGTTGAAGCAGCAATATGAAGAGATATTAAGCGGACAGTCTACTAATACTCAAATAGACCATCAAAATAAAGAGTTACCTTTTTTTAAACCAGGTCCCAAACAAATCTGAAATGACATCCTTGGCTTTTCATGTGAAGAGCCAATCTATATTTTGTAATATGATGACATCATCACTCATGTGTTGACCTTATGCCGACTTCAGACTGCACGTTTTCAGAGTAGTCTCGTCACAATTATTTTCATACTGCATGACTATCTGGGGTAGCATTCAGTTGCTGCTGTGTTTATACTGAAAGATGGATCGGCAACAGGGGGTTTTACACTGCATGACTTTACAATAGGAAGCATAACCGACAACTTTGTCTTTTGTCCACAAACTATGTCTCACAAACAAAAACACGTGAGAAGTAACATGTAAACAATGCGAGGTCAAGTAGTATATCTTTAGTTATTAACTTCATATTGAGAAAGAAGTCTTTAGTGGGATATAAAATGAACTTATTTTGCTCACCTGGCTTTGAAAGGAATTAGCTATTTCTCTTAAACTTTCTGTTTCGGTATTGCTCAGATGCCATGTCAAACAGGGATGGGTGCTCCTGCCGAATTGACACGTTTCTTTCTCCAATTATTGGGTCCAAATTAGTGCTGTCAATTAATTAAAAAAAAATTAACTAATTAATCACACTTTTTTAATTAATCGTGATTAATCGCATTTAAAAGACTGAAAATTGTAATTTTGGCTTTTTGAATGTAAAATTAATGTAAACGCAAGACAAAAACTATTTAAATTCAAAATATAATTGTTTAATAGAATTTTTGTTTAACTTGTAACACAGATTTCTTCATGTAAACAACATACCCACAATAAACTATCAAGATCCTGGCTTGACAGCCATATTTATTACAGAAATAAAAACACAGGCATGATAGTGCCATTTGAATTTTAAAACAATCAATGCCAATAAAGAAAACATTGATTTCCATGTTGGATTCCAAGTGGACTGCAAAAAAATGCCAAAGAACAGGCATTACAGATATGGAAAATGAAAAATTATAATGATAATAAAGTATTGAATACAAACAATTGCACTCATTGCAGGGCTGGACTGGGACAAAAAAAATCGGCCCTGGCATTTTGAGCCAGATCGGCCCACTATATCAATTAAAATGCTCCCCATCTGTGCGTGTTCTTGAATATGTTTAACAACTTTCATTCTATAAAAGCACAAAAGCCATATATAGGAAATAACGAGAGTTGACAAATTAAAAACGTAATTTTTTTTTATTTAATATTATAATAAAATTATAATCCACACTGGAAGTCCATCTTGTGTGTGCCTGTGTGTTTTGATGGAGACTAATAAATAATGAACATAACAAAAACTGTCTGCTCACGCACACAGTCAATGTTGATTAATAAAATAAAGATAAATATTGCTGTCACTATAAGCCTACATCATGCTGACAATCAAAACACAATGTTATGATATCTCATGCGATTGTCTCCTGAGTGACTGACACCCCTCATAGAGATTGAGAAGCAGACATTATTTATAATTTGTAAAACAAAGACTTGCAGGTTAAGGAAACAGCATAGAAGGAAGTTGCCGCGGACCGTGGTGCAGATTATAAGTAAAAGAAATAAAAAGTATATTTATATCAGATAGATAGGACAGATAGCTAACTAGATAGAATTGACAGGAATATATTGATCTGTGCTCCACTGCACGCTGCAAAGTGCAGACGCAAAAGCCTGCTCGCCACTTCTGCTATCCCGCGGGTGAGAAACAGGCGTGACTCTCGATTATTTGGACAAATACACACCTAAGTTGCACGCTTACACAGAGCCCAACATGTAAGTTTTTGATTGGGTCAGCCCAATGTCAATAAAGAAAAGAACCAATGGACTGCAGATTATGTCACATAGGCCGCTCTGTCTGGAAAAGAAACATCTTACTTTCAGGGTGTCACAGCTCACAGGATTCGTCAATCACTTAGGCAGAAAAACATGACAGTCTGCTAAGTGTTTTATGGGCCGATCAGATCATAAGAAGATGATCAGCCCGGCCCATAAAGTACGTCGGCCCAGCAGGAAACTGACTGGTCTGCCAGATGGCCAGTCTGCCTTTGGCCACAACAGGAAAAAAAAACTGCAACTGCGTTAATTGGGTTAATTTTTTTTACGTGTTAAATATTTCAAATTAATCGCATGTGTTAACGCACCAATTTTGACAGCACCAGTCCAAATAGAATGAAAATTAGCACTTTTATCTTCTCCATCTTCCCGCTGGCCTGCAGATACCCACACTAGTGGATGCTGCTCTCTCATTGGCTGTAGGTAATCGCTGATGTTATTTTCCATCAGAACACATTTCACACAGCATGATTTTGAATCGCGGACAGGACCAGATGTTTAGCAAGCCAAATATCTCATGGGTGTCGGCAACTCATCAACAATTCTCTTGGGTAACATCTTTGATAGTTTAGACTATGTGATTGTTACTCACGTGAACGAGCACCAATTTGCCTGAGATTTCAGACATTTGTCTGTGATTTCTCAAAAGCTGTTGGAGAGTCAAATCGGGGCTAAAATTATGCAGTCTGAACTTTGTCTAACACCATCACATCATAACAGCAACAAAAACCAAGGCAAACCACATGTGCACAAGGTTTGTCCACCTGCTCGAAATTGTATTCTCCATTTTAAACCCCGTGCGCAAAGGGACAATTTTTTAGCTCATTACTTTTCACCAACATTTAATACCTTGTGACTAAACAAAGGCGACGCAGTGGTGCAGTAGGTAGTGCTGTCGCCTCACAGCAAGAAGGTCACTGGTTCGATCTTCGGCTCAGTTGACTTTTCTGTGTGGAGTTTGCATGTTCTCCCTGCGTTCGCATGGGTTTCCTCCGGGTGCTCAAGTTTCCCCCACAGTCCCAAGACATGCAGTACAGGTGAATTGGGTAAGCCAAATTGTCCGTAGTGAATGAGTGTGTGTGTGTGGATGTTTCCCAGAGATGAGTTGCGGCTGGAAGGGCTGGAGATGGGTAGCGGCTAGAATACCCATCGTTGTGGCGACCCCGGATTAATAAAGAGACTAAGCCGACAGGAAATTGAATGAATGAATGAATGAATGAATGAATGACTAAACAAAGGGCGCAGAATGTCAGGCATAAAAGCATCATTAAAAAAAAAATCTCAGATTTATTTGTTTTTTTTTTAAAACATATCGAACAAAAAGATTGGCACACTATGTTGTTCACTTACCTGGAGCTGCTAAAGTAACACGGAAACACGCTTCATTGCTGAATCTTGCTTGTGTATAAATGCTGAAAAACATCTCAGACAAACGATGACTATAAGTGAAAGCAAATTAGTCTTTAAGGGTGTCTTTGTGGCTAAAATACAGCACCAAATACTGCTATGTCATGTATACTGCATTTTGGACTTTTTTTTTTTCAGTGGTTTTGTTTACGTACGCTGATATTTTTTGAAACAAAACTGCGTGTAGATTTACATTTTTGTGTACATTTTTTAGAAAGAAAAAAATAAAAGATCCTACAGGGAAAGCTTTGGCTATGTGTGGCCATAGTCTTGCATTCATAGAAGTCTTCCTAACAGATTTTTTTGTTACTCTGCAGCATCTTTCTACACACCCTTATAGCCTCTCCCCAGAAGAAGGGCATGCTGGGAAAGAAGGCAGCAAAACATACAGGTAGGGCTTTGCAGATGAACAACAGCTCCGCATGCACTCAGTGTGTGTTTCTTACAAGCTATTAGAAGAGGCAAAGACAGAGGCAGGGATTCCTGAGCCACTCTTCATCTTCATACTGCAGCCATGCATGGCCCTCCTGGCCAACACACACACACACACAAAGCGTCTCCTGCTTGTATGCAGTGCTTTAGTAGAAACTGTGTGTTATTCTACTCGGCAGCATGTGCAGCCTCAGCTACACACACACACAAACACACACACACTCCTGTCGCCATCTGCACTTGCGTTTCTGGCCTCTCGTCTTACTTTTGTTAAAGCCAGAGTCTACGATTTCCCACCCGCGTCTCTCTCTCTCTCACCCTCCAGCTTGTGTTGTGTCTCTTTCTCGCCCGTTTGTCGCGTCTCACGTTTCTCCTTTCACTATTGACGGATCAGGCTTGTAACTTTCCTTTTCTCTTTGTCCTGTTTTCATTCGTACTTTGCCCTCTCCCATGTTTTCCTCCTCTCTCATCCCTTTGTCGTCCCCTTTGGTGTGTTTGTGTGTGTGTTTTTCTGTCTATAGGTGCCGGATGTGTGGTTTGACGTTCTGCAGTAAGTCAGACATGCAGCTGCACTCCAAGTCACACACGGAGGTGAAAGCTCACCAGTGTCCGCACTGCTCCAAATCCTTCGCTAACACCAGCTACCTGGCCCAGCACATCCGCATCCACAGCGGTGCCAAGCCCTACACCTGCTCCTACTGCCAGAAGGCTTTCAGACAGCTCAGTCACTTACAGCAGCACACACGGTACTCAGCACCGCACCTCAGTTGTGTGTGTGTTTGTGTGTGTGGAGTGTCTGTGGCAAAGCTGGCGGGTGATGGAGAGTGTGTGTGACGGCTTTTTAATACCTGCTAGTAGACCTTGGGAGTGCCTGTGTTTCTCAGCTTTATGATACAGAGCAAATCACATACTACACTACCTGACAAAAGTCTTATCGTTGATCCCTTTTGTAAGAGCAACAAATAATAACTTGACTTCTAGTTGATCATTTGGAAAAGTGGCAGAAGGTAGATATTTCCATCTGTTGAACTGCATCCCAATCATCACAAATACTGCAGGAGACCTATTGGAACCTGCTTGGACCCAAGATTCTCAGAGAAATCAGTCAAGTTTGGTGAAGGAAAAATCATGGTTTGGGGTTACATTTAGTATGGGGCATGCGAGAGATATGCAGAGTGAATGCCAGCCCAGTCACCAGACATGAACATTATTGAGCATGTCTGGGTTAAGATGAAGGTGGAGGCATTGAAGATGAATCCAAAGAATCTTGATGAACTCTGGGAGTCGTGCAAGAACGCTTTGTGGCATTCCAGATGGCTTTATTCATAAGTTATTTGAGTCATTGCAGAGATGTATGGATGTAGTCCTTCAAGCTCATGGGAGTCATAAACAATATTCATTATTTTTCCACTGTACCATGACTCTATATTCTATACTGAACATTATTTCTGTTAAATGAGAAGACTTTTGTTTAAGCAAAGTCAGACCTTTCTGTCCTAATTAAATAATTAAAAATCAAGACATGATCATATTTTATGTTAGTAAAATAATTGAATCTAGAGGCCTTTGGCTTTCACATAAGCCACTTTTGATACCAAATGATCAACTAGAAGTCAAGTTATTTGTTGTCCCTAATGTTTGGATAGGCCACAAAACTTTTGTCAGTGTATATTGTACCATAACATTGCAAGAGATATTGCAAAAAATATGAAATCATAATTCAAACAGCATCCAACATGTTAAAGAAGAGACTCTGGATGTTTGTAAGAGAATGTTTTGATTACTCCGATACCACAAAATGTTGCACCAATATTCAAATTCTGGCCAATCATGACAGTTCGTACTCTGTGCACAACCAAAATATAATTAAATTTTGCTGTATACCAATAAATGGTTGAAAATATAGTACTAAAATTATATTAATACTCTTAATAATATAAGAGCTTTATTAATAACATAAACAGCTTTGAAAAAAAAACTTAAGAGACCACTTGGAAATTCTCATTTTCTCTGGATTTATATATTTTTTTCTTTTTTGTAAACTTTTCTTTTTTGTAATTTTTTGTAAAATTTCTAAACAATACAAATGTTTACAGTTTATTCAAACACATTCCAAACAAATCAGCTGTGGTTATCCTTTTCCATAGCTCTTTATGTTTTTATTTTGTAGTTTTTACATTTTCTAAATGTTTTTTAATGTTATGCTATAAATGTAATACAAAGAGAAAAATTTTCACATCAGTTTTGGTTTGATTGTAAAATACTGTCATTTTAAATATCATTAGATATTATATAAAGTAAATTACAATTATTTATTACCTGTATGCTGATTACCATTGAAATTTATTATTTTATTATTACAACAACTTATTACCTGATATTCTAAAAGGCCCATTAACATGGGGCGTCAGCATCAATGCTTTCCATTCATTTTAAATGGGTGATGTCAAGCATTGCCAAATTGAATTGTAAATCCATCTACGCTGCTTTTCTTAACTTTTAAAGCACCATTGGAAGCGTCAGCCAATCAGATCGCTGACAGTATTTTTAGCCCAGCTTACTTCGTAGCTAACTGTCAGAATGCCTAGGCGTTTAAAGTGTTTTCTGTGACCTCTGCATTCCTCTTTCCGTTGTGCTCCTCTGTCTGTCAGTTTTTGAGTGCAGAAAGTGTCCTGAGACATCCACGGTCACATTGGAAAGGTTGACAACAGCGCCTCATCTTCCTCTGCTTGTTGCTATAGCAACATGCTTTCATGATGGTTTGCATATATGCGAGTTTATATGTAATGGACTTCGTGATTATATACTGCAGTCTTTATAATGGGTAACTCAGCAGTTGCTGATGTCACCACATATAGTCCAAGGATTTCTCATTAAAGTGTCCTTTTAATGCTTTTTTTCAGTTATTATCTTTCATGTAGCATGATTGTAGTTATGAAGTAAAAGGACCGGAGGGTTTTAAAGATCAAAGTGCACGCTTATTGGAGCTACTGTCTTGAAAGAAAGAATTACTTTTGAGGTCAAAAACAATTCTGGCCTTTCTTTCTACAAAAACCTACATAGTTTTGTCAGAAATTGGCATAATGTCAGTCTGAAGTGATCATTGGCTGCCTGAGAGCATTGTCTTCTTTGACTGTCAACCAATGTCTGATGAATTCAGCTTTAAAGGGATACTTCACCCAAAAACTGTTCATTTAAACTACTTCGTTTACCCTCAGGCCATCCATGTAGGCTATATCATGAACCAAGATGTACTTTTCATCTCCAGTAGACAGCAGGGGGGGGCCCAAGGGGTGGCCACGGCCACCCCAATATGATTTAGTTGTTGATATTATTAATTTAAATATACTTACTTAAATTCACAATATTTCAATAAATAAATCAATTAGTAAATAAATAAAATGCAGCCTCTAAATTATTGTGGATTGATCAGCGCCACTGACGTAGCTGATTCACTGAGATTGCACACTTTTTATTAAGAAATTTTTATTTTTGAAATGAAAAAGTTGTGTTTTATCTGATTGAAAACCACAAATCTAAATAAATAAATAGATGCATTTTGAAATCAGCTTTTCAGAATGGAGTTTATTTAGCAGCTCCATTGTTTTGCTGGTTGACTTAAAAGGGCCAAAAATCTCAATGATTTTGTGGCTGTATTTTGCAAAAAGGTACATCAATAGAATTTGTGTTAATATATTGTGGCTCAAAAAGGAACATGGATAAATGTTAGTATTAGGGTCTGTATAAAAGTAACTTACCTGAAAGATGTTTTCAAACTAAATATTGATTTTTATTTGGTTTGCACGTGTACTTGCTGATATATTAAAAAAAAATGCAATATTCAAGAGTAATTAATGGAATCTAATAAAACTTCAAAATTTCATTTATCAGAAACAAAAATATAACATTACTCATTATTCACAATATATACACAGTTCTTTTTTGTGTGTGTGTAAATTAATTGTCAAGAATTGGTGTGGCCTTACTTGACCACCCCTAAGAAAATTTTCTGTGGGGCCACTGGTAGACAGTAAAGAAGTTTGTAGCTGGAACTGTTGTCCTCTGGTATCCATATAATGGAAGTCAGTGGGTGCTGAGATTCAGAAAAACACATTCAAAACAAATAATAATTACTACAAGCGGCTCCTGAAGATGCACTGAAGTAAAATGATCACTCTGTGCAACAAAATAAATATCATATTCCAATGCTATCTTGTGGAAATTTGTAACTTTTCAATTTATCGTCTAATTTATTTGAATTTGAATTTGTATGATCTTTCATGAATTTAGTTCCAAATGACAGTTGGGTTAGTGTTTTTTTTTTTTTTTTAAATCATCCATTTTTGTACGAATTACAAATTAGCCACTAAACTGACAAAACATAAAATAGTTATGTTTCCTTGTGAGATTAGGCTGCATATTCAAAGCTTGGGCAAACTGCTCTGAGCACGTACAGTGAAGTGTGCATATGAGTGTCTCGTCGCCTAATGATGTGGGTGCCATTTTGTGGGCACAAAATGCACTTGGGTTTGTTTACAAAAGCGACGTTGTAAACTCACACTGCAGTCCTCCTCGCTGATCTGATAAATGGTTGTGGTTTGCCAGTAGAGTCATTGTTTAGTGTAAACTTCTTGCATACGAGACAGAATGACAACTCTTATTAATTGTTATAAATATTTTTATTGGTGCCAGCATGACATTTAATAAGTTTTAGAGTTGTTTAGATGCAGAAAATGTGGCTAAAATAAATGGTGCCACTGGAATTTCAGTACAATTTTGGTCAGACTTTGAATCCTTCTCAAATCTGATAAGATCCTGAGCTATTTATTTAACTACTTATTCTCATTATTAGTATTGGTCAAATTTTATTTTGATAGTCTGTTTGTTGAATTTAAGTTACATTGCATCTACATGCCAACTATTTCTCATTAAATTAAGTAGACTGTTAGATTGGGGTTGGGGATAGTGTAAGTTGACACGTACTTGCAAAGGTTCTTATAGTCAGTTACATGTCTGTTTAGCAGCAATATCAACAGATATTAAGCAGACAGTCTACTTATAGTCAAATAGACCATCAAAATAAAGATCCTGATTTATTTAGCTATTTGTTCTCATTATTATTATTTTCTCTTATATGGTTGAAGTGGTCTTATTGTAAATGGTGATACATTTATAAATAGAGACTTGTAGAAACTAATTTCAGTCACATCAGCAGAAAAAAAGAGGTTGCAAAATGTGACCATATAATCTGTAACACTGGTTTAGAGAGACCACATGCTTGAATGAGACGTTTGATTCAATGAGAATAGTGGTGATGCCCCAAATGTACATTTTATTGAATTTTTTTATTGATTGATTTTTTTACTTATTCTAGGAGTTCTTCAGAATCTTTACAATTGCATATAAGGGTCAATTTAAATGTATTATTGATAGACTCAATGAAAAATCGCTAAAAAAAAGTTCTGTTTTTTTTTTTTTTTTTTTTTTTTTGCTAAAGAATGAAAGAAATTTTATTTAATTTTATTTTTTCTTCATTTCCCTTTCATGTCTTTCTCTATTTATATAATTTATTTCTCCTCTGGCCCACTGTTTTATTACTGCAGACTACTTAAACTTTTACACACTTGCGCACACACACACACACACACACACACACACACACACACACACACACACTGACTTTAGGGTTGAACTGAAATTGCAGCTGTCATTGAACAGCCAGTTCTCTCTGACTCTACATTATTGTCCCATAACTGTGAAGAAGTTTTACGAGGTTTTGCCCCGCTTTGAAATAGAGGTCACCTAAAGGTTTCGTCCACTCCTGATCACACTTGGATCTGAGATTGGGCTCTGCAGCCCACCGGGTCCCTGTGAGGATTTAGTGCAAATGTTTTCTTGAGAAATGGATCTGCCCTTACTGTGACCTCATTCAAACACCCACCGCGCCGCTTTCAAATGTGTCTCCAAAATGCACCGTGCACTTTTGACAATCGTTGACAGTACTGATAGGACCCGCCTAAGAAAGGTCAGCAGAGCGAGTGTAGAAATCAGGAATATTGTCAAGTCTAATATTTGTGTAGTGTCTGTAAATTATTGAGTGAGCCCTCGGGTAAGAATGTTTGTCTTTCCTTCTTTACAGAAACCACACAGAATCCAAACCTCACAAGTGTCCTCACTGCACGAAATCATTTGCCAACTCAAGCTACCTTGCTCAGCATGTGCGAATACACACTGGAGTTAAACCGTACACCTGTAGCTACTGCGAGAAGACCTTCAGACAGCTCAGTCACTTACAGCAACACCACAGGTAACGCGCTGGACATCTTTTCTTTTCATTTCATGCGTGCTTATGTAGCTGTTATCATCATATATGCTCATGTTTGTTTTGCTGTTCATTTCTTACCTCTCGACTTCAATTTTGTGCCTGTTCAGGATCCACACAGGAGACAGGCCATACAAATGTACACACATGGGCTGTGAAAAGTCTTTCACTCAGCTCTCTAATTTGCAGGTCAGTATTATATTCGGTTTCTCTGTTTAAATTTAAAATGTAGATTAGGGCTGCACAATATATTGTTTCAGCATCGATAGTCAATAGTTACATTGCGAGTTTACACAATGTTGAGTCTGGTTTATAATATATAATTTTCCCAGGTTTTTTTTAGCCCTGTGATTAATAATGATAAAGTTTATTAAATTGTTTATAAAAAGAAGACTATGCGCTATTATTTTACATTTGATCATTCAATTACTGTATACCTGAATACAGTTCAATGACTTGAAAAACAATAAAATGCTGTTTATATTATTTGTATCTTTTTCTTTATTGAAATTAAACGGGCGAGGCAGTGGCGCAGTAGGTAGTGCTGTCGCCTCACAGCAAGAAGGTTGCTGGTTCGAACCTCGGCTCAGTTAGCGTTTCTGTGGGGAGTTTGCATGTTCTCCCTGCCTTTGCGTGGGTTTCCTCTGGGTGCTCCGGTTTCCCCCACAGTCCAAAGACATGCGGTACAGGTGAATTGGGTAGGCTAAATTGTCCGTAGTGTATGAGTGTGTGTGTGAATGTGTGTGTGGATGTTTCCCAGAGATGGGTTGCAGCTGGAAGGGCATCCGCTGCGTAAAAACTTGCTGGACAAGTTGGCAGTTTATTCCGCTGTGGCGACCCCGGATTAATAAAGGTACTAAGCTGACAAGAAAATGAATGAATGAATGAATTAATTAATTTAAACGTGCTTGTTTCTCATATTTTTTGCATGCACTCCCCTACAGAATCATCCCAATCAATCTAAAATTTAAAATTTTTTCCAAATATTTTTTCAACACATCTATTGAAATTGTATTCATATCACAATATATATCGCAGAATAAAAAAAAAATATCACAATGTTAGATTTTTCCAATATCGTGCAGCCCTAATGTAGATTATTTACGCACTTTTATTTAGATGATGGTTCAGCCAAAACTGAACATTTCTAACATAAGTTTCGAGCATTTCTTCTGTTGAACATAAAAGAAGATATTTTGAAGAAATCCACAACCACATCACCCTGCAAGACAAAAACAGTTGTTCACTGAAGTTAAGCAGGGCTGAGTCTGTTTTTTTCCTGGATGAGTGACCATTTGGGAAAAACTGTTGGAAGTGGTGTTAGCGAGGCCAGCAGGGGGGGCTCCTCCTGCGGTCTCTGTGGGTCCTAATACCCCAGTATAATGAAGGGGACACCTATATTTGTTTTTTTCGCACATCAGTCTCGTGCTTGTCCGTTTCTGACAGGATTGGATGTCAGAAGTACTTCAATAGTCACACACACATTATTATCATTAGCACAAGAAGTTTGTTATTTTAAATATAGATTCGCACACGAGCTCTTTCTTGTAAACGAAATACGGGGCACAAGGAAGAATCTGCTCTTCCTCTTGTCTTTGTGGCTGTTCATCAAGATGATGACGAGGTTTATTTGAGCTTGGGTCGACCAGGGCTTGTTGTTATATGTATATATTATTATGGTGTAATGTTTTGACTGTGTATTTAAAACATGGCGGTTCCTTTGTTTTTATTCTGTCTTGTCCATGAGCGAGACACAAATCTCCGTAAGCCACTAGCGTTCAGTTGCACGTCTAACTCTGCCTTTTGGTACCCAAAAAGTGGTACGGTTCGCTTTTAGTTACCTTTTGACAGTAAAAAGTTCAGCCATAAAAGCTTACCGTACCGTACCACTCAGTGGAAACAGGCCATAAGTTCAGGGCTCTCTCCCGGGACAGAATGCCAAACAAGCTTTATTATCAATCGTCAACTAAGTTTTAACTTAAAAATTACTATAAAAGTCAATAGTTCCAACATTTTGCTAAATTTCTTCTTTTGTGAGAAACTCAAACAGATTCATGACACGTGAATAATGAATAAATGACGTCAGAATTTTCAGTTTTAGGTGATCTGTCTCTTTAAATTTCTGTCTGTTCTACGTTACTGTACACTTTCAGAACATAAAACAATGCTGGATTGTTTTATGATGCTTTTATAAAGCTTGACAACCCCTGCTCCCCATCCAGTTTCATTGCTTTTGACAGACTCTGCTTTTAACAGCTTTGGAAAACACCACCGCAACAGTGCGATTAAATGATGACAAATGATTTTTTGTTTTTGAGTAAACTCTCACTACCTTTCTCTCAATCTTTTACAGTCCCATCGGCGTCAGCACAACAAGGACAAACCATACAAGTGTCACCACTGTAATCGAGGATATGTAGACGCAGCCGGCCTGGATATTCATCTGTCCACGCACACGGTTAAGCATGCTAAGCTGTACTCCTGTGGTTTATGCCACCGCACATATACCTCGGTACAATCATCAGCACCCAATCTCACAGCATTCCCAACCCATTCTCAAAATGATTCTCATGTGTGTATCTCTCTGCCTGCAGGAGACGTATCTAATGAAGCACATGCAAAAACACGCTCCGGATATGCTTCCATCTCCACCTGGATCAAACCAGCATAGTCACAGTCCCGGACGCGCTGGAGGAAGCGGTTCAGAAGGAGACGGGCAGAGCAGAATTGAAAGGAGTGATGTTTTTGTCCAACCGGTCAGTGTGCCGTGTGTGTATGACATGAACCAGTACAAACCAGTACCTGCAGCAGACGTGCAGTACAAAACCGTCAGCGTGTCTGACATCTCCCCTCACAAAGACCTCTGCATCACCGTGGAGGCTTCAGCCATACAGGCGAACCACCTGAACTCTTGAGGATCAAACTGTGGAGGTTAGAAAAACTGTTGTAGATGACGAGATCCACACAGAGCTGTGGAGACAGAGCGAATTTTCTTATTCAAAGGCGCATTGTTTGTGTGAAAGAGCAAGAGGATTTGAATGAACTCAAATGAAGGAGGTCTACTTTTGTATTGTTTTCTTTTCCTTTTTTTGTTACATTTGTTGCTGTAATCCTGATCTTCCTCACAAAAAGCTTCCTTGAAGGCTGTGGCTGTTTCGGTGGGTGTCAACTTCATATCTCCAGTCTTTCCATGACATTTTTGCTAGTTTCACCCGTTTATACGGTGGTTTTTGTCTGTAGGTGTTGGTACGATCACTCCAGCATCACCATTACTATTGTTACTGTCAACAAGAATGGTAATATTGTGTCTTGCACAGTAGGTTTGGAAATTGTTTCTTTTTTTCCATTTTAAAAGGGAAGTTTGTTTGCAGTCAAACAAAAGCACGTATATATGATTATCAGATATATTGTGTGTAAATGAGTAAAGGATAACAGCAAACAGGACACAAATATATTAGGAGATGGATTTTATGGAAAACAAATGATTATGTGTAGTGTTTCTATCTGCAGACGACATGTAATATTCTATTATTACTGTTTTTACTGTTTTACTATTTAAAAAAAAAGAGCAATTATGCACCCCAGACATCAACCTCTAGACATTACCAAAATCAGATTACTGTGCATTAACCTTTTAAAATGAGATATTAAAAAAATTATAATTGTGTGCCGCATCGTGATCTTTGCCTTACAATCATTGCTTAATTGCTTTTTAGGATACTTAACCAATCGGTAATGTTTTTTGTTGTTGTTTTATTTTGGAACTTTTTTTTGGAAAACTCTCTGGTTTAGAAAATTTATTTACTTTGTGAGTGGTATAATTTAAGCTTAACAGTATTATTAGCAGTTTAAGTATTTAAGTATTCAGTTGAGGTCAGATTTATTAGCCCCCCTTTGATTATTTTTTTTTATATATATATTTCCCACATGAATTTTAACAGAGCAGGGACATTTTCACAGTATGTCTGATAATATTTTTTCTTCTGGAGAAATTCATATTTGTTTTATTTCGGCTAGAATAAAAGTAGTTTTTAATTTTTAAAAACCATTTTATGGACAAAATTATTAGCCCTTTTAAGCTATATATTTTTAAGATTAGTCTCCAGAACAAACCATCATTATACTATAACTTGCCTAATTACCTTAACCTGCCTAGCTAACCTAATTAACCTAGTTAAGTCTTTAAATGTCACTTTAAGATATATAGAAGTGTCTCAAAAGGGATCTAGTCAAATATTATTTACTTTCATCATGGCAAAGATAAAATAAATCAGTTATTAGAGATAAGTTATTAAAACTATTATATATACAAATGTGTTGGAAAAAAAATCTTCTCCCCGCTAAACAGAAATTTGGGGGGGGGGGGGGGGGGTGGGAATAAACGGGGGCGAATAATTCTGACTTCAACTTTATATACAGTTAGGTCCATAAATATTGGGACAAAATTTTTGGCTCTTTACACCAACACAATGGATTTGAAATGAAACAAGATGTGCTTTTACTGCAAACTGTCTGCTTTAATTTGAGGGTATTTACATCCAAATCAGGTGAACGTTGTAGGGATTACAATTGTTTAAACATGTGCTTCCCACTTGTTAAGTGTCCAAAAGTAATTGGACAATTGGCTTCTGAGCTGTTCCACGGCCAGGTGTCTGTTATTAACTCATTATCCCAATTAAAATGAGCAGATAAAAGGTCCAGAGTTCATTTTAAGTGCGCTATTTGCATTTGGAATCTGTTACTGTCAACTCAAAAGATCCAAAGAGCTGTCACTATCAGTCAAGCAAGCCATCATTGGGCTGAAAAAACAAAACAAACCCATCAGAGATCGCAAAAACATTAGGCGGGGCCAAAACAACTGATTGGAACATTTTTAAAAAGAAAGAATGCACCAGTGAGCTCAGCAACACCTAAACACCCAGAAGACCACAGAAACAACTGTGGTGGACGACCAACGAATTCTTTACCTGGTGAAGAAAACACCCTTCACAACAGTTGGCCAGATCAAGAACACTCTCCAGGATGTAGGTGTATGTGTGTCAGTCATTTATCAAAAGAAGACTTCCCCAGTGAATACAGAGGGTTCACCACAAGATGTAAACCATAGGTGAGCCTCAGAAACAGGAAGGGCAGATTAGAGTTCTAAAAAAGCCTTCACAGTGCTGAAACAACATCCTATGGACAGATGAGACCAAGACCAACTTGTACAACAGATCAACAGAGTGATGGGAAGAGAAGATTATGGACAAAGAAACTAACTGCTTATGATTTTAAGCAGTAAAGCGTGGGGGTGGTGATCATGGTGTGGGCATGTATGGCTGTTTATAGAACTGGTTCTCTTGTATTTATTGATGATGTTACTGCTGACTAAAACAACCGGGTGAATTCTGAAGTGTTTCAGGCAATATTTTCTGCTCATATTCAGCCAAATGCTTCAGAACTCATTGGACGGTGCTTCACAGTGCAGATGGGACAATGAACCAAAGCATACTGCAAAAGCAACAGAAGAGTTTTTGAAGGGAAATAAGTGGAATGTTATGCAATGGCCAAGTCAACCACCTGACCTGAGTCCATGCATTTCATTTGCTGAAGACAAAACTGAAGGAAAAAGGCCTGGAGAGCATCACTAGGAATGAAACCCAGCATCTGGTGAGGTCTATGCATTCCAGACTTCAGGCTGTAATTAACGGCAAAGGATTTGCAACCAAGTATTAAAAAGTAAAAGTTTGAGGTATGGTTATTAGTTTGTCCCATTACTTTGGTCCTTTCACAAGTGGGAGGCACATATGCAAACTGTTGTAATTTCCACCCTGTTTACCTAACTTGGATGTAAATACCCTCATATTAAAGCTGACAGTCTGCAGTTAAAGCACATCTTATTCGTTTCATTTCAAATCCATTGTGTTGGTGTATAGAGCCAAAAATCTTAGAATTGTGTCAATGTCCCAATTTTTATGGACCTAACTGTACATTTACCTTTATTAATATACATGTATTTTAGATTAAATTATACTTTATATTTAAAATATACTTTATTTATAAAGTATTAAAAATAAATTTATTAAGTAAACAAAAATATAGTGATCAGTGTTGGGGGTAACACATTACAAGTAATGCAAATTACACAATAATATTACTTTTCTGAGTAATGAGTAAAGTAATGCATTACTTTTAAAATTAAGAAATTAGTTTTTTAATGTAATGTGATTTTTTTATTTGATTTGCTTTTAAAAATAAATTGCTAAATTAAAATGAATGTAATCATGTTGAATTCTGCACACAATAAGAGAATTTTCCCCCTGTGGGAACAGACAGAAATGAAGATTGCAGAACCTTGGGTTTACCTGGGAAGAGTGGATGGAAGAGGTAAATGAAACGAAATGCTCAAACTATGAGGAGATAGAAGAGAAGTGCCAGGAAGGGGGCTGGAAGACCCACTGTGAGATGGGAGGGTTTTGCAGAGCATTCACTCGAAAGACCAATATATAGAAGCTCAAATACAGCAGTACATTATGCCACATACATAATTATTTTTTTCTCAACTCTTTTTTTTTTTTTTGTAATAAAAATTATGCATTTATAATAGAGCTGTCCAGGAGGGTAAAATCTAATAGTGATTTTTCTGAAATTGTGATTTGATTCCATTTGTGATTTTAATTTAGTAAACAGCTCAATATTCTCAATGGTGTGTAACACACTTTTAAAAAAGACAATACAATACAACATGCTTTAACAGTAAATCTATAAATAAATATTATGTCTAGATAAATAGCCTATATACAGTGTGTAGCTTTTATATGTTTTATCTGAATTATATATATAGGTGACTCAGTGGCATAGTAGGTAGTGCTGTCGCCTCACAGCAAGAAGGTCGCTGATTCGAGCCTCGGCTGGGTCAGTTGGCGTTTCTGTGTGGAGTTTGCATGTTCTCCCTGCGTTTGCATGGGTTTCGTTCGGGTGCTCCGATTTCCCCCACAGTCTAAAGACATGCAGTACAGGTGATATGGGAGATTAAATTGTCCGTAGTGTATGAGTATGAATAAGTGTGTAGGAGTGTGTATGGATGTTTCTCATAGATGGTTTGCAGCTGGAAGGGCATCTGCTTTGTAAATAATGGATAAATGGATAAGTTTGCGGTTCATTCCGCTGTATTAATAAAGATTAATAATTATTCCCCAGAATAATAAAGGGACTTAGCCGAAAAGAAAATGAATGAATGATATTTACACAGTTGTTAACAGAATAATTAAACCCCGTTTATTTTTTTTTTCCCCAATTTCATGAAATATTTTTTTCAACACATTTCTAAATATAATAATTTTAAAAACTAATATCTAATAACATTTATTTTATCTTTGCCATGATGACAATAAATAATATTTTATTATTTTTTTTCGAGACACTTCTATACAGCTTAAAGTGACATTTAAAGTCTTAACTAGGTTAATTAGGTTAACTAGGCAGGTTAGGGTAATTAGGCAAGTTATTGTATAACGATGGTTTGTTCTGTAGACTATCGAAATATATAAAGCTTAAAGGGGCTAATAATTTTGACTTTAAAATTGTGTTTAAGAAATTAAAAACTGCTTTAATTTCATAGTATGTGAAATTAAAATTTTCACAAACTGAAAATTTCCTTGCTTTGTTAAGCATAATTTGAAAAATATTTTAAAAACAAAACAAAGGGGTTGCTAATAATTCTGACTTCAACTGTATATTTACATGGTCCCTTCAGCGTGTCCTGGGTCTTCCCGGAGTCCTCCTCCCGGTTGGACATGCCTGGAACACCTCCCTAGATAGACGTCCAGGAGGCATCCAAAACAGATGCCCGAGCCACCTCAGATGACTTCTCTCAATGTGGAGGAGCAGCAACATTACTTTGAGCTCCTCCCGAGTGTCAGAGCTCCTCACCCTATCCATAAGAGTGCGCCCTGCCACCCTTGGAAGGAAACTCATTTCGGCTGCTTGCATCCGAGATCTTGTCCTTTCGGTCATGACCCAAAGTTCATGACCATAAATGAGAGTAAGAACGCAGATTGACCAGTAAATCAAAATTCTAAAAGAGCAAATTCTAAAAGAGAATAAGAGATCAAGTCTCAGGTAAGAAATGTAACTCAAAAGTAATGTAACATTACTTACCATACAAGGTAACTATGTAACGTAACCAGTTACTTTCTGAGAAAGTAACTTAACATTGTAATGCATTACTTTATAAAAAAAGCTTTCACAAACGCTGACTGATACCAATTCCAGCATTCAGTTTCAAATCTTTGATAGACTGTCCGTGCCACACTACTACTCAAAAATATACGCTGACTGATACCAATTCCAGCATTCAGTTTCAAATCTTTGGTAGACTGTCCGTGCCACACTACTACTCAAAAATATAGGGGTCAAAATTACTACTTGGTTTGTTTTACTTTTGTGAAAAATCGTCGCATAAAGTCAACAAAGGCACAAGAACATCATAAAGCAATGGGAGAGTCAAAGTGAGATGTATTTGTGACGCCTAGTGTTGAATGTGTGAAGCTCATGATGGTAGCGTCCACCCCATCAGTGGGCGGGGTCACAGAAAAGTCCACGCGAGTAGCGGAGAAACTTCACGAATGTAAATATTGAGCGAACAACAGAGGATACGTCCTCGCGCCTTATTTCGTCCTTCTTTTTTGATTAATGCGACCATGCCGCGCAGAAAGCCTTTCAGTAACAAACAGAAAAAGAAGCAGCTCCAGGTGAAACGCGAGAGAAAGAGAGGTGGGTAACTAGCTTAGCCGAGTTAGCGCGCTCGCAGACCCTCTACGCCAGCCACGTGATTTTTTGTTTTATGATTTATATTTCAGTGTGCAGTAATGTGACCATGTCCCTCCATGTTAGATCAGTCGCCGATCAACTACGCTGCTCTAAATACTTTGCTTGCTAAGTTTTTGTGGATGCTTGTGACCAAACTTGACACCATACTGCTGTCAAATTTATGTCTGACTAGGAAACGAAAGAAGACGCTGAATTTAATAAAACAACATAAATCCATCACATTGCGCTTATTATGGAGGTTGTGTACAGTATAAACAACTGCTCGTGACAACTCGAGTGTCACGCGCCCCAACGGTTATTTGTCTTCATGGACCAGATTTCCGTTTTTATCTGTCAACTGCGAAATGACGCTGAAAGGCCTGATGATGATGATGATGATGATGATGATGATGATGATTATTCACCGCATTTTGAGCGGCTTGTGTTTTGCTGTTAGCGCTTGTGTTATGCGGTATGTAAGTGCGCAGACTCAGCGTGAAGTTACGTAACACAATAACAAAGCGATCAATACATGCTAAAGCAGGCTGAATTAACTGCCTAAGTATTCGGCTCTAGTACACAGAAAAACTACTTAAAATAACTGCTGCTGATGAAGCAGTGATGTGGCTTTAAAGTGATTATTATGTGTCGTCATCAATCTAATTTTATTGGCATAATAATTGTAATTCATCAGAGTATTACATGATTATTACAGCAGAAGCAGCGTGGGTTATTTTCCACAGAAAGAGTATTAAGGTCTTAATACAAACAAATGAGAGTGATACTTTATTTTCGTGGTTCTTTTTAGACATTCTTTTGAATTCTTTATGTCAGTAATTTTGCAATTACCCGTCACAGCTTACTCTCATTTTATTATTCATAAGCTGCTAGTTTAGGGATTGTAGAATAAGTACAATAACACTGTTTATGTACTACACATATTTATGTATTACACATATTCACTTATCTATGTAACACACATATTTAGTTTACATTGCAATTTGCACATAATATTGCTGCACATTCAAAATTGTCAATAGCAGAGATGCCCGAAGTAGAACCCGCGGGCCAAAGTTGGCCCATGGTATCCTTTGATTATCCCACCATCCCATCTGAATAGAGTGGGAGAAAGCCTTTGACAGATATCATCATTTTGACGATCCACTTGAAATAAAGTGATACAATTAAATGGTGTAAATAAGTCAGACGTTTAAAATGTAAATGCTGTCACTTGACAGATATAGGTCAATGCACAAGTCATCTGCGAGCAAATGAAGCTGAAGGCAGGAGCAGCTTGACTACTGTATTCTGCATTGAACTCCATTGTGTTATAAATGGGATTATGTTTTTACTGTAATATTTTCAGTATAAAATTTAAAAAATGATACTGCATGTGTTACTTAAAATAATTTAAAGCAACATCGAATTTTCGCTCAAATCGTGGTGATTCATATAATGTAGGTCAACATCTATCTGCACTTTGAAAGTAAATAAAAACAATAACAGGAATTACACGATCAATACCGTTGGCTGATGACAATGCAATGAGGTTTTATGAAGTGAAACGACTGGTCTGTGAATGAAGCTACACATTATTTACAATGTCATTAACTTCAATCCACAGCATCAGCAAGAAATTGTTTAACAATATTAAGCACAAGTTTCTTGTAACATAATGACAAAAATCAGTGTTTTAAAAATTCAGTCCTGCTGTTTAAGATTATGCATGAAGGTTTAACTGGTCCCATTATAATATACAATTGAGCACTACATTCCACATGTGAAATTGCACCAGAACATTCAGGACATTTATTGAGTCTGTGATTTAAACGTAATAATAATAGTAATTTAATAATAATAATTTCATCTAAACACCTCTTTAGTGTTCTGCTGAATAAAAGAAAAGTAACTTGTATGTTGACTGACCTCAGTTAAAATGAACGACAGATTTTCATTTTTGGGTGAACTATCCGTTTGGGTAAACTATCCCTGCTGGTTGACGAGAGCTTGCAAATGCAATTTTAATGGAACTATTCCAATTGAAGTATTGTCACAAACAAAAAGACTGATGCTGCTTTGCTTTCAAAGTCTTCAAGATAAGCCCTCACTCTTTAAAGTTTTTGTTTATGTGTGTGCAGGAGAAACCGGGTCAGGTCACAGCAGCCGAAATGCCAGCGTGGAGAGAGGACCTGGCAGAGACAGACAGTCGGATACATCAGACAGCGAGACGACAGACATCAGGCGGATCAACCATCAGCCTGGCACCAGAGACGGCAGATATGACCCCAACAGGTGAGCCGGGACAGGTGAAACAGTCAGTCCAGCCTTGTCTCATTCATAAAACATAAGCTAATTTGGCAGAGGCCTGTATCGTCCTGTTCATCTCATATTGGCTTGTTTTGCAGATTCCGGCTGCACTTTGAGAAAGAAAGCAAGGAGGATGTCGAGAAGAGGAAGAAAACAGCAAGGGAGAAAATCCTTAAGCCGGTGGTAGAAAAGGAGCTTGAGATGGATATAAATCAGATCTATCCTGAGGACAAAGGTATTCATGATTCTGAGTCATTTAAAGTAATGGTTCTCAGCTGGGAGTCTGAGTCAAATATCGTTATGATGATAAGCTTTCATTTTCGAATTGCTTGCTAAAACTTGCCAAAATTGTCCTCCATGTTACACCATTAAATGTTGCAGCATCTGAAAGCAAAGGGCATGTTGTGACTGTGAAAAATATGAGACAATGACCTCTGTTTGAATCCTTTCACTGTAAATGGGAAAAGGAGATACCTGTGAATTTATATTATTATTTTTTTTTTTTAATGATGCATATCTTTTTTTGTAATGATTGGAATATCTTTTAGATACAATAAAAGTTTATGAAGTTTAAAAAATGTATCCATTAAATCCCCAAATATTGAATTCCATTGTTTTTCATGTAATGGCTAATTAATATTCCTGTTTTGTTTACACAAAAAGAAAGTCAATAGTTAATTTTAAAGTATTTCCCCGCCTTCGCGTGGGTTTCCCCCACAGTCCAAAGACATGTGCTATAGGTGAATTGGGTAGGCTAAATTGTCAGTAGTGTATGAGTGTAAATGAGTGTGTGTGGATGTTTCACAGAGATGGGTTGCAGCTGGAAGGGCATCTGATGCGTAAAACATATGCTGGATAAGTTGGCGGTTCATTCCGCTGTGGCGACCCCAGATTAATAATGGGACTAAGCCCAAAAGAAAATGAATGAATAAATAAATTTAAAAGTAAATTTAGACATCTCCAAAATTACCACCTAAATTTCTGGTTTATCAAGCAATTTCTAAAGGTCTATTCATGACAATGAAAGTCAGAGGAGTTTTTTTTTTTACTTTTTTGTTTATTCAAGTCATGAAATGTCAATTTATTTATTCTAAGCACCATTTTATTACTTTCATTCTCACTAACTGGCAGTTACTTATGTCAATTCCAGTCCCCAGACCTGTTAACTAATGCTGACATTTTAGGAAAATAGAAATTTTAAGAGTTTTAGCTTTAAAATGGCCTCTTTGAAGACTAAAAAGTAAAAAAGTTTGTAAAACTACTATTAAGCTTTCAAATATAGCAGGGGGAGCACTTTGCACGCAGCCACGCAAACAGTAAAAACCTCAGATCTTTTTCAGAATCTGAGGTACATTATCTTTTGTTCTCAAAGAGGCTATTCAAGTTTTGCAATATGATATTCAAGCTTAACTAATTTTGATATGCAAACCACAACAGCAGCTTATTTTTACGATCATTCTAGGTCATGGAAAGTCAGCTATTTAGTCACTGAATCATGTAGTGATAACCCTGAAATCTGAATCTTTAAAAACACATAATGGTTTAATGCTAAAACCTCGAAATTCTGTTATTACACTGTACTGTATATTACAATGCTGTGATTCAGGGTCCCACCCTTAACCATATGTATGCACACAAAAACATACACACACACACACACAAACACACACACACACATACACACATACACACACACACACACACACACACACACACACACACACACACACACACACACACACACACACACACACACACATATATATATATGTGTGTGTGTGTGTGTGTGTGTGTGTGTGTGTGTGTGTGTGTGTGTGTGTGTTTGTGTTTGTGTATATACATATGGTTAAGAGTGGGACCCTGAATCCCAGCATTGTAATATACAGTACAGTGTAATAACAGAATTTCGAGGTTTTAGCATTAAACCATTATGTGTTTTTAAAGATTCAGATTTCAGGGTTATCACCACATGATCAGTAAATATATACATCCCATTTTGTGGTTCACATTAAATGAAATTTAATCTAGAGCCAGAAATGTGCAGTGTCACATGATCGTCTAATATTGGGTGTTCAATAATTTTGTTAGTGTTGAAAACAGTTGCTATTTTCGTGGAAACCATTCCTATATTATATATATTTAAAATACAACAAAAATAGCATTTATTTAATAACAGTAAACATTTTTTTCACTTTCACGTTATATCCAAATAATGCATGTTTGCTGATTAAAAGTTGTAATTTGTCCACAGATTTTTGTACCTAAAATGTATGTGATGCAAATTTTGTCTCAAAACTCCTAGAAAGAATGTATATATTATGATGGACGCTGTTACTGTGATACTGGTGTTTGTCAACGTTGTTATCTCTTCATTTCACTTTCACTTTGCCTAATCTTAGGACTGAATTTCCCACGGCGGCCCTCATGGAATTACAGCATGCAGAGAGAAGAGTTACTGCGGAAAGAGGAGAAGTCATTTCTGGAGTATCTGGAGGCTCTTCACTCTAAAAACCCACCCGGGACCCTCAGCCACTTCGAGCACAATCTGGAGGTAAAGCATGTTCTTTCAGCAAATACACAACTCCAGAATACTTAGATAAATATTTTTTTTTTGCAATAACCATTTCAATCAATAACCATTTGATTGCTGCTGAGTGTATAGCTGTAATGAAATGGCTTTTTTATTGCTCTTGAGCATCTGTTTGGCCAGACGACGCTGGAGGCACAAACTCTGTTAAATGTTTGAATTCACTAGTTTATGAGCTGTTGCCCTTCTCTAGTCTTGTGATGTTTGAAACTGTTTTGTTGCAAAACACCGCTATGAAACACTAGTTTAAATGTAGAAAACTAAAAACTGCTGTTTATCCCCAGTAGCCTACAAAAGCACAACAATATTATTTTATAATTTTTACAGACAAACTGCAGGGTTTCTGTGGGTCTTGAAAATGTCTTTAAAAAAAGTTGAAAGTTTTAGTTTAATAAAGTTGTGGCGTTTAATGTTGCATGCAAATAATAACTTTCTCAGTATTTTTGTTTTCCAGTGTAAATATCTAAATATCCTTAAATCAAAATACTTTAGACAAAGAAAATGTTTTGTTTTTTAAAACATAATTTATAAGTGAGTTTAGATTAACATAAATATAAATTTGTCATTGGTGTTTAAACATTAATTGATATTTGTTCATTTTAATGATGAATTTGCTTCCATTTCTGATTGTAACTTGATTTATTAGTCTTTAATTATGTAGTTTATTTATAAAGCAGATCAATTCAAAGTTAAACACAAAGTGATAAACAGAAAATAAAATGCAGAAACAAAGAAAGCATGTTCAGGATGACTCGGATATATAGGCCTTTTCTAAAAAGTTTCACTCTGAAGAGATGTTGTGTAGAAATTATGCTAATAGACAGAGGTGGGCTATTCAGCAACTTGGGGTCGACAATAGTAAAATCCTGATCTCTCTTGCTCTTTAACCTTGATCTGGGCACCTGGGATTATTATTTGATGACACTAAACCTCTAGTAGATATGTCAGCACACATTTGCACTAGACAACACTTCAGAAAAGTCTAAAGAGTTGAATAGCTCCATCCTAGAATATAGAAATAGATTTTACCATACCTTCTAATCACCATTCAAAAAGTTATGTTCTTAATCAGAATTTTCTGATGTGTTGTTAAAATATAACGCTGTTTAAAGCACTTTGTTTCCTGAATGTAATTTGAAACTTCATATTTTATAGGAATTAGTTTGAACTAATTAATATATTTTGCTAAATCTTTTAGTCTTTGCTGTTTCAGTTGTTGCTTAAATAAAGCTATTCTTCATTATATAATTCACACACAGCACACCTCCAGCCAAATTGTAGGTAGCTACTTTTTAAATAAGAAACAAAGTCTTAAATAAATAAACAAGTTTTAAATAAGACACAAAAGTCTCATCTTAATAAATCTGTCTATTTTATCAGGAAATTTATACAATAAACGCTGTTTTAACCCTGATAGTTTTGTGCTGCCTTAATTTTTTTACTTGCTCTTTAAAAGAGTCTTAAATTCTTAGATTGACATATTTAAAATACATTTATTTATTTAAATATATTTAAATTACATTTGCATAAACCTTCATAAAAAACTGCAGAAACCCCTCTGTTTGTTTCTAACTACTTTTAAACTTCCAGCTAGATGTTACAAAAGAACAGAATTGAACAATTTCTCTGTGAATATTACTTCACAGGGAATTTGTTGTTTTATCCATTTCCAGAAGGTTTTTGATTAATGTGGCAAATTGAGACCATAAAACGCCAGAGCCAAAAACCTCTCATGTTGCTAAATTATTATACCTAAAGCAGGCCAAAGAATTACAGACAGGTTGGCTAATCTGAAAGAATGTGAATAACAGATTTAAGGGATCATTACTGAGTCTGAATAGATAATAACAACTATTAATAAACTGCTTCATGTTTTGTTAACTGCTCTCTAACTGACTCTCTTTCTCTATCACAGACGTGGAGGCAGCTGTGGAGAGTAATTGAGATGTCTGATGTCATTCTGCTCATAGTGGATATCAGACACCCAGTGAGTGTTGGGACGCTTAATGCCTGTTGAAACTTTTAGCAGTTTTCAAAAGATCATCAAAATTGCATAGCTAGTACACTAAATGTGAGATTCTCAAATTATGCAAAATTGACTAACAAAGTTTCCACTAGGTGGGGCCAGAGATTGCATTACAGTTGATCTTGGAAAACAGCACTATATTGTTGCACTATATTATTGAGCAAAAGAAAGATGATATGAAATCTAGTTAAGTGCTGTTCAGCAGAATTAAGAATGCTCATTGTGTGTAGGTGCTGCAGTTTCCTCCTGCTCTGTATCACTATATCACCGAGGAGCTGAAGAAGCATATTATCCTGGTACTCAATAAAGCAGACTTGTGCCCTGCCCCGCTGGTTTTGGCATGGAAAGACTATCTGACGAAACAATTTCCCCACCTGCACTGTGTCTGCTTCACCTCACACCCAGGACAGCCCTACAGCACCCGTAAGAGAGCCTTTCCACTATCACTGCTTTATCTGTAATGTGACATAAGTCAAATTAGAGAGACACCTATCTTTATTTATTTATTTTTATTATGGCTGATTGACAATTTTTTTTTATTGATTTAATATACAGTGCTCAGCATATATAAGTACACCCCTTTCAAAATATATCTTTTAAAATCATATTTATAATAGGAAGCTCTACAATATTATATTTGTGTATTTACATTAGATTAGTCAGTACTGAAGCCAAATCTGCAGCTTATTTAACAATATAACTTTCCATAACGGTCCAAAAACTAGTTCACCCAAAAGCATATGATATAGAAAAATATTAAATACAAATTTAAAAAAGAGGAAAAATCAAGAGAAACGAAATAATTAAAAGATTTAGTTGAAATTTTGTAGTTTGTAATTTATTTTTGCAATAATTAGCTTGATTTTAATTATATTGTCTTTCAATTTCTAAAGATGTTTGGTGACTAACATATTATTTTAATAAATATATCTGTTTAATAAATCTGTTTTGTTTAAATGCACCAATTTACATTTGTTATATACATCTATATTCACAGAGAAATGGATACAAATATTCATTTTTAAAAATGGGGTGTACCACTTAAAAGCTGTCTTTTTTAAACACTTAAATAAAACATCTCACCCCTAATTCAGTATTTGGAATTTCTTTCAGTATTTCTATAGCATCATTGACAGATTTTTCAAATACAGACATAATCCACATAAATGATAAAATCAATAGATGCATAAGGATAATAAATAAATCACATATGTGTGTACATTAGATATAGATGTTTATTCAGGTTTTAGACAAACATTTTCACAAATTTTAAATGAACATATTGCTCATTGTTTTACTTTTTGAAGCCTGTAAATCTTATCCATTCAGTCTATTATTAATGTTGAAAACATTGAGGAATAGGGCATGCGCTGCATAAAACATGCTACAGTAGTTGACGATTCATTCTGCTGTGGCCACCTCTGAAAAATCAGGGTCTAAACCAAAGGAAAACGAATGAATGGCATTAAGAAATTATAGAAGTATGAAATGATCAAAAGTCCTGATATTGTAATATTTAGTTTTTCTGCTATATTGCATTTATAATTTTACAAGATGATTTAAAGAACTATTTGAAAATAATATATAATTTTACATTGACTGTGAACATTTTGTAGGGGGTGCATAGGTACTGTGTTTATTATCAAATATAATAAACAAATTACAAGCATAAATGAATTCGCTAGAACAAAGATGCAAATGAAATGGACAGTGCTGTATGGTTTTCTGGATATTCTAAAAGTATTTAGGTCAAATAAAAAGTGATGTAATCAAATGTAAAATAACGCTGTCTAGTCTTCCTTGTTATATTAATACAGTTAATCATTGCTAAAGCTACAAATTCTTTCCTAGTTAATTATAATCTCAACTCGACATTGCAGATCTTGCGAGGTAACTTAGGGCTCGAAATTAACTTTTTTACTTGGTAGCACCGGTGCTCCCAACTTCAAATATTTAGGAGCACCAAAAAAATTTTAGGAGCACCAGAAAAAATTTAGGAGCACCCACCAAAAATGAATGAGCACCGCTGCAAATTGTTTTTAAAGAAATTTATTGTATTTTAAAACAACATTAATAGGACTGACAAAAAACAGAAACAACTATCTAACTAATGCTGCGAAGACATTGATATTTGTGTGCAATAATTCCAAAATGAATGTCTAATAATTAGGCCATAGAATATTAATGATGATAAAAAATGACAATAATAGTAATGAATTTTCTCATTATGATACTGCCTTGAATGTGCATGAATGTAGGTTATCTGCTATAAAAAGTCTGTTACTTTATAAAAATAATTGTATAGTTTGCATCAAACAAAAATGAAGCATTGCAGTAAGAAATATTTATTTTGTGGTGCTGTTTTTATATGCATGTCAATTTAATAAATAATATTTCTGCTACAAAACAAACAAAAGATTATAATAAATCATTCAATTCAATGATGAAAGCTGCAAAGCAGTCATCAGTAAATAAATAAAAAATAATATACAAATCAAAAAAGAATAGACAAAAGAAAGTAAGTAAAGTCTCACTTCTATCACTCTTTAAAAGTTTTGGTTTCAGTTTGTGTCGATTTAAAGGTTCAGTCTGAGCTGATCTTCATTTTTCTGTGTTAGTGGAAAAGCAGGCGAGTCAGCCGACCCAATTTATGAGCAGGCAGAGCAGGATTCTTCGCTAACCATCGGCGCAATACCGGTCTTTGTTATGAGCCGCAGTTTCAGTGTAAACTTAGTAAAGGCAAGCTTCTTTGGCGATGATATGTACAGTATTAGATTTGACTTTTAGCGGACATTTGCGCTGAACACGCAGTGAATGCAACGCATGGAGATTCGGGCACATTCTCCAAGAAGCGCGTACTCGATTGATCTCAGCTGGCGGATCATTATTCACCACGTGACGTGTCATGATCGCTTTCATCTGCGCCTTAACCTTAGGTGGGGTTTGCAAACCTGTGTGCTTTAAGTCTTTACTCTTTAGCCGTTTGCATTTCCCGTGGTCATAAAAGCTCCTTCCCTGTCATCTGACAGCGGAATACCTTGAGTGAATGACAGCTAATATAAACCAATATAGCGGCAGGGAAGAGCGATTCAGCACGTTTTTACAAAAAATCAAAACAGGTCGCACTACAACCATTATCTGCAGTCGCACTAATGCGACCAAATATATTATGAGGTCGCATAGATTCATTTTCGGGCGCATATGCGACCAAAATGGTCGCAATTTCGAGCCCTGTGACTATTGCATATTTGTTCATTGTGATATCGATGCTGAAACGATATATTATGCAGCCCTAATCAAAGGTCAATATGTTAAATTCATTATTTTAAGTTAATGCAGAATATCTTGTTTTCTCCGTGAGTATCTCTGTTTTGGAATCACACTTCATGCTGTGAAATCACTGAAGTGCAATTTCAAAGTGCAAGTCTGCAACAGAGATTAGCTGAATTCAAACTAAAAAATGTCAAACTGCTGTTTGTGGTTGATTGGTGCTTCTGTAATTAAAGTTGATGTTTCTGTCCTGCAGTTCTCCAGAAGAAGAGAATGAGGAAGAAAGCCGGATGGAATCATGCTGGAGGGCCGATTCATATCATGAGAGTGTGTCAGGAGATCACAGCAGGAAGAGGTTAGATGACTTCCTGATTGATAACTAAATGAGCACCGGTACAGAGTGATAATGATGATGACTGTTGTTTTAGTGGATCTGAGCAGCTGGGAGAAGAAGATCCAGAGGGATGCAGTTGCTGTGGGAAATGAAGGGGACCGGGCTGATGATGGATCTGAGTCTGTGTTGATGGAGCATCATAGTGACATTGCCATGGAGATGAACAGCCCCACGCAAGAACTTTATAAAGATGGGGTGCTAACATTGGGATGCATAGGTAACAACCTGTTGTTTCTAGATTAATGTTACTATGGAATCAGAGAAAGGCAAAAAAAAGCTTTCTGAGAAAGTAACAAATATTGTATTTACAGTCATTTAAAGAAAAATTTTGATAACTAAACAGACACAGATATCCACCCAGGTTTTACCTATTAGTCATTTAGAAGGGTTATTTATTATACCAAATGATATTTTAACATTATGTATGACATAAGTATGACACTTTACTTTAGATTTAATATAGTTTTTTACATATAAATTGTTCTTCGACTATATTGATATGTGGTTATATAAATATATATAGTTAGGGTCATAAATATTTGGACAGAGACAACATTTTTGTGATTTTTGGCTCTATACATTACCACAATGAATTTTAAATCAAACTACTCTGATGCAGTTGAGGTGCATACTTAAAGAAAACGATTGGATAAAATTGTGAAGAATTAAAGCATTCATTTAGCACAATCCCTTTATTTTATGAGCTCAAAAGTAATTGGACAAATTAAATAACTAAAAATAAAATGTCTAATATAAATAAAGGAAAGGGTAAAGGTAAATTCTTATTAAATTAAATGTAATAATGAAAATTGAAGTTCTTATATTTGGTTTAAAATCATTTGCTGGCAATGACAGCCTGAAGTCTTGAGCTCATGAACGTCACAAATGCTGGGTTTCCTAATTTTTAATGCTCTGCCTTTACTGCAGCTGCTTTCAGTTGCTGATTGTTTGTGGGTTTAGTCTTCAACAAGTGAAATTCATGCTCAATTGGGTTAAGGTCATTGGATTAAGATCAGGTGGCTGTATGTTTTAGGTCTTTGTTTTAGGTCTTTGTTCATCCTTATTATGAAATGCAGCACAATTAATTTGACTGCATTTAGCTGGAAATGAGCAGACAGTATTTGTCTAAACACTTCAGAAACCATTCGGCTGATTCTGTCCTGTCACATCAATGTTTTTATAGAACGAATGCCCTATGTTTTTATTTAAAAATATTAGTGCCCCCTTCCCTCACTACAGCATTTTTACCTCACTAGTGGGACAAATAGCAACCAAACAGTCAAATTCCTCCAAAATCTATTTAATCAACCAAAATCAATTACTAATAAACCAAATCAAGTTCTTCCTTTTCCTCATTTAAAATGCATTTCACCTGGATATATAGAAGTATAGGAAAACCTTTTAACTGCGTGTCTATGTAACCTTTGAAATTGGCACACAAGTTTCTTCTAAGTGTATTAATTCAATTGGTTAAAATTCATATGAAGTCTTTCTGCTCTTTCTCCAGGTTTTCCTAACGTAGGCAAATCCTCAGTGCTGAACAGTCTGGTCGGCAGGAAGGTTGTAAGCGTGTCTCGAACTCCAGGCCACACAAAATATTTCCAAACATACTACCTCACTCCCACTGTCAAACTGTGTGATTGTCCCGGGCTCGTCTTCCCTTCGCGGGTGGACAAGCAACTACAGGTAAAAACACGATACTCCATCTTTACCCCAGTTAAATCATCCAGTCTGTGTGTTTGCTTACATGTTTGTGTGGGTGTGATTGATCTTTAAAACAGGTCCTGGCTGGTATATATCCAGTATCTCAGCTGCAGGAACCTTACAGTTCAGTCGGACACTTGTGTGAACGGACCAACTATCTGTCTATATTGAAGTTGACCCATCCTGACCACAGTCCCGAAACCCCACATGACCCCAGCACACAGGACTGGACGGCATGGGACGTGTGTGAAGGTGTGGCATCTTTCAGCTCATATTTATTCATTAAACCGAAGGGAGTTCTGTTTTTTGTGGTTTGTCATCTGTTTTTCACTTGTTTCATGTTTTTCAGCCTGGGCTGAGAGGAGAGGGTATAAGACGGCTAAAGCAGCCCGTAATGATGTTTATCGAGCAGCCAACAGTCTTTTGCGTTTGGCCATCGATGGGCGGCTGTGCTTATGTCTGCGACCGCCTGGATACAGTCAAAGTAAAGGTCAGAATTCAAACCCCTGTAGATTTCCTCATTACGTTCAGCACTTAGTTATTACATATTTATTGTCATTTCCATCTCTTCTGAATATTGTAGCATTAACTTCCAATGGTCTGCCCAATTTTTAACATGTAATAACTTTTACAGTTACAAGTTTTGAAAATCTGTATTATTATCAGTTATTTTCATTTACATAACTATCACAAGTACAATTTAGGATAATGTATTAGCTCTCCTGTGAAATTTAAATTCTTTTTCAAATATTTCCTAAGTGATGTTTAAAGCAAGAACATTCTCACTGTACTATTAGCCACCATGAGTTTTTTATTTTTATATTTGATTGGCTACAGAGCAAACTACTTTGTCCAATGATTTGCCTATTTAACCTAACTTACAAAGCATGGGTGTAAATCTGATTTAACAGTAGGGGGGGGACAATAAATATAAAATTTCTTTCAAGCATTTTTTTGAAGGGGACATAAATAATACAGCCGAATTGTACTATTAAAGATATGTCCCCGCAGTTCAAAATGGTTTTATCATCATTATTATTATAGCATGGAGACTACGTCATTATGATTATTCTTAAAGTTTTTCTCAGGTTCAATGACAAAGCAAATTTTTCTTCAAAATTATTTATTGCATTGTTTGTTGTGTTGTTTGCAGTCAACAGTCTGACTCCTGAAGCAGAATAAATGCAGGAAAACACATTTTCCATACTCATAATAACTAACTTTAAAAACGTTAAAATGACCGATCATATTGTAAATCAGTGAGCCTGTGAAATCTGCTAAACAGCCATAACTCCGAAATCATTAAAAAAATGTTCACCCCCCAAAAGAATTCAGTAAGAATTCAGAATTCAAAAGTCATTATCCCTTCAATAAAGCACAACACCCTTACCTGACACTGTACATCTGACTGACCCTGCCCTGCCTGTTCCTCAATCATTTCTTTCTTTTCTGCCTGTGATTGATAATGTGAAATTAGTATTTTCATAAGCACTCATTCTGAAAGCCAAATTGCTTAATATGTAAACTTTTTGTATTTGACGTTTAGCTGCACTGAAAAATAATCTTATGTCCATTTTCTCAGTCATTTTATCCAATACATGACACTGCCTGGCAAGTTTATTTATACTGTAGCACATTTTATACGCAATGGCAATTCAAAGTGCTTTTACACAAATAAAGCAAAAATATCAAAAAAATAATCACAACAATAAAAACAAAGAATTCAAAAAGGTTAACATTTTAATTTCAAATTATTTGAGTCACTTAAAACAGAATAGAAACTAATTATACAAAAAATACAGTGGGGTTAGTGTGCTCAGTGTAGCAGTGCTCATTTGGCAAATACACAGCTGAACAATATGCTAATTGTGCTTGTTAATGTTAAGTTAACACTATGCCAAGTCGTCACAAATGAATCAATGCATGGGAAACGGTAACAAGCTAACGTTAACTAGATAAGTAATTTTAATCGCTAATACAGCAGATTCATGGACAATTACATCAGTAATTGGATAACCCTCGGAAAGGAGGGGACATGTCCTCCCCATCTCCCCCGGGATTTACACCCGTGTTACTAAGTTAACCTACTTAACATGGTTAGGCCTTTAAATTGCACTTATTAAATTGCTGAATACTTATTAAAATGCTGAATATGTCTTGCTAAATAACTAGTAAAATATTAGATACTGTCATCATGCCAAAGATATAAGAAATTAGTTAATAAAGCTATCATGTCTAAAAGTGTGTTCTAAAAATCTCCTATCTTAGGAATTTTTTTGAAAAGAATTAAAATTTCACAGGAGCAAAGTGGGATTGTTCATATTCATAGAGTTGTACAGCATTTTCCAGGACATTCTATTAATTTGAAATGTGACGTTGAGCCAACATCAAGCAATCAAAACAAGAAATCATTTGTATTAGTGAGAATTGTCTTTGGTTAAAGCATCGGCTCACACTATGCAATTTATTTATTTTTTAATTATTATTATTATAAAAAAATAAATATATATATTATAAATCTAAATGATTGCATGAACATGGCTCCCATGTCACACAGTAACATCACAGCTGTCTTAATGTCAGCCTGAACGACAATGAAGATGTGCCAAACACAGAAGAAAACTCACCTGGAATTAGATGTCAACCATACGTGACACTTTCACTATCCCGCATTCTGAAATGATTTGTCTCAGAAAACATAGCAGCATTTTTGCACACAGTGTGCTTAAATAATAAAACCCGGAAGAAAAAAACTATTTGGACATTTTCCCGTGGTGGACTGAAGTTGTTTTTTGGATTGCTTCTTTAGATTCAGTGCTCCTATTAGTTCTTGGGTTGACGCTGGTTGCAACTGTTGTCACCCTGCAAGAAAGTGTCTGACATTTTCTGACACTGCCAGAACTTCAATGGAGGAAAAATCTGATTACAACTGTCATTAAGCGGCTGCCTATGAATATGTCAAACCAACGATTAAAGATCACAGATTTAAGTCAGGGATTTCCAGAACCTTAATGATTTTTAAAATTTGTAGATGACCAATTCATGGCTGAAATCCCACAGTGCGAGCAGGGCTTAAGAACTCATACATGTCTACAAAGTGAACGCATGTTTCTGTGTTATTGTTTTTAAATGATCTGCAGTTTAAATGTTCAGTTTTCAGAGTTTTAGGCTGGCAAATGCCTTTATTATGTAAATAGAAGACAGATATGCATTACATTCTTTCAATATTTAATAAAAAAAACAATGTTGTGTAAACTTACCATTAATGAAATTATAAAATGTGACTAATGGACCAATTTGTCCACACTAAAGCAACAGTGCAATTCTAAAACAAACTGAATTTTGAAAACGGTATACATGTTTTTCCCTCCACCAAACTTTGCTAAATATTTGCATTTATTTATCGTAAAATACTAATTCTCGCAATAAAAAAGCCCCTGAAGCTGATATAAAAATAAATTTAAGCACAATATCTCTTTAGATACTTGGGAATCACATCCAGACCTGGCCGAGATCATCGCTCTGCAGGGAAGGAAGGAAGACGGGGATGAGTGCGGAGACAGAGAAGAAGAAGACGGTGAGTCGAGCTCAGAGCTGGAAGAGGACAACGATCGAGACGCAGACGACGACGAGGATGCCGACGGAGATGATGAAGACGAGACTGTGAAGGCTGACAGGAAGGGCCTCACTCTCAACATGTTCAGTGTGCTTGGAGAGAACGAGTGTGAGTGACGGATGAAAACACTCCACCTTCATACATTCCCGCTTTCTCTCTTTACAACCATCTCATTTCAATCTGCAATCTGTCAATCCAACGACTGTATAAAGTTTTGAATTTAAACAACACACATCTTGCTCCAAACATTATTTTTGCTGAAGTATATAGTTGATATAGTGTTTTATTTCATCCTCTTGTTGCCTCTGTATCTTCTCTGCTTCTTTTCATTCGTTTTCCTAAAAAAAAAATGTATCAAAATGCTTTTATACCTCCTGCATGAAGCCTTTTCCCTTTCTGAGAAGGCAGAGGAAATGCCTACTATCAGTGATTGTACAATCAGTGTTGCAGACCTAGCATTGATGAATACAATCGCTGATTTCAAATCAGTCTCACAGCCATGATCCCAAAGGTCAGATAACTGTGAGTCAACCCCGTGAATGTACTGTATTTTACCCAATAAACCTTCGCGTGCAAGGCAAAACCAGCCATGTATGAAGACAAGAGACTTAAAAAGAAGTAACAGACACTCAAAGCACTTTTTAAAGCAAGAGGCAGCAACCAGCAGTCTTTAACTGTTCAATACTTTATTTTCTGAGAACATAAATAAAGATGTTTAAGATGTTTAAGAAGTGAGGATGAAGTTTAGGGTTTCGTTGGGAGCGAATTGTTGTTGCAAAATGTTCTAGACTATGCAAAGTTTGAATGGATAGTTGACGTAGAATGAAAATTCTGGCAATAATTACTCAGCCTCTTGTCATTTCAATTCCCAGAGACCTTCGTTTATTTTGGGAACACAAATTAAGATCTTAGAGCTTCATCATCCTGCATAGACAGCAATGATACAGACGTCAACAAAAAATATACTATATGTTTTTAGTGGTTCAAAGCAACACGAATACTCTTGTGCTCACATAAAACAAAAATAATGTCTTTTATCAATAGTTTGTTCTCCTCAGTGTCAGTATAGGGTGCATTTTTACCAGCGCAGTGCATTGATGTGTACCCCTGATGTTTGCGCAAATTCCTTTGTTTGAAACAAAGCACAGGCTCATCCGAAGTATTTGTCAGCAGAGCAACCAAGTGTGGCGTGCGCCCTATACTGACACTGAACAGAAGAAACTGTTGAATAAAGTCGTTATTTTTCACAAAAGTGTTCACGTGGCTTTATAATATTCTGTTTGAACATCAGAGGGGATGTGGTCTGTTGTGAGGATGTTTATTTTTTGGGTTATTTTCTGGACTTTGAAGATGTTAGGACCCTTACTGTCTAAAGACAGTAAAGGGGCTCTAATGTTTCATCGAAAATATCAACATTTGTGTTCCAAAGATGAACATTGCGGGTTTGGAATGACGTGAGGGTGAATAATCATTAACCGTTTTCATTTTTGGGTGAACTGACCCTTTAAAGAGGTATCAGGAAAAAACCTGATACAAGCATTCCAGTTGTTAAAAAGCGAGATTGTATTGCACACATTGTACATGCACACTAACACAAACTACTCTGACATTTTGGGATGTTCTTTTTGGACTGAATAGTGCATTTGCTAGAGAGTTGGTTGGTTTTGAAGAGTTTGTTTTGCACTTTGGCTGTAGGACTCAGGTAATAGTGATGGTTTGGTGTGCTGGTTTCCTGTTCTTCAGCTTTCAGTCCTGCATGCCCTTGCTTTGGGTTTTTGTTTGTGTGGGTGTGACTGTGTGCGGATCATTCTTTCTTTGTTGGGATGTTATACTGACAGAAAACAGCCCTCGGCAATAAAAAAAAGACAACATCTAAAATGTTCCCCTGATTCTTTGTCCTTATTTTTGCATAAGAGAATAAAGCTACTACACTGTAAAAAAATTTTGGGGTCCACACAATCGATTTGTGTCAGGACAACAAGAAGGAATTAGGTTAACTTACTATTTTATTTTGTTCAAATGTAAATGAATTGAACAAAAATCTCAAGGATTGTGTTGTTTTAGTTCATTTTAAATAAGTAGTTTAAACAAATAGCAAAAAACTTTTATTGTGTGCGTAATGTCTTTACATTCCATAAATAAAAACATAATTTAATGTAATTGAAAATATAATCTACATAAATTTAAGGTCACGTTTGAATAGGAAATGTGGGAATATTAATATTAATTCAATAAAAAATTGCATCCTATTTGCAGGTCCTAGTAGGCCTTTGTTCACCCTCCCACAATGTAAGGCCTTAAAAAAAGACTTGAATCACAGGATTAGGTTAATCTTCCTTGCTCTTTTTGTTTTCCAGTACAAATATTTAAACCTTCAAATGTTGGAGTTTATTATTTAAAATGTATAAATATATTAGTGGAGTGTGATCTTTTTGTTGATTTCAGATTATTTTATTGCGTATAGCTTGTTTTAAGATTTTAGGAATCTTTAGATATTATTACAAGGAAAGTGTTTCAGTTCATTCCAGCTTTTACACAAGACACTACCGCAGAAATGTTTTTATGCTGTGGCCAAATATGAGATTTTGGACTAATTGGCTTTTTTGATATTTTTTTGCATCTCTGGTGACCCCTAAACTAGTAGAAAATATTAAAATGCTAAAATAGTTCTGATTGATTCCTGTTCTCACAGATCTGAAAAAAAAAGAATACTAAGAGACTAAAAACACTCTATTATGTACATATGACAGTAGTTGGCGATGTCATCTTTTTACTTAAGGGGTAAAAAACAACACAATTTATCTGTACAAACTCGCTCCTTTTAAGATGCTAAAAACACTGTTGTTGTGTAAATAAATGACCTAAATGCTTGAAAAGTTGAAACGTATCCTTGGTAAAGCCTCACTCCACCACTTTAGCATTATGCTGGCAGCACATTCTGCATTTCAGTTATTATTTCCCAGACTGGATGTTTTAACAGTCTTCACACTATGTAACTGCAACTGTCCTTGCTTGCTGCCTCCGTTTTACCTTGAAATATGCCCATTGTCATGGCAGTTAGCACATCCTGAACAGATCTCATACATTTTAAAGGGATACTTCACCCCTAAATTTAAAGGTGTCATCAACTACTCACTCTCCACTTGTTCCAAACTTTAGAGTTTCTTTACTGTTAAACATTAGCTCTTTTTCTTCTTGCTATGGTAGTCAGATACTGAACTGTTCTTAAATGTCTTCTTTTATGCTTAACAGAAGAAATATTTTTTTTTGTATGAGCTATCCCTTTAAAAACAGCTGCTTACCTCATTTGTCTGAGAGAACTCGGTTTATAAAAAGCTGTTATCAAGGTAAAGAGCAGCTGCTTTGAAGCACCAAATTGTAACATTTCTTTAACTTTTTCAGTCGTTACACAATTTCCATTCTTCCAATTAGTGTTTTCTCACAGCTTTAATTACTATTATTGTAAAATGTAGAAAATAGTAATCATACAGAATGAGTAGGTGTGCCCACACTTCTGACTGCTGCTAATTATGAGCTTTACAGTAACACACTTAGGAAATAAAATCTATGAATATCACTGGCCATGAGGTCACACAGTGTTTTTTCTCCAAGGTTATTACTTATAATTTATTTAAATACTTAAGCAGGGTGTCTGCAGAGTCTTAAAATGTCTGAAATCTCAAAAAACAGTATTTTAGGCCTTAAAGTCTTAATTTTACTGATATATTGTGTTAAAGGTCTAATCTTTTTTGAACAGAGTTTAATTTTCCTGTTTATGTATAGCTACTCAATCTGGCCAACACCCATACAATCACCAACAATCAATCTCAATAAAACGTTTTATTTAAAAATGTCATTTTTAACTCTATTTACCATAACTGTTTCATTATTTCCCTTATAATAACGTTTGTTTTTATGTATTTACTGCTGAGGACACTAACCTGGACAGACTGTTGTGCATACATTTTTTATTATATATTTTTTTTATTAAGGATTTTCAAATAGTATGAACAACAAAGACCATCAGACATACAAACAAACCCCAAGCGCTGCCAATTAAATAACATTTACAAATACGAAAAAAATTAAAACCAAAGAACCCAGAACTCTTTTAAAATAGAAATTTCAGAGTTTGTGTAGAGGCTCCTCTTGTGAGAGATCTACATGCAAATAGTTGGAATTTGAGAAGTAGACCATTTTAGTAATATTCATTGTTTAGCCAGAAATGTAAACAGGGGTTTGAGTCAAAAAGGTTTTGAGCAATGTCGTTCAGTGAGGGGGAGAAAATAAAACGTATTCCTATTATCTCCTAGATTGCAGAATGAACCCCTCTCCAAAATTGTTGGATGTGAACACAGGACCAAAATACATGAAAAAATGTGCCCTTTTTAAGTTTTGCACTTAAAACAGAGGTCGGAACAAGCTGGAAACATTTTATGCAGACAAACAGGTGTAAAATAAATTCTGTGGAAAAACTTAATTTTATTCATGTATGGAAATTGAGGAACATTTTGGAAAATAGATCTGGGATCAATAGTGGTTTCAAAGAATCATAAACTGAGGAATTTAATTTTTAGTAAATGAATAAGGCATAGAATTTAGAACGCAGCCTCATTATAGTTTTTAAAACATTTGTCATTTTTTTTTATTTTAAAGAAAGATTGTTGAAAAGATAAGTGCATGTTTACAACTATAGAGCATGCTTGTTTTGTTAATATTTTATAATATTTATTTGTTAATATATTATAATAAAATATTTTGTTTAGATATATCTAAAATATAATTTTTTATTATTAAACTATTATTGCAGTTTTAAATGTATTCAACTATAATAAGTGTGTTGATCGAGCAAATAAAGAATTCCATCTGGGCCATTTGGAAAAACTTCTTAGTGTTTATCCCTGTATGAGTCTAAAATTGCATTTATTATGGTCTCAAAAAACTTTTCAAGACATTTTTAACTTGGTGAAAGCTGCAGAAATCCTGTTACAGTCTTATTTTGCACGAGTAAAATAATTTTTTTAGCAAAAGCCATAAATAGACTGTATCCCTTTAACTGCCCCATCGAGAAAATGTTTAGATTGCATTTCCTAACTCCTAAATTCAATGTAGTTTTTTTCTCAACACGTCTCAGAATTTCTAAAATATTAACTTTTACCAAATGGTTCATGTGTCTGTTTTTGGTAAAAGTACCGCAATTAATACATATACTATGAAAAATCTGACCATATG